CGTATAAATTTATTAAAATTTTCATTGTGGCTTATGGGTGAAAAGGGTTTTATCGCCGTAAATAAAAAACTTGTGGTTCGATTTTGTTAAAATTCGTCTTAAATAATAGCCTGATAAATAAGCTACATAATGCGCACCAGAAAACCTCTTGTCGCAACGTAATTTTTTGAGAAAACCGAAAAGTACTTCATTTTTAGAGTCTCCTTTGCCAAGGCCTCTCCGCCTCGCCGCCGCCGCCGTTCACGAGAACGGCGTGAGGAGATGAGGGAGGGAAGCCTCAAGCCAGAGCGAAGAAACGTGTGCCGCTATTTTTGATAGACTTTCGCGCAAATGTATTATTTATTTAGAACGCGTTAATTTTAAGTAGTCAAATTTTCAGCGTTGTTAGATAATTGTATACAGTATTTTTCAATATGCTAGTTTTAAAATAATTTTGGTTAGGAGCGGAGTTATTAACGTTTCCGCGAGAATTTTGTTCCGTCAATTTAAAAAAATAGAGAGAAATTTTTAAAAATATAAACTTTAAGAGAAAAATGTTGCCAATTAAATTTTCTACAGTATCTTTCATAGGCCTGATGACGTCAGAATTATTTTTACCTATAAACTGAAGGCTCAAAGTCAAAATATAATTTTTTAACTAAGAATAAAATTTTTTAGAATTTTTATAAGATAGCCAATCAATTGCAAATTTTATGTTTACCAGTGTTCTCAAATTTCATTTAAAAATATTATGTAGTTTTGAAAAAAGAAAATAATATTTGATGGTACCTCATACTGCTGACGAAGACGAGCGGCGGCATCAGAGTGCGTTTGATAAAGCAATCTGCAGCTTAAAAACGGCTGAATATTTTTACATGAAATTTCAGTGCTTTATTAATAAATAAATTTCCAAGCGATTGGCTATCTTTAAAAAATTCTAAAAATTTATTGTCTAGGTTTTTAAGTTATATTTTGACTTTGAGCCTTCCGTTTATAAGTAAAAATAATTCTGACGTCATCAAGCCTATGAAAGATACTGTAGGAAATTTAATTGGCAACATTTTTCTTTAAAGGTTTATATTTTTAAAAATTTCTCTCTATTTTTTAAATTGACGGAACAAAATTCTCGCGGAAACGTTAATAACTCCGCTCCTAACCAAAATTATTTTAAAACTAGCATATCAAAAAATACTGTATACAATTATCTAACAACGCTGAAATTTTAAATACTTAAATTTAACGCGTTCTAAATAAATAATACATTAGCGCAAAACTCTATCAAACAAGTTGCTCTCGCCGGACGCTGGCTCGCCTTCGTCGACTGCCGCTGTGGTGCGTGCGCCGTGCTGCAGCCTGCAGTTGCTGTGTGCATCATGGCGGCACCGGCACCGAGTTTATTCGCACTATCGGCCTTTATTAATCGAAATCAACTTATTCAGGGGTGGTCTGGGCCTGGCGACCGCACGGGAATTGTGTCCTGACCCCACTTGTAGCCATTATGGCTTGTTTTACAGGAAAAGTGTAAATAAATATGATTTGATCAAAAGATATCGAGGCAAAATAACCGGTTGAAAATAGCATACCGGTTTGAAAATTAACACCGGTTTTTGAAGTTCAGCAAAACCGCCACCAGGCGGCACCGTGATCACATTCCGCAGGGAGAGAGTGAGTGAGGGAGAACAAAGTGGCGCGCGCATCACTCTCCCTCTAGAAGATTCTGACCAGCCGATCTGCTGGTATAAAAAGGCCAGCTCAGCCGGCAAGAGACATTCGGTGTTCGGTGCTTGGAGCTCAGGCAGAGCAGAGAGTGGGACCTCTCTGGCCAAGGAGCTAAGCATTCCGGATCATTGCTTGTTGGTTCAAGTTCATTGAACGGAAACAGCATTTCTTCAGCTTAGATCAATTGCTTGATTGGCTTAAGTTTATTAAGCGTAAATTAGCAATTGTTGTCAGGAGCCGAGAGAGATTCAAGTCGTATTGAGTGTTATTTTGGCTATAGATTAAATTCATAGATCAGATTAAATTGGTGGATAAGAGACTTCATTCGTGAAGGACTTTTTACCAGCCTTGCTGTTAGGTGCCGATTAAGTGAGATTTATCTGCTTAAGTCTATTAAGTGGGTTATTGATCTTATTCTGCAATCAGGTAGATTAACTCAATAGTTAAGGTGTAATTGGCTCAAGCTGATTGAGCGGAAATTGCATTCTTTTGATAGGCGCTTGAAATCGGTGAATCGGTGGCTCAAGTCTCGATTGAGCACCTTCATGATTGATAGCGGCAGGTGTTTCATTTGACAGATATTGTTTAAGATAAAATCCCGTCAGCCTGGGTAGGCAATAATTGGAATAATTAATCAGAATACTATATACACAGTATAGAGGTGTAAATAGCAAAGTTTGTGTGAATAAGAGAATTAGAATTAATACTGTCTCTGAGTTGGAAAAGAGTCGTACTTTGGTATATTCTTTTTTAGGGAACCGTGGCATTGTCAAGATTGTCATCGGCGCCTTTGACTGATAAAAGAGGATTACCAAATATCAATTCCTTTTATTTGAGTTCTGCTTTAGGGAACCGTGGCACTGTCAATATTGTCATCGGAGCCTTTGTCTGATAAAGAAGGACCGAATAAATCAAGGATTGATTTTGTTAGATTTGATTAAGGGCTGCTTTGTTGCTTGGAATTCTTAATAGAAAGAAGTGGTTAGAGAATCATAAAAATCCCCTAGACACACCGATCTTCAATTAGCTTCTTTCTAGGTAATTGTCGCACCCAATTACCATCCGTTAGGAAAAGCAAAGCCCGAGGACTCTGTTAATTTGGAATTAGCATTTTATTAAGATAATCAAAAACCACCTGTGCGAGCGGTCGTCTGTCTCTTTGTTAGTCTAAATAGCAGCCTTAGCAATACCCTAGGCACTTGTGTTTAGGTGAGACACGGTCGCGCGTTACACACTCTGGCCCTCAGGTAGCTTGAAATGTTAAGTCCCTCTCATAAATCGCGCTAGTCCTCTGCGGAAAACTTTCTTCCGCGATTCCCTTTGTTTGTTATCACTTGTGACCTTGCTTGTGACGTCACGATCGGTGTGCACCGAGGAGCGCGGCTGATATCGAAAATTACTAAATTTTCAATGCTTATTTTGGGGGCTTTAATGAAGGAATTTATAAATTTTGATCATTTTAAATTGTTAAATGCTATTATATTAACCACAAACGACTATAAAATGTTTTGTTTGGTTCCTCTTTAAGAACTTCCTTTCCTCCAAAATAATTAATTTTTTGATGGCAGCAGAATTAGCAAACCCTTATGATTCTTCTAAACCCGTGACTCGATTTTAAATTATAAAATATAAAAAAATTGCTAATTTTTTTTCTTAATTTTTGATAAAAAATTAATTCGTCACAATGCTTCATTATAATTAATATGTTAATTAGAATTTCCTTTCACTTTGGTTCCCGCCGCTTTTTCTCCATCTGGCGGCGCTCGTGTCAATCAAATTGCAAATCACAATCAACACGCCTCTTCTACACTGCACTTAAGGCCAAAATGATGCATTAAGATTTATTGGAATTTTCTTTTTTGAAAATTTTGAGTTAAAAACTTATTATACTTGTTGTTAAATTTGCTCAAAGGCAACAAAGTCTGTTAGTACCATATGCGTTATCGGTTTGTTTGAAATGCAAGGGTTTATTGATGTGGTTTTTTCAATTTTGCTGATTTTTTGTATTTTTTCTTGCTCATGAAATAGGGTCGCAGACCGTGACCGAAACTGGTAGAGCTGTTTGTTTTTGAATAAAAATAATTTTTTTTTGCAACGAGGAAAAGCCCGAATCTTCATTTCCTTTATTGATCGATTTTGACATTTCCAATCACACAATTTTTATTTCATTTCCACACGAATTCAAGACAGAAAAAGGGTTTTTGTGGACGGACGCGGCCATTAAGGGATAACGTCGGGCACCGTGGACAGAATGAAATTCCTGTAGAATTGAACCGGGAAAAATTCCGAAGGGCCAGAGTAGAGGCCACTGGTGCAAGTGATCCAGTGAACAAAGGCCACCAACACTTTGTCAACCAACAGAACAGGGGAAATACCGTAACCGGGAAAGTTTTTGTACTGTAATTTTTCGGAAAATGGTCACAAAATAATTGCGATTGTCAATTGAATGAGTGTACCGAGCAATCGGTGGCGCTGTTGCTGACGCATACGTTGGATCCGTCAGTATCGAAATCACCTGAACTAATGCCGTTGTTGGTGTACTCCTGCGGACAGTTGGCGTTGGCCAAAACAGAGGTTGTGTGTCCGAAGAGCGTCTGCAAAAAGTGTTTGTTAGGAAAAGATTCTCAAAAAAAGAAAGATGGTGGACGCACGCCATTGGGGTAGAGAAGTAAACGACCAGGCCGGTGACATTGGTGGTGAAATCGTGGTAGTCGGATATAGCGTCATTGTTTGATATGGCCCTGGGAACCTCTTGTAGCATATTTTAAGGACTTCGACAGCATCTTCCGCACTGGTCCAGTCTCTGACAGCCTGGACGGGGGCGGGCGCGCCGTATATCGTTATCGTCCTGGCTTCATTAGAGCTTTTCAAAGTAATTAAGCGAATTGAATAATGTCCGTGTATAAATTAAATCATGCGTCTTACTCACATCTTTCTCTCTCGCACAATTTCGCTCTATCCAGACAGAAAATAAATTTTCCACTGAAAAAAATGAAATAGTACATCTCTAGAAGAAAACATTTCCATCAGCAGATATTAATTAAAATTTTAATCGGTTCACTTTTTTGGCGAAATTTCATAATAGAATAGTATTTAAAAAGGAAAATTAAAAAAAAAAATCATTTTTTTGCTATGAGATCTCTTAAAAGAAGGAATATTGCATTAGGTAAAATCAATTTAATTCATTTGCATTTCAACTCTAAATTTAATTAATTTGCAATTTAAGTGCTATGGAAAAATAAATATAAATTGCTACGAACTGGAATTTTTTAGCACAGTAAAACAGTAATACTTTTCAGTTTTTAGTCGTAAGTTTTGTGTATTTATTCAAAAAAGAGATCGTATTTTGAATACATGTTAAGCTTAAGAGGAGACAAATCAAGATTTTGTTTCTAGATTTAAATACAGGATTTGGAAAAGTCTCTAGTTTTAATAAATTGTCACCTGAGAGAAGCAGTAATTTGATTGTGAAAAATACATTTTTCGTTCCTAATTTTTGTGAACTATAACTACGGCATTACATTGTAGCTCTAAAGGATCTTAAAAAAAAGTTCAACGCATAATATGTAATATCTCTGAAAAACTATCCCATAAACAACCAAAATCACTGCTTTTTTTATAGTGTCATCTTTTATTAGTGATTGACAATCTTAGCCAATGCTTTTAAAAGACATGAAAGAATTCACAAAATCTCATCAACACAGCTAGAAAATAACACTCATTTGGAAAACATTAAATTTTAAAATTGGTCCTCAAAAATGAGATTATCCGGCGTCTTCTCTCTGACTACATTTTATTTTTATTTTTCCTATCTTCTGTCAACTAACCTTGATGTTTGAATTGATCGTAACATTAATTTCGCTACTCACTACAATCAAATTAAATTGATTATGACTAATCCTCTGTTGCTGCCGTCATGGACAGAACAGAGACCACTCAAATCAAATGGAATGTTCCCAATCAAGCATTATATAATCTCATTCGCTTTTATAAGCTTGCTTGTTATTTTGCTAACTACAGTTCAAATCTCTTTGAAGTTAACTACATTTTAACCACAATCTTCTTTGCATGTACTACAAATTAATTTTATTTTTTGAGGACAAATTTTGAAGAAATAAATGAGATCGGGTTATTTTATGCAAATTTCTGAATGTGTTCTTCTTATACGTCTCTCCACATTTTCGCGCATGTACGCTTGATTTCCTGTATAAAAAGGTGTTGCCTATCTATCGTTTTTATGAAAATATGGGACACTTCTTCACACTCTCATTTCAACAGCTTTTTTCTACTGAAATTTTGCATGCTCTATAATGAAGGTGACGAATTTTTTCTAGCCACTACAGTCATTTTAACAAGTATAATGATTTTTAATTAACATTATCAATATATAGGGCAATGTACTGATGAATTCAGCAGATGTTTACACTGATATTTAAATTTCCTATACATTATACAATATTAAAGAGTCAATGTATAATAATTGTGGGAACGTGTCTACGTTTTGGTTGATATATACAGTAATTTGTGTATAATTCATTCTTAGATAGTTAGTAGGTTACAGTTTAATATCACATTTTAATGATGATGAGGAAATTTGAGAATATACTTATATAATACGGAAAATGAGTAAATCCTTTCTCTTGCTCTCCTCTATCTACATCCAAAAGTTTAATCAATTCAATTTTCCAAAATTAAAAAATTACAAATATTCATTTTCCTCCTAATAACCAATTATCTTTCAATTTCAAATCCATGCTTTTTGTTATTCAACAAATACTTCTTTTTCGGACGAGAGATTAAATTTTTTTTTTTCGAAATTAATAGACGCAGTCTGACGAGTCGTCGTCGGCTACCCGGATGATTGGAATACCTTTGAGGGACTCGCTGCATGACCCTTTGAGGATGGCGTCGCCGTCGAGACTTAGCGGCGGCGACACTCTTCGGTTGCGCTTGAAGTAGTGCAGCTCGAAGTCGCTGGAGCGGTGTTGGTGGAGGCGGCGCGAGAGACGGTGCTGGCGTTCTGGAGGCACGTCATATGTAGGGTCGCAACGGCTGAACTCGCGGAACAGCGCGTCTGACTTTTCGTCCACGCTATAGTCGCGTGACTGCAGCGACGAGTACACATACTTGTTGTGCCTGTTAACAATAATTATATTCAATAAACTGAATATTTTACAATATTTTCAAAACAAAATTGTGCTAAATTTGATGTAAAAAAAAGATGCAAACAATATATAACACATTTTTTGTTAAATTTGAGAGAAATTGAACTTGAAAATTAAAATTTATTCAATTATGCAAAGTTATAGTTTAAATTTTAGTTATCATAAAATTATATTTTATTCTAATCAATTTTGTTAAATTTTTTTAATTATTTATGGAACAAAAAAAACTAATTAAATAATTATTTATAGAGATAAATATTATAATTTATATAAATATATTTAATTATTTTTCTTTTTAACTATAATATAATTTCTATTAAATGTACTAATAACTTTTAAATTCATATGAGATTTTGCAGCGAAATCAGTAATTTTTTGTGATTTATAAAGTTCTATTTTTTTTTTTTTTTTTTTTTGCTCTAGTCACTTTTTTAATAATTTAAAACTTGGACAATCAAATTTCCAACGGTCAATTACACATTTAACGTGGCTTATATAACAATAATCGTTTTCAGCTGCTAATTTTTTCCAATTTTTACAAAATATAAAATTTATTTAACCAATTCTCATACTTTTAAATTATTGCATTAAAAAAAGAAATGAAAATTCTCCTACCTTAGGTATCGAGGCATGAGTATGGCCTTGTTCCTCTTGGACATGATGGTGGTGGTGGTGACCGACGAGGGCGACTCTCCGCCGGACCGCGAGTCCGTCTCGAGCTCGTTGACCGACTCGAAGTAGAGCGAGTCGGGGGTGCGTCGTCCGCCGTGGAACTCGCGCCGCTTCTTGGACGCGAGCTCGTCCTCAGTCTTAATGTTGGCGCCGCCCTCGAGCGGCTCGTCCAGGTCGATGCTGTCCTGCTTCTGGCTCAGCCGCGGCGCGTGCGTCTCAAAGCTGCGGTAGCCGCTGTCGGCGCGCACCTGCTGGCAAAACTTGTGCGTCGCCCCCGTGCTGTGGCCGCCCACGTGGCCCTGGCCTCCTTCCCCAAGGCTGTCCGTGTTGTCCGTTGTACTTTCAAAGCTCGTTGTTAACTGCAAAATTTAAATAGGATAGTAAAAAAATGTAAAATTACTTAAAATTTTCCAAATATTTGTTTAAATGAATATATTTTAATATATCATTTAACCTTCTAAGATGTAAGTTGAAAGTTGTACTCAATTGAGTTTTCAATAAAGACCATATATATATCATTTCAAATTGTTATTGAATAATTTGATTTAAAAAGGGAATTAAAATGAATTTAAATATAAGTAAATTTTTGAAAAGAACATTTTATAGTTTTTATCACTTCTCATTGGTTAAATTTTGTGTTCGTTTTAGGGGCTAATTATTATTTTCCTCCTGTAGAAACTTAATGAACCTAGAGTTTTTCTATTTTTTTGAAAGTTCATCTATAATAAAAGGATTTCCGATTCATGATCTAAGAAATACGTCAAGCAAGTATTGTTAAAAAAGCACCGTATACTAAAATTATATTCAATTTTTTGTCTTTGATAAATTAATAAAGCAAAAATTAAAACATTTTTCCGGTTAATTTCTTGCTACCTGCTCTAATCTACTGGCGTCCGTGGAAGAGCCTTCAGTGTCCACCGTTTCCATCGAGTCGAAGCTGCTGTTCTCGATGACCAAAGGTTGGAAAGTGGCCGCACCCTCTTTTCTCCTGAGTCTCGAAGTCAAAACGTTTTTGTATGTTTGTCTCCTGGACTCGTACGACGGCAGCTGCAGCAAGTGGGGTGGCCACCGGACAGGCGGGTCGTCGTTCAACAGGGGCTCCGTGTTGGACTCGAAGGAGGTGGTGTGACTAGTCGCCGGGTCTGTAATAAAAGAAAAGTATGAATGCGTGTGTATGCAACCGGCTCGACGCTTGGGTCGGGCGGGTTGCAGAGACGTCGCTGAAAGGCGCTTTTCACTGAAGAGCAAACACAAAAGTAGTTCTTTCTTTTCGGGTGTATTTTTAATCATACCTGGTGAAAGGTCAGCCGGCGAGTTGAGAATGGGCTCCTTTTCGAGAGGCGTGCTATTCTTCGTGTAATCCTCCTCCTCAACTTTGACTCTCGACAACTCTTGCGAAGGTGGCGAGTCGGAGATTTCCTCGTCGTCCTCTTCAAAAGTCGCCCTCAGCTCCCACAATTGTTTGTACTGCAGCTGTTACAAAATAAGAAGAAGAAGAAGCACGTACTGTGTTTATTCTTTGGTGAAAAACACGCACTAGACTTACCCGCAAGTCCTCGAAGTCGGTCGGGTTGTGCTCCATCATGTCGTCTAAGAAGTAATCTACCATCCCACTTTGCGCGTTTACCTTGAAAAACATATCATTATTTACAAAACTCTAATTATTAGCACATTGGTACAGGAGAGAAATTCATAAATTGATTATATTTTTTTCCCTTAAAAATTTCTTTCCGTTGCAGATGAATTTCAAAATCAATAATAAAATTTAAATCACAATAAAAGTTCATTTGCTTAAAAATTGAGCCAATACAATTATTTTTGAAACAAAAATTGTTCAAGTTTTTAACTTCAAGTCTCATTCATTATGGCTGCCTGTGGGAAGCTTTGAAAGTTCAATTCTTGTCCGAAGTCAATTCTCTAAAACGTATTTCTGTTGTTAAGCAAATATTTGTATCACGATATTGTGAAATTATTGCTTTCCAACTCTTCAATTATTTTTATTTAAAAAAATATTAATCCAATTTATTAAATTAAAAATTGGCTTCACAATTTTGGACAGTTTAATAATATTAAAACTTTATCGATTCATATTTTAAAACTTTTAAACAAATTTCAAGAAAATGAACCATTTTTCTTCTGCATCTGCAGCTACAATTTTCCAAAATTATGTCTTTGTGCATGAGCGTTTTGACTGCCAAAATGTTATCAGATTTGGCATTTTTCTTGTGGTCGACAAAAAAAAACCAGTTCGCCCATAACAGCCGTGAATTTTTTAAGCGAGAGCACAGACAAGCTGGACCATGAATATTACACGAAACAGCCTCTGGAAGCTCGCCAGATGGCCTCATAATGTTACAGCAGTCGAGCGAAAGAGAAATCATGCTCTACACAACATTTTTTTCTGCTCCCAAGGCCTCGCTCAGCACTAATTGCTCGCGTTTGACTGCTAAAGAAAATTCTTTAGAAAAATCAGGCTTTTTAGAATCAAAATTCCCCAGGTGAAGTAAAAAGTCATTTTAACTAGTCTTTATTAATTTAAATTCTAAGAAAATAATAAAAATTAATGTTGTTCTTAAATATAAGACAGCACTAATTTTTTTGCTAATATTCTCTGTAAAATTTTTTAATGACAGTGAAAATTGATACCTGCAAAAATGTTTAAGCCTTCAAATATGTGAAATTTAAAAATTGAAAAATATCACAATTTTTTTTATAAAATATATAATATTATTAAGTAAAGTTCTTTCTGTCCCACTTATTTTGAAGCAGAAAGATTAATTTTGAAAATTAATGTTTAGAAAATTTAATTTATAAAAAATAATTTCTTTTTTAAAATTATGCTCTCACCTCCTCGAGGCTGCCGGTGTCGTTGTATCTGACTTTGCCCTTGTCACTGGACGACTCGTCGCTCAACTGCTGCTTGGACAATTCCTCCCTGTAGTGGTAAAGACCCATTTCCAGCGGCGTCCAGTCGGTGCTGGGCGCCCGGTGCGGCGGCGAACCGTCCCACTCCATCACCACCTCCAATCCGCCCTTGCTGCAAACATAAAAAACAAATTCGACCTTGAGCTGCGGACTTGTTTGATTTGAAAACAATACAATTGTGCTATGCGGCGGTGCAATCGATCGCAGACAAGAACGTTGTTTGCATTTTCAATATTTTATTGGCGGTCTGTGTTTTGCCTTGCGTGTGACATCTTTCTTTCTTTCTTTTCCTCGTAGGTCGAGATTTTGTGCCAGTTTTGCTTTATATAGTTTTCAGCTCTCGTGTAGCTATTTTTAGCCCGCCAACTTGTGAGAGAGGTTAAATTTTATAGCTCTCCTATTATTCTTCGAGCTTTGAGTTTTTATTGAAATAATTCGAGCTATTCTGGGAATGGAATTAATTTTGCTGCATAAAATCTTCTGTATACTTTTCACAGAAAACAAAATTAATTTTCAACTTTAATTCAAGAACCTACAAAAAAAGTAATCCATGCCTTATTTAGTTATTGAAAAATATCTGCAAATTTTAGACAATTGATAATTTTTTTTGCCTAACAATATAATTAAGATCATGAAATTTGCATGATTTATGAAATTTTAAGATTTGTGATTCAATTAAAATAGCTTAAAATTGGCCCAACTGACTATTTTGTAAAAAACCGCAATCTGAAGAGTTGAGAGTCTATTTTTGATATGCAATTTTTAAATTTTTTTCAGCTCTGAGGATAAATTTTGAACTGAAATTTTATTTTCTCTTACCTCGTTTCTCTGGAGGCTTCTTTGCGCGGCGTCCTCCTCGGCGAGTTGACGGTCGGCGGCGCCGCTGCCCCCGCAGCCGCCTCCACCGGACTCGCAGGAGGCGAAGAGTTTTGGTCAACGATGGCCACTTTTGTTCTGTCCCTGCGAAAACTGCCCCTGGGGCTGAGGATGCTACTCGAACTGCCGGCGCCGCTCAAACGGACACTCACCCCTTTGGGGTGGTAACATGCGGACTCTTCAAAGTCGGAGCCACGGCTGTCCAAATTCACCTCCACGTGCTGAAATTGATAAAAAAAATTGTTTAGAAAATTTTCACTCTCTTTATCTATAAGTTAAAAAAATAAAATAAAATCTGTTTGAAAAATTGTGGACAACTTTTATTATATTTATTTAATTTTAATATTTAATTTTAAATAATTTTTGTTTATATTATAAAAACATTAAATGTTAACTTTAAATTTTATATAAATTTTTTATCTTTGATTTTTAAATTTAATTTGTATTTAATATTAAATTTGATATATTTTATCGATATTTTCACAACCTCATCATTGTTTATTCATCTAATAACTGGTGTGAATAAATGATTAATTTGTTGGATGAGAATATTTTAAAATAAAGCGCTTTGAATAATGCAAAATAAAATATGAAAAGCACCATCAAATAAATATTGTTTTTTTTTCAAGGCTTATGCAATTATTTATATGCATAGATTTTTTCAAATTTGGAAAATCTAAATGAAAACATAACCTTTCTGAACTTGAATTGTCGATTTTCTTATAAATAATTTATAGTGCTAAAAAATAGATCGCGTCCTTCATTGTAAGTAACAAAAGTAATTTGAAACTTGATGCGGCATCAACGTTCTGCCGCAGTGACAAATTTTATTTTCGAGAACAAGTCGCGTATCGTTTTTCTCCCAAAATTACACACTAGTAAGAGGGTGCGCAGTTTCCCCGAACTTTCTCGCATCTTGGTATGCACAGCAAGTCACGCGAAAATGGTCTAACTTTACTTGGAAGCGAAATTTGACACCGAAAACAATTTTCTCGAATGTGCTTCAAAATAAATAAATTGGTCTCGAAAGCTAAATAAAAATGAGGACGGAAAAGTTACCACGAGGAAAAAAAGAAAGGTCTCGTTAGGTGGAGAAAGAAAAGTGTATTTTGGGTGTTGGCCGAGAAAGCGGGGCGACATTTGGATGCAAATGCGCCTGTGAATAGGCAAGCGCACGTACACGGGGAATAAATTTGACAATAAATCGAAGCCGTGGTCAATATTTGTGGCAATGTACTCACCTCGGAGGCGTTTAGCTCGGCCGTGCACTGCCGGGCGAAAAAGGGCGACACAGTCTTTATGGACAATTGTCGCTGGAGGACCACGCTGCGGCTGTTGTCCTCACTAGCCGCCCTGAAATCACAGGCAAAAAGACCAAATTCAGTGAAATTTCATTTGAATTTCAAGCACTTTTAAGTTTTCTATCAGTACAAAACAGTTAGTCAATATTTTATTATTTTTATCTGAAAATGAAATTTTTATCCTTCCCAATGCAGTGTCCGGTGAGTTGATATTTTTGTTACAATTTTAATATCTTTTTGAAGTTCCATAACGTTAATTTAAATTTCAAAGAAAACGGAATTTATATTTCTTACGTCGTTATTTGTTATCCATATGTAAATAGATAATAATTATTTCAGAAAAGCACGTTTCAAGGCTGGTTTCCAATTCTCCATTACGTTATTCGTTTACTTATTACGTTGTTCGTTTTGCCGAGGAAAGGAAATCGTATAAGCCGTTTCCAATTCACCAAAACGGACTCCATAAAGTATTTTGAGTTCCGCCAGTGGTTTCCGATTCAACAAAACGTATACGATTACGTGCAACTCATTGCGAGCACCAAACGTGCTGCGTTTTAAGAAAAGTGCACCTTTTTTGTTTCCGCTTCTGAATAATTTTAATTGATGCTTATATATGTATTTAAACTTTTTGACTTGTTGCAAGTGAATAAATAAATGAATTGAACACTGACTTTGTGAAAATCACTTATTGATTATTTCGTTTTTAAACATTAGAGCGTCTTTTCAACTTTTGAGATCAGTGACATCATCAATTTTAGATTAGAATAAAACTTCAAATAAAATTGTCACCATATCCTATCTTTTATTTTCTTTTATGGAAATTTTATGATTAAATTGGTGAAATTAAAAATATTTTTCTACTTGGAACTTTTGCAACTAAAATTTAAGCCTAAAAGCCAGGGAAAAAAAGGAGAATTTTTACAATCATTTATCTCTGTTTGAAAGAGAGTTTTTAATGAATTTTTACAAGTATTATATTTTTCATAAACTATATACTTCCTCTTTTTTTCTTTTTTTTAATTGTTATTAATTATTATAGTTTGGATGAATCACAGATTCATTGGCAATCAAATCTATTTCTACAATTTCCATGGTACTGAGTGTTTGACGTGTCATGAAAGCCGAGCACGTTTCTGCAACATGGCAAAGACGCTTCGCTAATTATTCGCGGAAAATCAACGAGAGAGGCGGGGGTATAGAGGTTAAATAATAGGCATCGCAATCTTGCAACCCCTCAACCCACGGCTTGTTTTGCTCTCGCGAAACCGACGAGCTCTCAAAGCAAGCAGGGCTGTGTGCGTGTCACGGCGTTGCTAAGTTATGAAACGCCTTCGTCGGTCTGCAGCATTTTGTTCATTATATAAAGAAGAGAGCAGAGGCGTTCTTGAAATATCTACAGCCTCATCTTCGCAACAACAAAACGCGACGAGGAAAACAGAAAGAAGCTATTTTTAGCCCAGAGGGACTCCCTTATAAATTTCGTCAGGGGTGAATTCTATTTTGGTCGTTTCCACCCTAATCAGAGGACTATAGGGAGTAAAAAAATTGCGCACAAATAGGAAATGATTAGAAACTTTGTGAATCAAAGCCATTTATTTATCAAAATCTTTGCTTCTATAATTATTGAATTGTTCAACAATTCCATGAAAATACAAAAAAAGTTTTTTGTGTGTGATAACTTGTGGATTATTTTAATTTATTCAAATTTTTACTGGAGTTTGCAACATAAATCCAATTGAAACTCGTTTGAACTGATTAATTGTGCTCTATTTAAAAAAAAAATTAAATATTTTCAAGTAAAAATAAAAACAATTGACCCAAATATACACAAAAGATTAAATGTTGAATTATGATACATAATTCAATAAAAAAACGAAATAAATAATAATTCCTCTATTGAATTACATATATTCATAAGAAAAAGTAAAAAGTAGAAGAAACTTGCATGTAATTTATTTTGCAATTTTAAAATTGATAAAAAGTTATCTCGAATGTTCGAGGCTCTTAACATTCTTGTTGAAATTGCACCGATAATGTGACTTTTCTTGTCCGACTTTTATGCGCCGAGCAAGTTTGGCGCGGCCACATTTTTTATTGCACCGCAACAGCCCCATGAAATTACACCCTTGCTGATTTGTGTTTTGCCAGCCGGGGTTAGCGCGCGCGACACACAATAAAAATTCCTGCGTGTGTTTGCGATTTCCCGCAGAACGCGCGATGCGAACCCTTTGGCGCCGTATTGCAGTCTCGCAGCGAGTCAAGGCCAAGAGCCGGGCCTCCCCATCCGTGGCATACATAATTTTTTTTTTTTCATTCTTGACCGAGCGCATCTCCGTGTCCTATCTCGTTGTTTTGCATTTTATACACAGAGAGTGTTTCAAAAGATGATGTTTTTCGTTCGGCGACAATTAAAAGATCACAGCCCTCGAGCGCGCGGTTAAGTGCAGGCCGAGCACGTGCCGAACAAGAGGGGCGCAAAAGGGTGGAGCGAAAGTGATTTTCTCCGTTAATGAAATCTACTAATAAAATTACGTAACAGAAGTCAAGTTAGATGAAGGATATTATATAATTAATTGTTTACTTTATTCATTGGGAAAATAGAAAATAATTAGGGAAAATGCAATTTTTAAAGAAAAAACTTTTTGGATAAAGATAAATAATAGGCTAATTAAAATCAATAAAGCCCAAATATATAAAAATTCACTCTTCTGTTTACTTAAAAATCGTTTAATAAATGATTATAAATTAAAGAGTAATTAATTATAATTTAAAACTGAGTTTGCTGTATTTAAATCTTTAACTTTTTTTAAACCGTATTTTAACTTGATTTCCTGGAAAATATTTTTAATTTATTGAAGTAAATTTTGCCGCTATAACTTTTTTTTATAGAAATGTTTATAAGAATTTATCCAAAATGTGTTTTAAAATTTTGTCACGCACTGCGTTTTCTTAAATCCTTCTAAAAATACAAATTTTATGATAAAATAACCCAATTTTTTTTTCATACCCATTTCACTGTATTTAATTTGGTTTTGTTTAATCTTGCAAAATAAGCATAAATGACGCAATTCTGCTAAAACTATCTGATTAGAAATACGACATTATTTTGAATGATTTGGCAATGTTTTAAATGAAATTAAATTTTGAGATTTGTGTACGTCCAAAACAGAAGTTTTTTTTTTGTAATCAAAAACCAAACAATCTTTGCAAACTTCAATTTTTTACTTCCTCGAAAATAACCAGAAAATTCTGAAAATTCCTAAATACTGCCTGAAAAAACTTGATATTTTCTGAATTCCCGGTACATTTAAGTCAGTTTTCAGAAACCATGACCAAAACTGGTATAGAGCGGTTTTTTCCCTGTAAAAACAATCAACTACAAAGCGCATTTTTCAGTTGTTTGAAAATTTTGTAGTACAAATTTTTCAATTCCAGACAATTTTCAAGCTGCTCGTTTACAAAATAAGTAATATTAAAATTACAATAATCGAATAATTTAAAAATAATCTGCTAAAAATCTTAAAATAATTCCAGCTCATAAAATTCTTCCATTAAATTTTGATTTCAAACCATTTGCAATTATGATGAGTTTTGAAAGTGAAAAATTAATATTATTTTTGTAAAATGAACAAAACTTTTAGTAACGAGGAAAATCCCGGTCGGAATAATTTATCTAAAAAAACATTACGTATCAAGTGGGTGCAAGACCTGCGGGGCCTATATATAATAAAACACCTCATTACGCAAAGGAACTCTCGACGCGGCAGAGAGACGAAACGACGCTCTCGTTCTTCCGCTCCAGACGGTCCGGAAAAAAATGAAACTGCGGCAAAATCGAGCGTTTTTACCGAGCACCGAAAGATAGATAAAAACCGAATTTTTAATTTTAGTCCTGTAAAAAAAATTGATGAAAAAATTTTTACCCAGCAGGCGCTCCGAAGGGCTGGTGTTTGCCGCCCGAAGGGTGCACAACGTGGCTCCAGCCCTGCCACGCTTTCCACATCTCCTGCACGCCGAAGCAGCTCTTGAGGTTGCACTGGACGGCCTGGCAGCAGAACCACATCCTGAGGAGGCGCCTCACTGGACGCGGCCTGCCATTGAGTGTCGGTCGCGCTCCGGCGGCACCCCGAACAGCGGCCCGAATAGCGCAGAGCTGAATGAAACGACTCGTTGATAGTGGTGGTGGTGGTGGTGGTTAGCACTGCGCCTCTGTCGTAGTTTGACGTCATCGCATAGGTCAGACAATCGATGCTTACTTATCTTCTTCCCACGCGCCCCGTCGCACCCCCTGTTTCCGAATTCGCCCCCCGAACTATTTCTATTTTCGGCGCCTCCCCCTCCAGAGTTTCGGAGATTTTCCGAAAAATTAGGTTACAAAAAAATTACACCCTCTCCCTTCCCCCGCCGACGCAGCCCGCCCGGATTTCGATTTGGCACCGGTGACGTCAGAGGTGCCTACACGTCACGCGCCCCCGGGGTTGCAACACAGTTTCAGTTCCGCATTTCGCTGAGAATAAATTCTCGCAAAACGCAGTTTCGCGTGCGCCAAATGATTGCATTACAGTCGGGAAAAGTAGGTTATTTGTGTATTAATTTCCTCAGAAATAAACAAACAAATTGATTAAATAATAGTTAATAATATTACTTTTTCATTATTATTGATATTTTTAATCAATTTTACTTATTGCATAAATGTTTTTATAATTTAGGCAATTTTTCCTGAAAATCAGTGCGTTTTAGCTTGAATTTTATTTAATTTCAAAATAGGTGACAAAAAGTGGAACATCTCAAAATAGGTGCAAACCAGTTTGTTATTTACTCAAAAATAAATTCAATAAATTTATCAATTTGGTGATTTTAAATAGAAAATATAGCTTGGGTTTAATAATAGTTTTTTGTTTTTTGGACAAATATGTTAAAAAACTATTTTTCCATCCTTACGCTGCATATTTTTGCCACGATTTTTTTTCAAATGCAAAAAATCAAGCCCGAGAAAAATGATAAGCTCGGTTTGCACGTGCGTGGGCCACTTCCTTTTAATTCTGACGGCGCTAATTATACACACAGGCGTCATTAATAGACCGAAATAAAGCGGTTGACGCCAAACGATTGGGATCTGTGGTTGCTGCAATTATTATATGTGTTCATATTTCCAAGGTCTTGAAATTTAATGAGGGTATTTTTAAGGATATTGCTTGCATTTTCAAGAGAAGTTCTCCTCTTGCTGGCGGTTTATTGTAATCAAGTTGTAAACTTTGTTTTTTAATGACTCTTTTAGTTAAATCTCAGGAAATTTTTGGTTAAATAAAATATTTTGCGTAAAGAATTTTCACTTTTCAAACTGTTGATATTAATAAAAAATACGGAAATTCACCCACTGTTTGAAAAATACAGCTTTTCCATCTAAATATAAATATTCATGAATTAATATTTATTAAAAAAATCCCCTGTTAAAAAAGTAAAATATTGCAAGTACATTTCTACAAATCGAATTAATTTAAATCATATTTGTTTGTTTGAATATTTGTTAAACTTTTTAACTGCGTCATATTTTTTGTGCTTCTAAATGTCAAGCCTTTGAGTTAATATTGGGATTCAGCATAATTTAATATAAGCTTGTTTAAATAAATGTAATGAGTTTTTTGTTAATATTTTTTGCAGCACGACACGAATCACAAAAACCTTTGATTTATTTGATAAATTCTCTCCAATGTTAAAAAATAAAAGCTTGAAGCACATCAAAACGCCTACAGTGGTGTCTGAATTTCCCCGAAAAGCTAAATGGATTTTTTTTTAATATAATTTTAAAAGTTAAATTAAACTTCCAATTCAAACGTAAAACCTCTGGCATAGTTTCCTGCGTGGGTTTCAGTTGGATTTGCGCAGAAATTTTCCGCTTTTGACCTTTTCCACGTTCGCCAGATTGGCAGACGAGAATCTTGCCAGAGAAGTAATTACAAGAAGACTTTTTGCGACGCGAGAATCAGCGGATGCGAAGAAATAGCAGCTGCATGTGCACCAGCGAGCTCAATTCTCTTATTGTTATAAAATAGAAAGAGAGAAAATCAGAAGCCGCGCGCCGCTCTACGTTTTTAACTTCTTTTACATCGCCATGGCGTTGATATATAGGAATTTTATTTTCAATACAGATGACATTTACGCCAATCATGTAAAAGAAAGAAAGTTTAGGAAAGTATTTATTTAAAAAAATTAATTTAATAATAAACCAAATTAATTTATAATCCAAATATTTACGCACAAATTTTATATATTTATTTTAATTAAATATTATTTAAAAAAATATTTCTATTAGTTCTCCATTAAAAGTTATGGTTTTTTATGTGTAGTGGCAATTCCAATTAAAATTTCTACTTAGTTTTAATTTTTAGCAATAAATAAATTATGATTAAAAGAAGTTCATATTAAAAACGTCAACAAATTAATTATACTAAATAATATACTCGGTCATATTTTCACAAGAAAGAAATTTTTTTTTTTTAATGAATGAAATTTCTTTCCTCCGGTTCAATTTCCTCCTTCATGAAATTTATAAATAAATAAATAAAGACGTTCATTTGTACGGTTTCCTCTGGTCTTTGAGGCAGTCAGATTATTTCCAAGAGACTCAACTAACTGATCCAACGTAAAGCATGTTGATACACCTTTGCGAGATCAAAAGAAAAGTTGGAAAACTTCTGGGCTTCTTTTTTGCAAGGTAATGCTTGAAATAAACCAAATATATAAAAGACTGTTTTTGCGCAAGCTCCATCGAGCAGAGAAACATATTGAGGCGCAAAAAGATCTGTCATACTTGCTTTGACAAAAAATTATACAACTTTTTATCAGTCTGGATTTATATCTGCGTCATGCGGATTGGAAAAAATACACGATATTTCAAAAGGTTGGTGAAATATTATCCCAGAATAGCCAGTGGGCAAAAGAGGTTCTTCTTTCACGAGTTATAAAAAAAAAATGAATAAAATATATGATCACCTTGTAGCTTCTAGCAATTTTGTGACATCTTCTAAAAAATTGGATGGACTCTTTTATGACAAGTAAGTTATTAATAATAAAATTCCAAGATTAAATGTCACAAAAATATGAACGATAAATTAAAATTTTAAATTCAATTTTTTATTTTTCGAACTGGAAATTTAACACTGAAAACCATGCAATTTAACTTAAAATCTATCACTTATGGTCTGAAAACATATTTAAATTGCAAGATAACTTTTAATAATTAAAAATCTCTTTTCACTTGAATTCAATTTTTGTTTTCAGAATTCAATTTGGCTAATTATAATAAAATTTGCTAATAAAATGCGTCTCTAAAATTTGGAAAAAAAATAAGCAATTCTAAATTAATTTGTACTTTATAGAGTTTAAAACTCAATTATCGCTTGAATTATACAGGTTAAATTGATTTCTAAGTTTTTTTCTTTTTTTAATTTTTTGTGTGATTTAACATGAAAATAAATTAATCTGGATTTCAGCGAATTTTTTTAAGAACAAAGAAGTTTCTTTAATTTTCCCAACCCCTAAACATATTTTAATTTGCGCAGTCATATTATGAAGTGTTTTTCTTTTAAATTTGTATCTCTCTTTGGGAAGATCTTGTCATACTCACCGCATAATTTGAGTGCTCTGCTTCCCTCTGGAGTAGTCCCCTGAGTCGCAGTCCTTCTTGTTCTCCGTCGTGCCTGCAAAGGAATCACAGAGTAATCAATCTAGTTTTTTTGTCCGACGGGCTCTTTTTCTACCTGGGAAGGAATAGTGGGAGCGCGTGGAGCCTCGTCTATCATCGCCTATTCTACAGCTATACCTACAACAAAAGCAAGCCACGTGCGAGTCACAAATAAAATAACCACTTGCTTTTTTCCTTATTTTCTATAAATAAAATCGCTACATCAAAAATATATATCTCTGCAGATACTTTTTTGTCACTGTTTTCCTTGCAAGCTGGAAATTATTCAGCACAAATCTATAGCAATGTAAAAGCTTTCTTTTTTAACGTGAGCAGCCCACATAATATTATCCTTTTCTCTCACCTTGTCGCTCTCGAGGGAACGTCTTCCTCGATCGCGCAGTCTATGGACTTCCTACTGTTGAAGCTGCTGGTGCTGTGCACTCTTCCCTCGCGGCTGTTGTGCGCGCTCCTGCAGCAGAAATAGGATATCAGCAACCGGGAAATTAAACCGCACAAAGCACTTGACAGGCTTATCGATTCGTGGAAAAGGGAATTTTGAAAAGTAACAGGTGGTTATGACATACAAAAAATCCCAAAAAAGTGATGGCATGAAGTTAAAATATTTAAAATTTGAATAATAAAAATTGCCAAGGAAAATAGATTGAATTTTGTGATTTTATAATAATTAGCTCCATTTATTTGATAAATTTTTGCATGATTATATAAAAAAAACTAAAAAATATGAATGAAATTATTCATTTATGGCTTATTTTTCTCCTTCAAATATGTAAATAATTGAAAAAAAAATACCAATCAACATTCCCCAAATTTAATAAGAAATTTCAGCAGTTTCTCAAAGTTCAGCATTTGAAAGAAGGAATAAAAACTTCAATTTTACACTGTTTTGAAACTTTTCAATGGTTTTCAAGCAAGGGTTTTCTTTCTGTCAAATCTTTCAAAAAAGCTATATCAAGGAAGTGCGACCGGCTGAATTTTGACAACTCACTTGACAACCGGCGAGGCGTCATTGCTTTGTTTGCAGCAGTGCAGTATAAAAATAACGAGGAGGACTACAAGTATGGTTGATATGACACCTGCTGCTACTAGGAAAACTATTTGGTCACTGAAGTCTTCCGACGACTTGAAGGGTGTCGTCGTGAATGGCAGTCTTGTCGTTGACACAATCTGGAAAGAGTGGTTTATTTATAAAAGCGTATTCACTCTCATTTATAGAATTAACGGTCTACAAGATAATAATAGGCAGGTGTGTATAAATAAACGGCGCTAATATTTTCGCATCGATTGGTTCATTGAACGCGAGCGTGTCTCTCGCTTCACATCCTTGCAGAAAATGAGAGTGTTGAAATAACTCTGAAGTTATATAACAAATTTCAGAGTCATAATGAAAAAATAATCATTAAATGTAATAATCTATTTTTGCAAATGAAATATCAAATTTACACGTTTCTGAATTGAAATAATTAAAAGTAATTTTACCACCAAATTGATTTATTTAGAAAAAGATGAAAACTTCAATTTTATTTATACTTACTAGTCTTGGAGGGCCACCCATTTTAGAATTTTGAGCTGAATCTATTTGATCAGGAAACCTGTAAACATCAAAAATTAAATTAGAAATCTTTTGCTGAGCTTTAAATTACTTATACTAATTTTGTAAAATTCGATTTGACGAAAATTTTCTCATGATTTCTTAATCAAAATGCTAGTGTGTAAAAAATTCATTGAATTTAATTCGGCTTGTTTTATTTTGCTAATTTATTGAGGATAAGGTTAGAAATTTTTAAAATGGTTTAAATCCTTTGACTATAAAAATAGATTTACATTTTCAATCAAAACACGTTCAAAGGCGGCAACGTCAGCACAACAAATTTGATCTTCATTCATGCCCAGCTATATAGGAAACCGTCTAACGACCCCTTTTCAAAGCCTTTTGATACTCGTTTAATTGCGTCTGTTGACTGCATGCAATAATTATCAAGTGAAATGCATGTGTGTTTGTTGTTTGCTCTCTCTCGGCACCATAATTCGCCGCCTTTTGACCTTAGCACAGATCAATGCATTAGCAGACTACTGTGCGCGCGCCACCCCGAGACTAGAAATGAACATGCAGGCCACTCATATTTTATTCATCCTCATTTCGCTCTGAACAAAAATATAGCAGATTTTTTCTCAAAAAACCTTTTTCGTATATTTTGATTTCGGCCGCAATAAAAATGCAAATAAGGGACAGTGTGATTGCGACACGAATCTAACGCGTATATAATGACATGGGGGGCTTAATGACGCAAACACATTGTTTCAATACATTTTTACCCGGCGCGCGTCAATCCAGCGGCGGTGGCTTCTGTAAATAGTTATATCATATATTGCCTCGGTACTGTGCACCCTATGGGCGGTTTGCCTGTTGGGAAAATGTTTCCCGGTGCGACGATATTGGACCGTAATTGAAATTGTACACAAACAATTGGGTCACCACACAAGCGCACGCAATTTTTTTTGCGAAATTTAAATATTTAACGAGTAAAGACTGAAAGTGAAGTGTAGCCAAAATTATTTTTGTGTTTGATAGTAAAAATTGACTCCAAAAATAGAGTGTTATAAAAAAATTATTATATTATTTTTTATATTTTGCATTTTAGCCATGCAGTATCTAAAATTTGGAACCAATCAAAGATTATGGAATTTTAAAATTAAAAAAGAAAATTTAGTTTTTGGAATATTTTAACAAATTTTTGTCATTTGTTTTGCAATAAGTGTTGAGATAATTTATCAAAATACAAGAAATCCTTGGGCATGTTTCATGATTCATATAAAATTTTACAACACTTCATTGCGCTTAGTAAAAACAGAAGAATAAAAATTTGTATGATTAATAGAAATTTTATTTTTAATATTGTTTATTTTATCATTAACAAAAAAAAAATAATAAATTTAGATTTAAATGCGTAGGAAAATTACTTTAATTGTATCTTATTTTCAAAACACCATGAAATATTATCAATATCAATAATAATCATTGTGTGCCTGAAATCTTTCTAGAAATTTATAAATGTGTTGAAAAGAGATTTTATGAAATTTTATCTTATTGTTGAGAGAAGCTTAAATTAAGAAAAACAACATGGCCCTACAAGGCGTATCCAGTTTCACTAATTTTGCCATTTTAGCTCTTTTTTGCTCTCCAATTCCGCTAATTGGCACGCGCAGACATAAACATCAACAGTAAAATTTTAGAGCACTGTTTTGGAAAGAAACGGGTGAAAAGTAAATTTAATTATCTTTTGAATTATACTTTCGCCAGAATATTACTTAAAATACACACAGAAATAAAATAAATTTAAATGAAGTCCTTTTATTAAATTAAGTTAATTAACAATAATTAATGGAACCCAGCTGTTTTTTTTTCAAAATATAAAATAAATATAAAATGATAATTTCCATAAATAATTTTAATTTCTTAATTACGCTCTTAAATTTTTATGTGCCATTTGTTCCACGTGTGAATTCAATATCAAAAAAATTGATTTCAACCACTTGATTAAAAATTTCCCTCTAAATGATGAGGCTATCAATCAGTGGTCCTGGTGAAAAAGCGGCCACTTCCTTGTTCCGGGTGACATCAAAAGAGGCTAATTTGGTGCTAAGGTCAAGGGTCAAACCACACGCTCCGATTCTTTGACGACACTCACTCGGGGGTTAAGCAACAAGTCCTCCCGCCCCTCTTTCACTGCCTCGACCGATGCAGGTCGGTGGCATACATCGTGGGAGCCCCTTTTCCGTTGTGTGCGAAAAAATAAACTGCAGAAATTCGTACCTGTCGGTGGCGACGGAACGTCCATTCGGCGGCCGGGGCGAATATTGCTAAAATTATGGCGACGTTCGAGCCTGTGTGCTCGGCAGCATCAATAGAGAGTGTTCCACCTTGGCCGGAGCATGGCAGCGCGCATACGGATGGACTGGGACACACATGCGCGGCCTTTTGCAGCGCCCAGCTTCCTTCTCTGGAACTCAGCTCACTCCGCCTGCCCAGCGCACCGAAACTCTCACACAGAGTGCATTGAAAAATTGATGCGCCCTCCTAATTTTGTTGCCGCAACAGCCAGCGCCGGTCCCCAGAGTCGAAAGTCTCAAAAATCAACCTCAAACTCCACACCTGCCTCGCACTTAGCTTTAAATTTTAATTGATTTCTAGAGTTTTTAATTCTGGAATTAGTACTTAAGAAGAAGCGTACACCAACTGCAATACATTTTTAAAGTTGTTCAATATTTTTAATTTATTAAATTTTACAATGTTCAAATAAATGTTTATTATTTATTTTGACTGTTTTTGTGTACTAAAATTTATTGCCCCTTCCTAAATTATTTCTGCTTTTATAAAACAATTTTGAGGATTGATTAATGGCATATTTGATTTTAAATTTGGCTTTTCCGAGAACGTGTATTGATGTTTATTATTATCTCGTTCTTCCCGTTTCTTTCTAAGAACACGACGAGGAAAGGCCAAATTTCAATTTAAATACATTTTTTTTTTGCAATGTAAACGAAAAATTTGAACGTTTAAAAACTGAAAGTGTAGTTAAAGATTGGTTTTATTTTGGAAAGATTTAAACCTACAAAAATATTTTAAAACTCTTATTAGAAGGAAGCTCTTATTTAACTTCAAAATTTCTGATTATTATGAAATTTGTTTTTAACATCCAGAGCGATCCAGAGAATAAATATAATTCATATATTTAAAAAGTTGTTTTTCTCAGTCAGAATTGGCCAAAATTGTTCAAAATTAAAATTACATTAAATATTCTTCTCGTAACTAAAAATTCTGCAAAATAAAATCATATCTTATCTGAATTTGCAGTTTTTTTCTTTTATAGAAAAGTCTTGGTTCATTTATTTAAATTGTGAATATTTAAATTGATAATAAAATATTAATAATTTTAGTTGGTAATAAAAGAGGACATTATTTATTAAATTTTTCAAGGATGATTTTTTCCGTAAATTAAATTCTAGAACTCCAGAAGAATTGAAAGAAATTATGGAGAAGGAAATTAATTAATTAAAGTCCACTGTAATTCCACAAAACCTTCATTAGCATTTAATTAACTTGCTGAAGTTTATCTAAGAAAGGAAAATATCCGCACTTTTCCTCCTTGTAAGTTTTCATTTCTTTTATACACCAATTTACTTCCTTATTTTGCAACGAAAACATAGAGGGAGAACATTACATAATTGAAAGTTGACGCAAATTAAACGATTAAGTGTTACAAAGGCAGCTTAATTTCCTTATAAAATAATTATTCACTTTTGCGGTGGAAACTTTGCGGAAAGATCAGCCGCGGCGAGCGAGCAAAAAGCCTGGGCGCAGCGCGTGCTAGAGTTAAATGTAGGCATTTTGTCGGGCACCCGACTACCCGTGGTTGCCTACCCACGCGATTCTGCAGGCGCTCGTGGACCGGAGCGCCTCTCCTTTGTTTTGCTATCGCGCGGAATAATGCATGCACGCCGCGAGAGCAGGTACAAAGAAAGGAAAGGTGTCGATTTTGCGAGAACCCTCTTTTGTGCGCTTTCGTAGAATGCGAACGCCTCTGCACCATATTGATGTAATTTCGCAAGAGAAAGAAAGAAACGAAGAAAGGTTCTTTTGTGAAGTATGTGAACAGCAATAAAATCGAAAAAGAATAGGGGAAAACTCATATATCAAACAAGACACGTAAAAAATCTAGAACATTTTGAACAGAAATAAAACATAAAAAACAGAGAAGTTTGCAGATATTTTTTACAATCTCTTAAAATTACTAAAATAAATTATTTAATTGTATTCTAAAAAAGCAAAAAAGTGTAATGTTAAATATTAGGTGAAAAAAAATTAAATTAATTGAATTTCCCTCCCAAAAATTGTTTTCTCAATTTTTCTTTGTGATCTGTGCATATAACATGTATGTAATATTTGTCGGACAAGAATAAACAACAATAATAATAATAATTTTTAATAATAAATGAAAAAAATGTTATTTATTCTTGTTGCTTATTGGTCCACATTGTTACAATACATGGTAAATTTTTTTAAAACAATTAATTTTAAAAGAAAAGGAATTTTTGAACAAAACGGCACCACCACCAGAACGAATTTACTACAACTTTTGAGATAAAAAAACACCCCATCCGCCGCAGTGAGCCTCGGTTGACTTTGTGTTTTTTTCTTATCACTTTTTTAATTTTTAAATTTTTTCTACATAATCCTCCATAACCTTTGCATATTAAATGACTCACTCGTCACTCTCGTTTTTAATTAATTTTTGTTGTTTTTTTATTTATGGTAATATGTTAATTTATTCAAGTTCTCCTTTTTGACGCCAGCGGCGCCTCTGTTTCCAATTTCCGCCAACAGAGAGCGCGAAAGTTGTCGTGCGCCTCGCTCGAGGCCGCGGTGCTTTATTCGTTCTTTTTTGTGCCGCGACGTGCTTGCCATATGATAACAAAGCATTCATGGAAATGTCTCGAAACCTCAGTTAGGAGCCTCCATGGTAGACCATTACGAGGCAGTGGAAGGGGGGGGGGGAACCGGCGAAGGGAGATACACCCTGCCTGCGTTGCTGTGTACCTTGCTGCTCTGCTACATGCTCTATTATCTTCCACGGCACCCCAGAAGGCCCAGAAATTGCCCCCCCCCCTCATTTGGCTACATGATAACACTGGAAGGTCGGGAAGGTCCGGCTCGTCGACGGCGTGGACTTGTTTTGGTCGAAAAATAAATGCGTGCGGCCAAAGCAAGCGAGCGACCTTGCCGGGAATAAAATTTAAAAAAATATATATATTTCCATCGCGATCAACAAAATTAAAAATTCCACAGAGATTTATTGAATAATTAGAATAAATTAATTTTTTCTTATCAAAAATTGAAATATTTCATTCGTTAATTTTATTATTATTTATTTCCATCTGCATTTTTGTTCACATAATTGAGTCGACCGTCAGCTCATTGAAAAATCGCGGCTCAAAAATCCCGAGATATTGACTTCTTTCGGAGCAAATCGTCGGGGAGCCATTGTTGGACGTTCGCATGCGCCAACGAGCCACTGCGCCGAACACGAAAATTCCCCTCCGCTCGTGCCCTTCGCCGACTGTGAAATCGGCCCGACGAGGCCGAAATCGGCCGAAAAACATCTTGAAAAATCGCGAATTAAAAATCGCAATCGCCACGAGCCCCCGGGGCCCCCTTCAGAGCCCCCGCATCGACGGCAGAGCGAAAACCCGGGCGCTTCGGCCGCACTTCGGGCGTCTCCGCCGCTTTATTATTGGGGGGATCGACCCGTCGGTTGGAACGACACAAACGTTGGATTTCTGGTCCAATAGTGTTGCTCCGTTCATCTCCCATTTGCTTACGCACGGAGCATCGCCGCCGCTGCACTCACAGCAGGCAAAAAGCAGCGCAAGGATCGCTCGCCAAGGCGTTTTCAGGCAGCGGATGAGCGTCTAGGGCCCTTTCGGACACCCCCGCGAGATGGTCACGGGGTCACCGGCGACTCTTCTGCTAGTCTGACAGGTGCGCGACCCACGGACTCACTCCTCACCACTCTGCAACATGTACGCCAAAGGCAAAGGCTCGACCGTACCTTCGGATGCCCAGGCACGCGAAAAGTGAGTAGCTCTGCCCACATAGCCAAGGTGCCCCCGGGAGCCCCGCCGTGGGGTGACCTCCGGGGTCAAACCGCTCGCCCTTCCCTCACCATCGATTGTTTTGATTCGCGAATCGCAACAACACGGTTTTGGGACGCTGCTGGGCCGGCGCCCGGGGTCCCCAGGGCCCCAAGGAAAGTCAAAAGTCCCCAAACGGGCAACTTTCGATCCCCTTCAGCCCTTCAGGCGCGTGGCATACATTCGGGGATGAAGGCAGCGTGACCGCATCCCCCGCCGCGGCATCATAGGGGTGCTTGGGAGCCATATTTATATATTTTGTGGGATTCCTCGGGGCCTAAAGCTAGCACGGGGGACATGATATTTTTTTTTAATTCTTAAAAATTTGTTAAATATTTCTAAATAAATTAAAATTAATATTTATTTCTATTTAAATATATTTATTAATTAGATTAAATGCTTTAAAAGCTATAATTGAAGGAAATGGTTAAAAATATATTAATAAATAAATAAAATAAATACTGTGAATATTTTCGGAACTACTAAATTTTCACGCTCTCCTGTTTATCCCTTCTCGCTCCTTCCAGAATGCATACCAATGACGCGTGGAGAATTCAAACGTAAACAAGATTATGTTTATTTCCCCGATAAGTGGCAATTTTCTTTTTTGAGAATTATTTTAATTTCTATTTTTTTAGTATTAATGTTGTAAATCAGGTCATAAACGAGGGGGAATGCGTGTCCGTCCAGCTCTCGGCAGACTCGATTTTTAATTTTTTTTGTGTGCCATTGTAGTGGAGAAAAAGGGCCGCGTGTGTTTGTGACCTGGAAGTTGCAGCACCGATCACAGGCAGCAGCAGCAACCAACGTGCACATCGAGGAGCAGAGAAAGAGAGACTCGAATGCGCTAACAAGGCCGGCAACGCGGCCGCTTTTTGACTTTCTGCTCCACATTTTTTCTGCTCCGACTACAAAATAAAAAAAATTGATTGCTTTCGCACACCGAGTGCTAATTTTTCTCAAAATAATAAAAAATATGAGATAAATTTTTATATTAATATTTAAATTCTGTTTATTTAAACCAATTAAATTCTTTATTCAACTTTTGGAGAAACAAGTCGCTGGCCGGTATATTCTTCTCTGATTCTTATTGTCCTAAAAAATTCTAGTCATTGCCACTCAATTACTCAGAAGGCTCCACTCGGAAACTGGTTCTCGGTTGACACTGCCTTTGCTTTTTTCCATTTTTTGCGTCACCCATCGCGCAATTATTCATTTATTATTTGTTTCGCGTCCGCAGTAATTCACCTTGCATTGTTTGCTTGCTTTCTTTTTGCAGATTGGCTTTGTACGTCTACGAGTATCTTCTACATGTGGGGGCACAAAAAGCAGCTCAAACCTTTTTATCAGAGGTAAGCATCTGCGTAATGCACTAATTGCGTCGGGTTTTATCAATGGGACGCGCAGCGCGCGATGCATGGGCGCTGCCGCCGCAGCCGAAGCTTTAATTGGCCCTTGATTAATGCGAATCTGTGTGTGCGCCTTTCTGTGATTCCAGATAAGATGGGAGAAGAATATAACGTTAGGAGAACCACCTGGGTTTCTACATTCCTGGTGGTGGTGAGTACAAAATTTGATTTAAATTTGTTTAAAAAATTTAATTTGATGTAACTCGAAGAAAATTTGGCCTAGTCTTTCAAATTGAAGAAAATTGGTATTTATTTTAATAATATATAGTTATTATCATTATTTTGCCAAATCAGCCAATTTTTGTAAAAAAAATTATTCATAAATTCTAATTCGCCACTTTTATTTTCATTGATTTTCATATTATTTGAAAAAATTATTCCATTTCGAGTTTACTTTCAACTTTCACTGCAAAATTTATTTAATAGAAACATCCAGCCATCAATTAATGAATAACAAATCTTTATTAATTTTTTTATTTTTTGAAAAAAAAATCAATTAAAAATTAATAATTGTTCAATTATGTTTTTGTCATATTTTTTAATTAGATCATAAAGAAGCAAAAATTTACTTTAAAACTCTTTTAATTATTTCATAATCCTACATTTCAATAATTCAGGATAAAAATTTTATCAAAATTGGATTAAATTAGTAATTAGCTGATTCTTCTCATTGTTTCTCAAACTGAACGATTTAATTAATCCAAAGCTTTATGATCTACCAGCCAGAAATCATTATTTTCTGACTGCAGAAAATATTTATTTTTGTTGGAAAATTAAAAATAAATTAATTAATTTTAAACGTTGAAGGTTCATTTAATTTTTAATTTAGAAATCAAATCTCTTTTTCTGTTCTAGAGGTAAAAATTAGAAACAAGCATTTAATAATTTGATATGTTTAACAATAAAATAAAATCATTTAATTGCAAAAATTTACAATCAATATTGTTTTCAAAATCTTCAAACAATTTAATGGACAGAAATTGCAAGAAATGCAATTTTAACTTCTGAAAGACAATATTGATTTATTTAAATTTTAAATTATTTTTTAAAGAAAATATTTAAAATTGAATATTCTTCAAAATTTTATCGGTCTCCAAACTTCCATTTTTTTTTTACTCTAATAAATATCACCAATATTTCTGTTATTTTATTCCACAGTGTATTCTGGGACTTATATTGTGCAGCGCCGGAGCGGAGGGACACTTGTGAGCACTCGAGTGAGGCAAAGGCCTTCCACGACTACGTAAGTACACCTTCCTGAAATTTTGTTCTCGGTGCAATTTTCTCACCGTCCGCTTCTGAGAAAATCAGCATCAGTTCAAAATTCCCCGAAAGAAGAAGAAGATAATTTTTCAAAAAGTCCGTTTCGGATCAATACTGTATCAAATGACAACACACCGCGAGTTTTTCCTCTTTCTCTCCGACACCCCCATCCAGGCAGGCAGGGTTGAAAAAAATCTAAAAAAAAAACGCTGCCTGGCGCGCGCACAAACTCGATTTGTGCGAAATTTCCCGTCTCGGGCGAGGTAAAAAAAAAAGGAGGAAAAATAAAAATCCGAAGGAGACGGACGAGTAGCTCACATGCTCTCTCTTTCTCTCTCAGAGAGATGTCTGTGCCCGGCCGGCTCTATTTTAATGAATATCAAGGTCAACTGGTACACCCCCTTCAAAAGATGGAAGGTGGACCAGTTGTGCTTCTCCCGACGTGAGCCATCCGCAGGTGCATTCGCGCGCGCCTCCTTTTCTTGCTCTTTTTGCGACGATGGCCGCCAATTTTCTCATCTCGCCATTTCTGATTCCAGGGATTCGTGAATTCTGGCTATGGAGTCAACGGAATCACACATGTAAGCATATTTTATTTTAAAAATTTTACCAAAAATTATTACGAAAAAATAAATTATTCAAAATAAGAAATTTAAAAATAAAGCAAACTTCAAATTTAAAGTACGCTGCAATTTTTTTAAGAAATCTGATAATTTTTTAGTAATTTCTATTAAAAATTTTGTATTGACCGAGAAGAATAAATAATAATAATAATAATTAAAAGAAAAAATGAAATAATAAAAGAGATGTATTTAAATTTAAAAATTATTACTAAAAATGACACCAATTTAAATAATTTTTTTTAATTAATTAAATTTTAATAAAACTTCATAATGAAATTTGAAGAGTTGCCATTTGCTTCATTTTTTAAATTTTAATTACTAAGAAAAATCAGTAAAAAAATAGAAAAGTCAAATTAATTCTTTATTTATAGAATTGATTAAGGAAAACCAATTAAAATTAATTTTGAGAATATCTAGATTTTAACTTGCTTAAAAGCTTAAAATTTTGATTAAAAAATTCTCCATTTCTACAGAATGCTGGTCCAGCACCCAGTCCACTTGGGCAAATGCCCCCGAACGACGGGATGCCCGGAGGACCCATGCCCCCTGGTTTCTTCCCTGTAAGTACCCTCTTTCAGCCGAGTCGTAATTCTAACTTTTTTTTTAATTTACGATTTTTTTTTTTTAATCGTCGAAGACTTATAAAAAAGGTGGCCAGTCCCAAACTTGTTGATCTTGAGTAATTTCAGTTCAGTCTCTCCTTTTTCGTTCCTAACTGGATTGTTTGTGTTGTGTTGTTTGTCCCCGATTTCCGTGCACCTCTCTTGATTTGCCTGAGCACATTTCACTCCCACGAATCATATCGATCTATCTGCCGAAAGCACGTTTCCAACCTCTCCGAATACATTTTTATTCCGACTTGAGAGTATTTTTTTTTTTTTATTAGCAACACACTCATTCCTTTTATGGCGAGAGTTTGCACGCTCCCTGCCTGATCATGGCCCGCGGGCCTCCATTTGTACCATCATCACACCAAATTTGCATATTATACATTTGCCAAACCTGTTTGATTACTTTTCAATAGAAATTGAAAGTAAAAATTACATGTAAATATATCTTCAAATGTGTAAAAATGAAACGTCTCCTCTGCTTCCGAAAGGCAAACTATACTGTCGCTTCCTAATTGTGCTCTGTCTGTGTGTAAATTATGAAGAAAATTAAAATTGGACGTGAAATTTTTTTGAAAAAATTCATATACACCTCAGACCTCTTCTCTGTGTGTTCTGTGTCGTTATAAGTTGTCCGCTTTTACTCTTGTGTTCCAGAACTCGACAATGAGGCCATCACCACCCACTCATCCGTCAACTCAGCCATCCCCACACCCCCAACCACCCCCTCCTCATAGTCAAATGATGCCTAATCAGGTAAGTCTCGAGCTCTTCTCGTCCGTGTTCCTTTTCTCTTTCTCGCTCTCTTTCTGCTGCTGCTGCTGGCTAGCTGCTCTCCTTTGTATTGAAATTCACGCCCACGTGCTTGTGACTTGTGTGTTTGCCCTTTCTGTGTCCCTCGCCCGCCCGGCATATCACCCCGTTGCCCCTGTCGATGTAAATAACAGTTTGAATTCCAAATCGACGACAAGTCTCTTTCTTTTTCATGCAAATATAGACATACGTGTATAATTAGCATGTCGTTTCCCTCCCCCTCGAAATATGTATTTCCAAACTCCTAAAATGACTGGCTACTTTTGGAAGAAATTTGATTTTTTTTTTTTTAAATATAATTATTGATAATTCGCGGATCAGCTAGCAAAGAAGCACCAATGGCTGTCCAAATTGATGTTTGTAAAAAAAATCGATTAATTTTTGCAGCCGTTTATGGGTCCTAGATATGGAGGTCCAGGACCGAGACCGAACGTAAGAATGCCGCAGATTGGAAATGAGTTCAATGGGGTGAGTTTTGTGAGTCCTTGTTTTATTATTTCTTAATCTATAAGTAATTTTAAGGATTTGTATGATTTTCCTAAAATTTTACAATTAAATTATGTCATTTGTTTATGTTTGAGTAAATATTTCACATAAGTTTTCATTTAAATTTATTACTTAGAAAAAAATTTTGAGAAATTATTCTGAAACAGGGAATCATTATTTTATTTAAATGCAAATTATTTTACAATAATTTTACGCTTGAAAAAGTGTAGTGTATCGTTTCGTAAATTCAATCGTATTCAAAATGCAAAAACTTCGTGTTTCCTAATAATTTTTCTGACAATTAGTGAGATTTCCCTTCCTGGATTTGAAATTTAATTGATTTATTTATTAATTAAGGTTGAGATGTAAATTGTAAGATGAATAATATGAATCTCACAAGTAAAACATTCATTTATATTTTTGAGGAAAATCGTACAATTTGACCTAATTTTAAGATTTTTAAGCTTTTATCATCCCAAAAGAAATAAGAATTATTTTTAACTCTCTGTCCCCGTTACAGCCCCCTGGGCAGCCACTGATGTCGAACAACATGGACCCCACGCGGCAAGGTGAGTTTCAGTTCACACTCCCTCTACATCAAAGCTGCTTTCAGGCAAAATTACTCGTAGCTTTTTAATGAAAAAATTACAAAAAAAAAATATATATTAAATCCTGCATGCTAATGTTTCGGGTATAGAACTTATTTGGTTTAAAATCAAAGCAAATTATCCCCTTTGTACGTCTGGTGCGATTGTTGTCTCTTATTAAAATGCTCATGATTCTGTATATCTCTCATTCTCAGGTGAAGGAGGTGAATTTGTTGGTTGGCAAGGTGAGAGTCAATCATTTTAATATTTTACATTAAATTTTTCGCTTTGTTCACACTGTCATGCATGGGGCTACTGCTGAATTTTATACTTTTCCATTTTGTTAAATTTTTTTCCAAATTTAAATTTCCTCGATTCTTGCAGGCCCTCCTGGCATGAACCCAATGAACCCAAGAATGAACCCACCGCGGGGTCCAGGAATGGCCCCCATGGCACCCGGCGGCTACGGCCCCGGAATGAGAGCACCTCCTCCTAATGCGAACCTCGGCCCTGGATCTGGACCACCTATGGGTCCCATGGGCGGACCTGGTGGACGACCCCAGTGGCAACCAGTTACTTCAACAGTGAGTCTCATATTGAATTCTATTAAATCATAATTCAAAATTTCTACTAGTTTAAAAAAATTAAAAATTAATTCCTGAATAAACCAATTTAATTGTTCTATTTCCACCCTTTTGTTTCAGCCTATGAGCTACTCGTCATCATCACCTGGAAACTATGTAAGTATTAGTGGAGAATTACTTAAGGACAAATAATACCAAATTAAATTAGGAATCCATGCGGTTTCAGGCTCCTCCTGGCTCGACAGGACCACCTGGCCCAGGAACACCTATAATGCCAAGCCCACAAGGTAGGACTGAAGGCTCTCGGAGCCCCTTCAACCCTCGTCCCTCCCTGCATGCACTGGCTGCTTGTACCTCACTTTGTCTTTGTCTTCTCACCATACAAAAAAAAGAAAACCAAGTGTTGTCCTGGAGCTTCTTCCTGAGAGCTGAGGTCTTCGTTCGTTGAACTTCTACATTCCTCCCTCCTCCATATCATCTCCACCCCCAGAACATATTTTTATTTTGAGCTTTTTAGCACTGATTGTTTACTTTCTTTCTAGGTTCAGTGGGTCCCTATTCCCCTGCTAGTCACAGAATGCCCACTCCCAGTCCTGTCACACGACAAGGTGAATAAATTAGCGCCTAGTTTCTTGAATCAGGCCTAGTTTTAAGAAAGCATGGTTGGTTGGGTTTTTTGCGGGGGGTTGCGAGACTGCTTTTCGTCAAGTTTTTGTTTTTAGAGGGAAAAATAAAGGCCCCTTTGCCTTTTCTGTTTGCTTTCAAGTGGTTTTTACATTTTGTTTTCAACCCCAGTATTATATATGTTTTATTATAATCCGCTGTGAATATTTTGTGCTTTTATACCCAATCATAATCACTGCCACTGTGATCGTTCGTCTCTATCTCTCTCTCACCTTTGCAAGAAGTCTCTCCTCCCCCGAAACTAGCTTTACATAGTCTTGTTTTTGCAATAATCCAACCAATGTTCGTCACGTCGCACGCTTAAGAAATAGAAATTAACACTCATGCCCAGCGTTCATTTCAGACTCGTCTAATTCTGGAGGCGAAAACATGTACACCATGATGAAGCCCGTGCCTGGAGGCAATATGCCTGGGGTGAGGCTAGAATGAAATTTCTGGAGTTTGGCAATCTTTTAATTATTGATTTCCTTCCCATAAAAGGATTTCCCGATGAGTGGAGGCCCCGAGGGCGGCAACATGGGCCCCATAGGGCCAAATTCAATGGGTCCTGTGTTGAATGGCGACGGCATGGAAGGCATGAAGAACTCACCGGCCAACGGCGGCCCGGGAACACCTAGAGAAGACAGTGGTAGTGGGATGGGAGACTACAACTTAGGGGGCTTTGGTGGGCCGGGGGAAAATGTGAGTATAAATTCAAGTGGAAGTTACTTTTCCGAATCTTAGTGAGCCGAGCAGCACACAATTAATTTTGATTTCACACCCAGTAGTTGTTTACTTTTTCTTTCTTGCGTAAATAATCTCTCTAAAAACGCTACTATTTTTTAAGTTTTTTTGAATGAATACTCACAAAGAGCGCTCAATTTATTATTTTTTTTTCCTTTTTTTGATGTTGCTTGAGCTTGATGAGGGCTTGATGCACTTTTTTTGTACATTCTGCAATAAAACAAACAAAAATTATAATGTCTGTCCGGTTCTCAGATCGACGAACGCGCAAAATGATCCTATTAACTTGCCAAGTTTTTATTATCATGAAGCACTGATACCATTTCATTAGGTGGTTGTGACTCATTGACTGTTTTTTATTGTTTCTTTCGTAACGATATTTATTTTTCTTTGGAAACATAATGATAATTACCACTAAATGCAAGCAAGCAAGTTGAACAGGGGAGTAGGGAGACTTTTTTTTTCAACTCTTTCGCCTAACTTCTGGTTAGGGTTATTTGTGTACATTTTTTTCTCACTCTCGAAATCTTGTTTCGTTAATTTCGAATTATATATATAATTTTTAATTTTAATAATTAATTTCAGTGCAAACTCAGAGTGCTACCACTTAAATGCTTCCTTTACCAAGCGGTATTTTGAATTATTTCTGATCCCTCCATTAAATTTAAAATGATCGGCAGCCAGCCTGGTTTGGCGGCTCGAGTTTGTTCCTTTTTTTAATAATTTGTATATTTTGTACACCCAAACACGGATAGTACGCACTGCAAGGCACTCGAAACAAAAGAAATAATAATTGTACTTATTAGTTCTCCTCTTTTTTACATCTTTCGTTCGTTTTTGTACTTATTATTATTATTATTCAATTACATAAAACTGCTTGAGCGGGGCGCGCAAATCGGCTCCCCCGATACTGTAAAACAGCTCTTTTATTTTGATCTCAATACCCTCCTTACTGCCCTTGTCACAGAGATATTAACATGTCCGTCACACTCACAATGGAAGGGCGTGTTGTTGCTGCATGAAATAAAAATTTCTTTTTAATAATTGTTGCTCAGAGACTTCTTTTGCAAAGTAATAATGAATTAATCAATTTTCCTGTGGAAATGTAAATAAGTTTCATACAATTAAAGCAAAAACTTAACCATATTCTAAAGGCGTGCACTTCCAGCCTTTTTGGACTTGCTCGGTGGGTAGATTTCTCAATTTATGCTTCTGTGTCAGGATCAAAAAGCTGGAGGTTGCGCGCATCTGAGAACCCTTGAGTTGCAAGTGTTCAAACCTGTAGTGCATTTTACTCCGTCTTGATTCACTTTTTTACGTTTACATTTAACGTTGCACACTTCTTGATTATTTTTTGGAATTATTATTTATTTTTATTTTAATCTGCCACTCATGTTTTACTGTACATGTTTTTTGCACCCACTTTCTTTTGCTTTACATTTCTTTTACATTTTCATGTAAATTTCAATTACACACAAAAAAAAATATAGAGAAACGTTCAGTTTTGTTTTTAATTTTTCGTTTTGACGATTTTTGAATTAATATACACGCAGCAATTGAAAAGAGTAAAATGCAGTGACAACTACTTTCTTCCTTGCAGGACCAAACCGAATCAGCAGCCATACTGAAAATTAAGGAAAGTATGCAGGAAGAAGCCAAGAGATTTGAAAAAGACTCGGACCATCCTGATTTTTTCATGCAATAGCGTTTGTGCCACAACTCCTGCTCCACAAGCTCCTTCCTTCAAATAAAACCTTAGTTACCTCCAAATTGTACACAAGAGCGAGATGTTAGCGACGCGGTGACACAAACTGATTATGAATTCGGAACGTTTATATATATATTTAATGATTACGATGGAACATTTGCAATCGGTAGGGCGAGTACGTATATATTTGGCATCTCTAGTTGAAGAGGGCACAGAGGTCAGCGAACCGCCACCTGCAAGGCTCTTGTTTAAAAGGTTCTCCTTGTTTCGATTTCGTAGTTTTTCCCCAAAGCCTGAATCCGTTTCTCTAATTTTATTGAGAGATCTCGTTTCGAGGCCCAGCTTTAAAGGCGGCCGCTGTTCCTATTACTCCGTAGAGAAAGAAATTGCTCGGATTTTGGTCCTCGATCGGGCCGCAGCTGGTGGCGCTTTGCTCTCCGTCTCTGTCTTGTGTAGAACGCGGTGGCGGTCGGGAATCTCTGTTGAATCAAGCCAGCCGCACACCGCCGCGCAACCCACCATTTTTTTGTTGTCTTTTGAGAGAATCAATTTAAAAGAAGAAAAAAACTGTGAAACTGACGGCGTGTAAAAGAGAGAAAGAAGAAGTGTTTCTGGCGGACGGCTGCAACCTTGAACGAACAAAATCTGACCCCGTGCATATAATTGCAATGAGCTGGTTTTTTTTTAATTCGATTTGATTGTGAAACAGGGACAAAAGCGACGATTTTTCATCAGGTACAAAACTCTTTGAGAATTAAATTTTCTGATAAAATTTTGAAAAACAAAAAATCACCACTGATAGGCGCAAATGCATTTTTGGAGCTCATTGTTTCTGCCAGTATTACTAATTAAATCAAGATATATACTGAGTAGCATTTTCTCGAGTTACTTGAGAGGTTCGTTTTTTTCTAATTTAGGCATCTTCCGAAACGAAGCGCAGTCTGCTTTACACACATATTGTTTGTTTTTAATTTATTCTCGAGTATTTATGGATTTTACTCCTTGAGAACCTGCTCCCATTATGTAAAATGTACATCACACACACATACACAAAAGCAGCAAACTCTCACACACACGCATACATACACGAAAGGAAAAAACTTTTGTAAATATTATACCTTCAATGCCGATTGACGCGAATTCTGATTTTTAAATTTCTGTAAATTATACATACACATGTACCTTTATAATTTATATGAAAAAGAGAGGACGAGAGAAAGAGATGTGTATTTATCTTTGATTTAAATAATATTTTGTTTCTATTTGAGATATAATTTGAGAGAAGAGTAAAGAGATGAGGAAAGCATTTACAGCGTGATCCATATTTTTACTTTGATTAGATCGTTCCACTCTATTTTCTGTTCTGAAATAAAATGATTATTATGTGTAAATTGTCCAAAATGTTGTCTTTGGGATTAAAATTAAAAAAATTTCGCAACCCATCACCAAAAGCTTTTCGTCATTTTCGAGTAAGAACCAAAATTTTAAATCGGTGCAATTTCATTGCGTATTTATTCGGCTGCACATTCAACATCTATGGAAGCACGGTGTGTCTTTCTCGATCATTTCCCATCACATTGAGTATTTCTTACAGAGAGTGCGATTATATTCGAACAAAAAGATAAAATTTCAAATTGACAACAGAGGAATGATATAATTCACAAGATACTTTTGACTCAAATTTGCAGAGAGCATTCATATAATACTTAAAGATTTCCAAAGCAAAGGTACTTGATGTACGAATACTCTTCGATTCCGTAATGAGACCCTTCTCTGCCGATGCCTGATTCTTTGATTCCACCGAAAGCTGCCTCCGGAGTGGAAATGATTCCCTCATTAATGCCGACCATGCCCGTCTCCAGTCGTTTGGCTACTCGCCATACTTGGGGCAGGTCGTTGCTGAAAAAGTATCCTGCCAGGCCAGAACGGGTGCCATTGGCAATCGCCAAGACCTCTTCCTCAGTCTTGAATCTGAAAAATTTACATGCAGAAATGTTATTCAAGTGTTGCAAAATGTAATTTAAAAATATTTACAGCAATTATTGCCAATAAGGAGCAGATTTCATTTTTATGATTGATTTTTACAGTGATTGAAGTTAATAAATTCAGTATAAAAATTTACAAAATACGCAAAATTCAGTTTTTGGATGTCTTATGTGGAGGATAAATGATTTCTTACGGAATGCAGACAGCAACAGGTCCGAAGATCTCCTCGTGATACATTCTCATTGAATGATCAACGTCTGTCAACAGGGTGGGCTCGAAGAATCGCGGCCCTTTGTCCAAAGCTGGCTTGCCACCGAGGTGAACTTTGGCTCCTTTTTTGATCGCATCTTGTACAAGATCATTTACCTGCAGAAATAATTCAAAATTAATTTAAAAAGCAAAAAATTATAATAAAAGTTTTATGTGACATGTAAAGCGCTTAAAAAACAAAAACAAAATTTAATATTAAATTATTAGAAAAGCAGCTAAATTTTCTAGATATGGATGCTAAATTGTACTTAATAAGTGGAAATTTTAAATTTGTCATTAAATTAACCTTAGAAGCTTGTGCGTCATTGATTAGTGGTCCTTGAGTGACTCCAGGTTGCGCTCCGTCGCCAACCTTTAACCCTCTCATCGTCTCCTCCAGTTTCGAAACAAACTGGTCGAAAATACTTTCCTGAATGAACAGCCGATTTGCGCTGACACAAGTCTAGAAAAGACCAATAATTTAAAACAAAATAGACTTTTATATTTATTTTAAATCTATACTTGTCCGCAATTTCTAAATTTGCACGCCATCGTTCCTTTGACGGCCGCGTCCAGGTCAGCCGACTCGAACACGATGAAAGGTGCGTTGCCCCCCAACTCCAGGGACAACCTTTTGACCGTCGAAGCGCATTGTTCGTACAGAAGTTTGCCGATGTTAGTCGAACCAGTGAAGGACAAGCCTGCGACTAGAGGGCTTTGGCAGAGCAGTTTTCCAACGTCGGCTGCGTTTCGGCGACTGCAGGTCACAACGTTGAAGACGCCCTTTGGAATTCCAGCCTTCTCGGCCAGGGCGGCGATGGCCAGGGCCGTCAGGGGCGTGTCTTCTGCAGGCTTGACCACACAGGTGCATCCGGCAGCCAAAGCTGCTCCAGCCTTCCTTGTGATCATCGCAATTGGAAAGTTCCACTGAAATTATATTATTAAATTAGTTAATTGCAGGAATGGATAATTGGGCTTTTCCTTTTTGCATTGAATGTTTTTTAATTGAAAAAGAAGCATTAAGCATTATATTTAATTATTACTTATATAGTAAGACTAATTATGTTAACTCTATCTAAAGGAATAGGTTTGAAAAAAGCCGAGTTAAAAGCATCTCAAGTGAAAATTTCTTTGCAATAAATTAATTATTTCTGAGCCAGGCCAAGAATTATTTCTGAGCCAGGTCTTTTAGAATTTTGAGCTTTTCTGACAATGAGCTTTAGATTGAATTAAAAAAAAATCAACCCACAGGAGTAATAAGGGCAGCAACTCCAATAGGTTTCCGGATTAGCATCATTTCCTTGGAGTGAATCGGACTAGAAATAACTTCTCCCTGTTGAAACAAATTTTAATTACATCTCACTCAGCAGAATATTTAACTCTTAATTCGTACATGGATTCGTCTCGCTTCCTCGGAGTACCATTCGATGAATCCGTTCCCGTAAGCAACTTCTCCTGCAGCCTCGGCCAAAGGTTTTCCAGACTCGGCCGTCATGATTTTCGCAATCTCCTCTTTGTTCTCCTCCAACAGATTGAACCAATTTCTCAAGTGCAGAGCTCGTTCCTAAATTTAATTAAATTTATTTTTAAATTAAATAATGCTTATATTTTTTTACTTTAGCTGTTGTGAATTCCCAACTTTGGAAGGCGTCGTAGGCGACCTGGATGGCCTCTTCCGTGTCCTGGGTGTCCATGTCCGGAACCTGTCCCAGGACACTTCCATTTGCAGGGTTGGTCACCTCGAAGGTCTTGCCAGAAGTGGCAGCGACCCATTTGTTGTTGACGAACGCCAGGTTCTTCACGAGAGACATTTTCCGGACGTGCTAGAAAAATTCAAAGGCCGATTATATTTTTAAATTGGGTGAAAAAAAATTCAATTTTGGGCGCGAGAGACTCACCTGCGAGTATCGGGACACGAGCAAAAATGAACGTTTGCCGATTATGTTGATCATCTTTTTTTATACTGATTTGGTTCGTGGAATTTGCACTCGAAAAAAATTAAAAAGTCATCGTGTGTGAGTGAGTTTCAGAAAAACTACGAGCAGCGCTTTCGGATCAATTGAAGTTGATTGCTGCTGATTAAAAAAGTGACGACCCCACGGGCCCACAGCACTGCTGAAGTGCAGAGATCGCAGAGAAGTAAACACAGCAGTGAAAGGCACGCCCCTTTTTTTCGGATGAAGACTGGAGACGGAGATTCGCGCAGTTGTATTGTGAGATAATTTTTCTAATTTTTTTCAAGCCCGCGGCGTAGTATTTATTTTTTAACAAAATAAATTTAGCTATCTGTCATAATTAAATATTAATCCAATATTTTTTTTAAAGTTAAATTAAAAAATTGTTTATAAAAAAAAAAATACAAATCAAAATTAAATTAAAAGAAATTCTTAAAAAATATGATTATAATTTTAAAATTAATGGAATAAAATTTTTGATAATTATTTTAGCAAAGGAGAAATTTATAAAGCGTTGTTTCCATAATTGATTATTTTTCTAACTGTTATGCAGCCACTTGTTACAGCCGAGCCATGCAGGTTGCCTACCTCAAAACTATTCAGGTAAGAGTCAAAATGTGTGCTATTTTTTATTTAATAAAAACTAGTTTGGAATAAATTGACAGTTCCAAGATAAAGATGTAATTTTTTTAGACACAATTATTTATTTGTTTATAAATTAGTTTATTTTATAAAATATTTGATTTCATATAAAATAATGTCAATATTTTACAATTGCAGAAGGTGTAGACGCAATTAATTTACTTCTTCTGTACTAAATTGACTAGACCAGGACTAGACAGTATTAAAAATATTAATTAACTTTGAAATGTACAAAAAGTTTGGTTTCATTTTTTCTTTTTTCTTTTTATTATCAACCTGTTTTCATTTATCTGACATTGTTTTTATATATTGGAATTTAAAAATTAATAATTTTTGAATTATTGTCCATAAATATACGAAATTTCCACAAAAATTGATTTGTATTGGACTGGGACAAAACTTAAAAGCGCTTTTTCCGGTCAGTATCTTGAGAATATATAAACAAAAATGAGATTTTTGTCCCGCCGAAAGTGCATTCGGCGTGGGTGTATTATTGAATAAAGGTGAGAAAACACGAAGAAAACTTTTCCAATTTCTAGGCATGCTTACAAGTAATTTTTATTCCACATTCGCCGGTGGGCGGCACAAGTTTCTGATGTCTTTACAGCATATACAGGCAAAAACTTTGAAATATGCGAAAGCGGAAAAGTAGCAGGTCAGCCAAAGCGGTAGGGCTGCCGCGACTTGCACTGGTCGCACATCCGAACCAACTCCTCGATGTCGCAAATTGCCTGGCAGTCGTTCATCAGCGTCGGCAGCTGGTTCCTGATTTTGAAAACTTGAACGATGTGCACCAGGTCGTCGTCCAGATTGGGGTAAGCGTCCTCATATGAAGAAATTTTGGCCAGACCGGAGGAGGAGAGGAGCAGGAGAAAGCAGAGGAAAGTCAAAGTCATTCTAAAAACATTGAAAAATAAATGAAATAAATAAATGAATGTGAGTAATTAAATTTTTTTTATTAAATGAAGATTTCTTTTACTTGAACTTTATGATTTTATATTCAATCACAAAATCTTTTGAAGTGCAGTAGATTTATTATTAATTTGTTTCATATTCTTAATTTGTGTAATTACATAAATTGCAATATTAACAAAACAAAATTTACAATAAGACAAGACATAATCAAAAGACGTGATTGAAGAATTTTGGAATTTGGATTTATTTTAGGATTTGTAACATTTTAAATAGCTTATATCACATTAATTTTATTTTTAACTGAAACAAAATCTCTTTTTGATATTATAAGAAAGGAAATATAAGTTGAAAAGTTAATAGAAATATTTTTAATGTGATATTTGGCTTTTTTAAATAGAAAATTTAATTTAAATTTTTTAATTAATAAATTGATACTGAAACTCACCTCACTTCCTTGTTGTCTGGACAGAAACCAGAGGGAAACTGACCCGAAAATTTAAAGGTGCAAAAGCGATGCAAAAGAGGTTCGGTAAATGTGGTCAAAACGCGCGTCACAAACTAGAGAGCACTCGTAAATTTTGAAACTGGAATGGAGAGCTTCCCACGTTTACACGCAAACACAAGGAGAGTCAAAAGGGTGTTAAAATCTCTAATTACAAAGTGGTCATCTCTTTGTATAACTTTCAGCTGATCAACAGAAAAATTACAGCAAACAATAATAGCAAAAAAGTACTGGTAAGACTGGTGCTTGAGTATTTCCTTTTGCAAAATTTATTTATTTATTTATTGAGGTGATTCCTTACTGGATCTGAAAGTTCACTTTAACGAGCAAAGTTTTCTTTTGAAATTTTAGAAATATTTGAGACTAGAATCAAATCACAATTTTTAATAAAATTTTAATTCATTTATTGCAGAAATGTTTATTAAAATTTAGTATTGCATTTATTAATCTGTCGTATTCGGTAATAAGTGTTAGAAAAATAAAAAGTTAATATTTCCTAAAAAATGGAATTTTCATTAGATTAGTTTATTTCTCTCAGATATTTTGTGTTTTCAATCAAAATAAAATATTACTAAGTTCATTCATTTTTATTAGTATTTAATTTCCTCATCTACACCAGACCTTGACTTGCTTATTTTTCACCATTGTGACCTTTCATTTATTACTTTCTTTAATAACTAATCAATTTCCATTTCGAAGTTATTAATACTTTTTCTCGGCAATTGTCGGTCGCCTCGGGGAATTCCAATTGCAGAAAACTTGTTTGTCGTTCGTTCGATTGACTCCCCCGACGCGAAATTTCTCATAGGACCAAATAATAAAATGTGGTTGCGCGTGTTTGCCGACGCAGATTGGTTCGCGAGACTCGCTCACCTCGAAAGGGCACTGTTTTGTTTGCCGCCGGCCACCGTCATTAAAATCGCGGTGACGAAACTCTCAGGTTCATTTTTAGATGAATGTTTAAATGGTTGAAAAGACTCGACTCTCAAAGGAAACGCCTGCTCGAGTCGAATGTAGGCAACCTGTTGGACGCCCCGAGCGGGAGGGTTGCATAACTTGTAATCTCTTGACTTGCCAAAAATTTAGGTAATAAAATGAAAATTAAATGAAATTTGTAAAGGAGATTTAATTTTATAAATGATTTGGTCGGTAAAAAAATCTTCATTACAAAGTTTTATTGGCTGTTAAAACTTTTTAACATGGACAAAACGCCTCGGTCTAATGCAGCTTCAAACTTCTCTACACGAATTGACACTTGCAAAACTACCATACGAAGTGGAAAAACATGTCAAAGGGTTTCATTTAAATGCAAACTAAGTTTGGGCTGGGACGTACAAATCACGTCCATTACAAACAAATAATGTTCGGTAAAAATTGAATACACAAAACCATTTCTCAATGAAATTCCTTTTTTGATGATTTTGGCAATTATTCGCATTTATTTGCTACACGGCCATGTTGTGCTTTCTGCTGATAAATTACTGGGCAATTACAAAATCGAATTTTTTTAGCGGCAAAAGAGGCAAATCAGTGTATTTTGTCATAATTTATTTGGTTTCGTAGATTCGGTTATTTGAGGCTCACGAAGTGTAGCAGAAGACAAATGTAATTTTAATCGATTCAATCGTTTCTGCAAATCTTTTATGAAAAATAATTAGCGATTCAACCGTGATTAAAAATAGTTGTTTTGAGTAGTTTGAGTGGTTTTACGAATATTCCGTCACCATTGCTTTAATAATCGATTTTCAAACAAGAAATTTTGTATATCTTTAATAATACAAATTTCATAATTCAAATAATAAAATAATTTTTAATAAAATATAATGAATCGCAAAAATTACTTACAAATAATACAAATTTAAAAAAAAAATGAAATCTTTGCTACCGGTGTTGACGTTTTGTCCTACAATTGAATGTCTTCCAACAATTGTTTTTATTTTCTGTAGCATGCAGAACCTGAAAAACAGAGGATCGAAAAATGAAATTAAATTTCATATACAAAAATTGTTTTTTAATTTCTTCTCTTTGTAATTATAATTTCTCTTTTTTTAATAATTATTATTTTAGTGAAATTTTCACTTTTAAATTTAATTACAAAACATTCAAAAATAAACAAAAACAATAATTTTTCTTTTGATGCCGAGGGGGGAAAATGTTAAGAGAGCAAAAGGCCAACGGCACCGTAATCAAAGCTTAGCTGTGGGAAAACTCATCATTGAGACGAGTGACACGTACAGGGGGCGAATTAATTAATTGGTCGCGATACAGATCGAGTGGTGCAAATCGCGACACCCTCGACGTGTGTGTCGAGTGTTTGCTCTCTCGCGTGTGCAGGAATGGCACAGATAAAGAATGCATATCTCTCATCAGGGTACACACACGCGTTGCTAGTTCGTTTTTTGCCCTGCCCGCCGCTCTTCCACCCCTGCCCTGCGTGTTGCGTCACGCCGGCTTCGAGAGAGTTTGCGGAGAAATGTGCGGTCGCTCAGCCCATTGGCTGCTGCGTGCCTCGCCGCTTTCCACTCGCGTTTCGCGAGCCAAATATAAAGAGCGGGTGGAAAGCGGATTTTCTACTTAGACTCGGACAAAACTTTGGCACCGCATTTACTCCCGGCATTAGGTGAGTAGAGTGTGCGACCCGGGACGACTAGAAATTGCACGTACTCGTTCTCAGGTGGGACTTCAAAATCTTCTTTTATGGAATGTATTTTACTTTCAAATATATATTCTTTTATTTGAAACTCATTTGAGTACAACTTCAACTTAACTTAAAAAATTTTACAAAACAATTTTCAATGTGGTGCGCGACAAAATAAATTCAAAGTCTTTCACTTCATTTTTGAATAGTCATTAATACTAAGGATGCGATTTTTGCACTCGGCCAGGTGGTACTGGGTGCATTTCTCACCGCATAGCAAACACACGCAGGAATCACTTTCATCGAAGCACTGCTGTCGCTCGGAACTATTGCTACAGATTTGGTTCCAAAATTTAATTTATTTAAGGCATATATTATATTTTGACCAACCGCTGGAATCAGGATAAATCTTGTGAAATCTTAACCATAAGAAAATTGCTACTCCGTATAATTTGTAAATTTGGGCGTTTTTACTTTAAATGAATATATTTTCTGCAAATTTTAAATTCATTGTGTTTCAAAAGATACTCCACTTTTGAATGTTTAATTGTTTTGGAGAAAAAAAATCATGCATGGAGAAAAAATATCTTCAACTTTGACCTGCGGACTTTGAAATTTTAATTAATTTGTCAGCCGTCTTATTTTTTTTTTCTTCCTTTTGGTCAATGTAAATTTTAAGTGCTTGACAATTTTTTATTTTCTAAATTACATTTAAACCAGTTTTATACTTGGAGCCCCTGAAAAATAAGTGATTTTGAACATTTTCATCTCTAATGAGCCAAAGAAATCATCCTGATTGACCAAAATCGGTTTTTCCCTGCTAATAGCTGGTCAAAATAAAATATTTCCCGTGTGTGCGTTGGCATGTTTGTTGAATTGATTGAAATTTGGTTTATTTTACTGTGCAAAGAGAGTATTTAAAAAGAAAATAAAAAGCATTTTAATATATTTTAAATTCACACATTACGTAAATATACAAATTCAGTTGTTGCAAAGAGAAGATTTTTATTAAAATATAGTGGTTTAAATTGAAATTATTGAATAAATTAAATTATACTATTAATCCTATTGTAATTATTTATTCACGGAAATAAAAATACGAAGTAAGTAACGTTGCTGGCTTTTTGATTAGAAGTTTTTAAAGCGTAGATATTAAGCATTGAGCAGTGAATTTTCTTATATTGTATCTAAATTAACTTCAAACAGACGCTATTTAAGAGTCATTTAACGACTCCTTATTGACATAGTCAAATCAAGTCTTTACAACAATGATGATTAAATTTTCCAATTATTGATAAAAATGTTTCCTATTGTTGAAAAGACTTGATTTGACTATGTCAATAAGGAGCCTTTAAGGACTTCTTATTGACATAGTCAAATCAAGTCTTTTCAACAATATAAACAGATTTTTGCGATTGTTGAAAGACAATTGGAAATTTTAATCACCATTGTTGTAAAGACTTGATTTGACTATGTCAATAAGGAGTCCTTAAAGGAATTCATCTTAAATTCAGTAATTCATCTTGATTAAACCGATTCATAAAGATTACATTTTTTATTAAATTAATTTGCTTTAAATTAACCATTTAAATTTTATCCAAAAGAATATGCATTTTAGCAGTAATTTTTGTAGACCCTTTAAAAAAAGGGTCCTGATTTATCACGCCAAAGAGTTGCCAAAAGCAGCTTACTTAATGACAACAAGTACTCTAAAAAAACAAGCAGATTAGTCTCTCGGGATTTGGGACGAAAGTTTGGGCAAAGTCGTCCTTTCGCTCCGCTTCCCGCAGGATTTGGCGTCTTGTTGACACATATCTCTCGCCTTGCCTTACGTGGAAATGTGTGTGTCTATGTGTGAGCAGGCAGCAGAGAGAGAGATGTCGAAATTCACCGCTCTCATCATGTGCATACTTGCGGCCGTCTACTTGTGCGCCGGAATTCTGGCTCAACCAGTGGCTCAGGATCTTGCTCAAAGGTCAGAAGCATTTTTTAATTTCGCCAGACTTTATTCGCGCATTATTGTGTATTATTAGCATTGCTTGTGTTGTGTGCTTTGTCTTTGTAAAAACAAAAAAACTACTGTCGCATTTCTAATTTAATGAAAAATTCCGCAGCCAAATGCAAAGTTTTGCGCGGCATATCGTCGGCTACGCGGACAGATGGCCAGTCCGTCGCTCCGCTTTTTGACACAAATGGCCAGTAGCCATTTGCGCCGTTGGTACAAATGGCCAATTCGCATTTCCGGAGAAAATTTTTTTTTCTGCGCGATTATGTTCAAAAAGTCAAAATGCATCAGCCCACACGCTAAAAGTACCAACTTTACCCGTAGATGGCTCTTCTGTTGAGCCCGCAAGCAAGAAGTGCCATGAAAGCCACGCCCCCTCATGTGGTTTCCCATATCGCCGGATAATATAAATAAATACTTTTAATGCGTTTAATGTTAAAATTGGAAAAAATGATAAAAATAAAAAAATCTTGAAAAATGTATAATAAATATTAAAATATTTTACAATTTTCTAGAAGTAAAATCTCATTATTAGTTAATTACTAATTCAAATGGACAGACTCAATCAAACGAAGTGTTGCGAAGGATGCTCTCGTTGTAATAGACGTTTGCGCGAATGCAATCTTTTTTTTTTAGGACTCGTGAATTTAAAATATTCAAAATTTCAGCGATGAAGTTCAATTTAATCATGTATTTTTTGAAAATGCTAGATTAAAATTAATTCCGTCTAGGAGCGGAGGTATTAATGTTTCCGCGAGAATTTTTTCCCGTCCATTTTAAAAATAGAGAAAAGTTATAAAAAATAATAACCTAAACAGAAAAATGTTGCCAATTAAATTTTCTACAATTTTTTTCATTGGCTTAGCAACGTTAAAAATTTTTTCACTTACATACGGAAGGCTCAAAGTCAAAATAATATTTTTTTATAGCATAAGATTTTTTTAAAATTTTTTCGAGATAGCCAATCGATTGGAAATTAAATTTTCACCTTCGTTATTAAATTTCATCAAAAAATATTGAGCCGTTTTAAAATAAGAATATAATAATGTGATCACCCTGCTTTTGAAGACGAGGGTGCCGTCAGAGCGCTCACGAGAAAGCAAAGTGCAACTTAAAAACGGCTCAATATTTTTTAGTGTAATTTGGAAGCTAGATTTAAAATTAAATTTCCAATCGATTGGCTATCTCAAAAAAACTCTAAAAAATTTTATTCTATGAATAAAAATAATATTTTGACTTTTAGCCTTCCGTACATAAGTGAAAAAATTTCTGACGCCTTTAAGCCAATGGAAGAAATTGTAGGAAATTTAATTGGCAACATTTTTCTATAAATGTTTATATTGTTTTAAGCTTTCCTCTATTTTTAAAATTGATGGAACAAAATTCTCGCGGAAACAATAATAACTCCTCTCCTAGACGGAATTTATTTTAAAATAGCAAATCAAAAAATTAATTATCAAATTATGAATCAACGCTGAAATTTTAAATAATTTAAATTAACGCGTTCTAAAAAAATATTGCATTCGCGCAAACGTCTATCACAACGAGCATTCTTCGCGACACCTCGACTGACGGGGCGCCACTGTTGTGTCAACCAGCCGCTCCGCAGCAGCGGCTCCGATTTCGCCTTTATTTTCATATCAGCGGTGATTTTTCGTTTTTTGAAATAATTTTTTCACTAATTTAATTTCAATATCATCCTTAACCTTGAGTTAAAAAGTGGATTCTGAAATCTCAACATTCTCGCAGATAATCAGTTTTTTGCTTCTCCTGTAAAATTCGAAAAGCTGTCGAGTGGCCATTTGTTCCAACGGCGCAAATGGCTAGTGGCCATTTGTGTCAAAAAGCGGAGCGACGGACTGGCCATCTGTCCGCGTAGCCGACGATATAGAATTTCTTTTATCTTCCAATATATTATCATTAGACGTTGTTCGATTAATTTCAACATAAACAAATTGAAAATTGCACTTTTAATCGGTTTTTCTGCAAAATTATGCCCTTAACGGAGAAAATATTAAACATTTACAATTTTAACAGATACATTTTGTTAGAAAATTGCAATTAAAAAGATAGTTTTTGCACCATTTCTTGGCTTAAGGAGGTTTAATCGGACTATTTTGCGCCATTATTATTTTTTTGTAAGCATTCATTGTAGCCGTCAAAAATTTAAACCAATATTTTATGAAATGATCAAAGAAAAAATTCAAATTAAAAATAAAGCCAACAGAAACTTATACTTATTTCGTGTTGTAAATATTTTGCGTTTTACCTAAAACAAATTGTCGGTTACGGGCAAATTTGTTTATTATAGACCATTTCAAAATTGGAAATGCTGATTTGAATTACACAAGCACCGTTTATTTGATGGTCTATGGAAGTAGAAACGTAGGCAAGTAATTATTAATTTTATAAGCGTATCATGCAACCCGCACATCACCTTTGTTTAAAAAATCCATTTCTTTCTCAGGGATTTGCATTCAAGGCGGGCACCCTTCACTCTTTCCTTTCACTCATAGAAATAAGAGAATTTGCTCGAGTAGAATGGAAAGATTTGACAAGCAATAGAAAAATCTTCTTCTAGGCAAAGCGCATTGAACAAATTATTATTTTCTTTTACAAATGTTTGAAAAGAGTAAGAAATAAATGAAGTTTTTCACACGATTCAAATTGTTGTGTTGTTGGCGACATTTTCGTTGACGGAGTAATTTCCGGAAAAAGAAATCCCGCGTGATTGCATACTTTTTTCTTCCATTCGCCAGGGGCGGTGGAGAAAATTGTCTTTCCAATTTTTTAATGGCTCGTGATACTTCTTGCCACTTGTTAGCAATAATTGGCTTCGCCGCAAATTTTGCATGCGAAATTTGGTCTAATTTCTGAATTCACTGGCTTCTCTGTATTTCGCTGCTCCGGGAAGCAAATTGAGAAAATATGAGACAGAGCCGAGCAAGCAGCGGCCTCATTAATTCGGAAGCTGCTGAAGGCGAAACGCAGTCGTTTGACTGACATCCGACTCGCGCTCACATTTACATATTTTTTATTTGCCACGCACGTCGCGCGTTTCAATTTTCCAAATTGCGCTACATGAGGAAAATACGATGCGCAACTTTCTCGCAAACGAGAAATTAATTTTACAATTTTTACGCCCACAGCCAAGCTCAGGCGATTCAAGATTACGAACGGCACGTGCAGCAGTTGCAGCAGGCGCTGCAGTTTTTGTCACGGGAAATCCAGCACGCAAAGTAAGCATAGGGGTTCACTATCTAAAGTCACTTTTGCACAATTAAATTTGTCGTGTGCAGCGGGCGTGGGTTTGCAGCATTGTCTTCTTCCTTAGAAAAGCCGCAGCTTTAATTAATTTCGTCAAAGGGTTAAGCACTTCTTCTTTTTGTCTCCGACGCCCTCGCGTCTTGAAAGGGAAGCGAAAGAAAAACACAAAAAAAAAACTAATTAACATCCGTGTTGACTTTTACTTAAAAAGCAATTTCTAAAGGAAGAGGAGGAAAAAATTAAATAGGCCAGAGAGAGAAACGTGACGGGAATTCCTAGCCAGAGATCACATATAATCGAATTACTTTCTTGAATTATGATTTACATTAAATTTGTTAAGGAAGCGCTCAGGCTGCTTCCTGAACGGCGGAATGGCCCACAACTGTGACCTGAAGGACGTCGTGTCAGCCGTGGACGAGGCCAAGTACTGGGGCTCCTACTTGTCACCGGGCAAAAGGCGTTGGGGCGCGTTGACCCCGCCGGCTTCAGACCTCGAATTTGTCCAGTCCGAATAACCACATCGTCCTTTATGAAAATTCAGGTTGGTTAAAATCAATTTAAAATTCAATTGTTTTCTGCTGATTGAGACGCAATTTTATAATGCATAATATATATTAAATGAAATCTCTTGGAAATTGTTAACTTCAAATGTTGAAATGCAAAAACTCCCCGAATTTATGAAAATATAAATTTTTATTTGATAGATATACACGTCTTTTTCAATTAATTAGCTGAGGCGGATGGGGTTTTTTCTATCTCAAAGATTTTAGGAAAAAAATCATTTCCTTCAACAATTGAAATTTTCACTCCTAAAAATTGTCTATAAAAACTTGGAGTAAATTAACAACAATAAATGTCAAATGAAATGAGAAAATAAACTGCATTAAATTTCATCAAAAAAAAATTTCAGAAATTTTCTTTAAATGATTATTTCTGCTCTTGTTTCACTTTGTATTCGATTTATTAAGTTTAGCAGAAAAATAAAACTCCCTTTGCAACTAAATACTAAAGGTCATGATTAATCTCATAATATAAATTTCTGAGGAGAGTTATTCCCATCCAAATTAAATCAGCAGTTTCATTTCATTGTCTCTGTCTAACTTGGAACATTCCTTATTCATTACGAGAGAGATTGTTGCTCCGAAGGGATTGATTTTTATCCAAGCGTCACAAATGTGTGGGTTTTATCTGCGGGGAAAATTTTTAACACTCCTCCATTGCGTGGGGTAAATTTATTTGTTTTATATTTCATATTTTCTTTTTTCCCACCCAGTTTAATTAATGAAAAGTGCGGATTAGGTGTCACAATCCTGGGATTCGGTGCGAGATACAAAGAAGGAATAAAAAAATTTTAAATGCTAAAAAAAACATGTCATTTGAATTTACACGAAAAACCTGGAGGAAAATTACTGTTCTGCAATTCCCAGCGGGGTTTTGTGTGTTTTGTCTCATTTCACTTACTCAAATTAAGCGAATGTCACAAATTATCAGCGTATTGTGTTGTGTTTCAGAGTCTAACGAGCTAGATCACGCCACCTTCCGTCTGCACCATCTGCCAACTTGAATTAGCAACACCCGATGTATCCCTGCGTTAATGTGTACAATTACTGCACTTGTCACACCTGGAATTAATAAAATGCGTCTTTCTTGAATTTCGTCACATGTCTCACGTTCGTAGAGAGTAATTCAAAGTGCAAAATTCATTTGTCTCAATTCCCTACTACATACGCAAAACACTTTTCTTATTTTCTGAAAATTCTTATCGAGCTTTTAAAATAAAATTCTGAGGAAATAAATTTTTGCGATTGCTGGAAATTTTAACTCCCATTGATGACAGTGAAAATAATGAGTCTTAAATAGATGTGAATTTTGAAAGTTAGGCTTGCTTACAGAATTTGCGCCTCCTCCAATCAAGTGCAACAATATAATATTTAATATTGTTATAATCGTCCTAAATAGACGTAAATTTTTAAGATTAGTCCTGTAAAAAAAATTGCGACTCCTCTGAAAAAATTATTATTTTAAATTTCCTCGTTTTGAGGGACAGCAAAATAAGTTAGTTGGAGCATTTTTCAAAATTATTAGTAATAATAGAAAGAAGAGAAAAATATTTATTTCTATTAATGAATTTACGGAAACTCTAAAACATTTCCACTTTTGGAACTGCTAAAACTTCCAATTAAAATGAAATCTTTTTGGAAATGCTAAGGAAAACGAGACATTTTTTTAAATTACAACCATGCGATTGAAAAATGTACAATATAGATTGAAAATTTTGAATATAATCCTTTTATTACTTTTACATAAAGAAGGTTGATTCAGTTGTAGCAATTGTCGGGCAGTTGGCAAACGAAGTTTAAGGTTTTGTTGCAGGATTCGGTGAGCAATGTTCCTTCGCCCAACCAGGCGATGGAAACGCAGTCGTCAGTGTCGTTTGTCCTGTACCGCCACCACAACGAGCTGTCCTCGGGCAGTTTGGATCCATCAAGCCAGTGATAGTCGGTGTCTTCTTTCTTGGCCGAAACCCACCAGTCTTTACCTGCACCAAATTTCGATTAAAAATATTGCGATTTTAACTTTAGCGCGCACTATCGTCGATGCTTCTGGCCTCATTCCACACCATCCGCAGCTCTTGCACACTTCCAATGGTGGCCAAATGCAGGCCGTGCTGCCTGCAAGTCTCGTTCGCCAAACTCCAGTTTCCCTTCGAGAAATAAATAATTCAAAATTTTCATATTCATAATATTTTTTCAAACAAACTCGCGTTTTGCCGTCGAAGAAATAAGTTTTCCTAGACAGCGTCGTCAACTGGGTTGAACCTGATTTGTGCGATTATTTATTTATTTTTTTTTTTTTCAATTAATTAAATAGAACTTGCGCGAAACGAGGCATTTGCCGGCAAAATCAAAGTTCAGCAACTGAAAACAGAAAGGAAAATTACAAATTTTAACTGCGACACATTATCAACCTATGTTTGTATTGTTCGTTGGCAACTTTGTAAAAATTAAAAAAAAAACTGAATGAACCTGGTTGTGGTGCTGATCGACGAGTGCGGCCAGTTGATCCAGCCTGCGATTGGTGCCTGAGGTCAATTTTTTCAACTCTTCGTTTTGCACTTCGACCTGCCTTTTCGTTTCCGAGATCTACCAAATACAGAGTGCAGATTCAACTAGATATTAACATCATTTCAAAAAATTATCATTATCACGTGTTCAACAACGAGTTTGGTCAAACTGTCGAGCTTCTGATTGATATTTTCCATCAGCCCTTGATCAGAGTGTTGCACCTGAAAAGAGGATTTAACATAAAATTTTGATTTTTCTAGCTTTCTAACTGGAATTTTATTGTAATTTATTGAAAGAAAAAAAATCAATATTTTCATTAATTAAAAGGAAAAAGTTGTTGAACATTAATTTATTTTTTAATTTTCTTTAGAATAAATTAGAAAAAATATAATATCATAATTAAAAAGATACCTTTGTTGATTGCTTCGAATTTTGGTGGGGGTCACCGTCGGCCAGGACGGTGGCGAGTATGAAAAATAGCAACATCAAAATGCGGACCATCTTTTTCTTAACACTCATGATTACACGAATGATACAAGAATAAATGGCAAAGAGGCGCGTTTTATCTTTTATCAGAGTGGCCTTTGCCATCAAGAAAAGAAAAAATAACCGGTTTATTGAGGATATTCACATGCTAAGTTAGCACCAGAAAATCCCATAAGCAAGTTATCATGTGAATTTCCCTTATTATTATTTAATTTAAAATTTCAATTAATTAAATACATTTTTGGAAATAAAATAAAAATATTCCATAAAATAATAAATGAGCGCTTATTCTCTTCACTTAGTAATCCAGGGATAAATCAGATCGGAAAAATTTTATCCCGCTGTCCCACAATAAATATTTGTTTGTCACACCTTAATTTTTTTCGCCCTATTCATTAGAAAAAATGTTTTTCTTAACTGCCTTGACATTCTCAGTCAGATCAGATTTTTTAGAGAACTGATCGTGAAAATAATAGGGAAAACATGTAATCCTAATGGTAAAATGAAAAAAAAAATTAATTTGACATTCTTCATATTTTAATAACTAATATTTAGTAGATCAAAGCAAAATAAGGCCAAGAATTTATTTTCCGTTGAAATTTTATGCATGTGAAATTTCCCTAAATCAAAAAAATCAAACGGTTATTTAATAGCTGAAGTTAAATTTCATTTGATATTATTTTTTTTTCTTACAAAGAGCAAAAAAAATTATAAATAAAGAATAAAAAAGAATGAGAAAAAAACAAGTTTTTATTTCCGCCCATCTCAAATTTTTAGGCTAATAAGAAACCAACATATTTGAGGAATCAAAAAATAAAAAATAGAAATAAAAATAAATGAGGTTGCATGCACGCTGGGATTGCATGCAGGCTGAGATTGCATGCAGGCTCAGATTGCATGCAGGCTGAGATTGCATGCAGGCTCAGATTGCATGCAGGCTGAGATTGCATGCAGGCTGAGATTGCATGCACGATTGCATGCAGGCTGAGATTGCATGCACGATTGCATGCAGGCTGAGATTGCATGCACGATTGCATGCAGGCTGAGATTGCATGCACGATTGCATGCAGGCTGAGATTGCATGCACGATTGCATGCAGGCTGAGATTGCATGCACGATTGCATGCAGGCTGAGATTGCATGCACGATTGCATGCAGGCTGAGATTGCATGCACGAATGCATGCAGGCTGAGATTGCATGCAGGCTGCGATTGCATGCCCGTTGAGATTGCATGCAGGCTGAGATTGCATGCACGCTGAGATTGCATGCAGGCTGAGATTGCATGCACGCTGAGATTGCATGCACGATTGCATGCAGGCTGCGATTGCATGCCCGTTGAGATTGCATGCAGGCTGAGATTGCATGCAGGCTGAGATTGCATGCAGGCTGAGATTGCATGCAGGCCGAGATTGCATGCAGGCAGAGATTTGCAAGTTTATAAAAAAAAAGGGGAAGAAATTTTATGTTTTCTTCTGTTTATGTTGGTCCCATTTCTCAGATTAAGAAAAACTTATCCTGAATCATTTGGTGACAAAAAATTTTTAGGTAGTATCAAAGAATATTTATCCTGGGTTCCTGGGCCAGCGGGATAAAATGGATCGCCAAGGATTTATCCAGCAGGGTTAACTTATATACCGTGAGAATGGCGTTAGGATAATGGCGCGCAATATATTTAGTTATAAAAAAAACTACTCTTTCTTAGAGATTTTATGTGTGTTCCAAAACAAAAACTACACTTATTCATTTGTTTTCAATGTCAATTTTAAGCCATTTAAATGTTAAAAATGTTTTTTTTTTACATTATGTTGGTGCTCAATTGGTGCTCGGCACCACGTGCTGCCCTCTGTGAATTGGTGCTGTAAAGGCTGGCGTTAGGAGCCGGAGAGCGGCAAACGCGAGGACGATTCTCGTCGGTCGGAGGAAGTGGCAGGCGATTGGGAAAGAAACGCACTCGTCGCAGAACAACCTGTTAGTGTGCAAGCACTTGAATGTGTGCCGTTGCAAGCAGGTGAGAAGGAAATTAGAAAGAAAGTTTTCCGCCGAGTCTCAGTCGTTGCTCAGTCGTCTCGTTGCACCCGCGACGCACGTGCGCTGCTGCTGAGAGCCGCGCGCCGCTTTATATGGATAATTAATTCGCGATTCCAACTTGCGATAGATATTTGCTCGTAAGTATTTATTGACCGACGGAAAAAGCATTATTTCTTACTTGTTTCCACATTTATCAACACTAGACACGCTAATGCATCAACTCATTTAGAACGTGACACGGTTTGTTTTTAATAAATCAATATTCTTACAAATTAATACATTTTTTTTTGTAGCTGTTGTGAAGAAATTTTTAAATTATTAGATTTTTAAATTTAGTTCTTTTTGTTATAAAAGAACAAAAGTTATTTGAATAAGTTTTAGTTCAAATTGACTTTATTGGAGTAGCAAAAGGGTATCTCAGTTTAAATTGATAATTGTTTAATTAATTACATAAATATTTAAAGAATTTTAACATTTTCGGTAAAATTAAAATTAACAGTTTATGCAAACAATTACATACTGATTTGTTAAAAAGGTATGTGAGAAAGAAATTGTTTGCTGAAACTTGATTTTAATTTAAAACATTATTTAAATACTTAAATTCCAATGAAATGAAAGTTTGACGATGATGCTAATTGACAATCGGAAAAAGCCAGTATGTCTATGTTTGACTTGAAAAGGTCATTTCGCAATTGTTTTAAACGGCTATGCGACTTTCTACATTTACAACAACCATTAAGAAGATGCCTCATTGCTTTGATACTTCAACCGTTTTTATATTCTGCTTTTTACAGCAGAAACAAAGAGAGGCAGAAAAAATTATAAGAAAATCGATAAAAAAAAACACACACACACACATTGGTTGGTAGAGAACAAACTTTTACTTAATCACACCGGAAAGGAGAAAATTAACCACAATTTTTTGTAACATCTACTCGCTGAGCACAATCTTGATCACAATTTTATACATGATATGGTGAGGAAAATATTTGCTCATTCTTTGCTTAACTAAAAAACGAAAAGCTCATTTAAAGGTTTCAGATCATTCAATCTTCAATGTATAGCAATTTTGGAGAGAAAAAAAATTAAATATTGGGCTATTGCGATTCACAAAAGTTAACTTAAGTGTCGCCATCAAATTATTATTCGTTCTTTTAAAACTCTATAAGTTTCAGATTTTAATTTTTTTTAATCAATATAAAAAAATCGTTATTTTCCAGTAATTTGAGATTGAAACGTAAAAATTTTTATTCATTTATGCAATGAGGTTTTTCCGATCATTAGTTTTTCAATGGAAAACAATTCATCAACAAGAAATTTAAGATTACGAAAATTAATAAATTTTAACAAATTGAAATTCTTCTACAAAATTGAAAATAACATTTGGCTCAGCTTTTAAATGACCCATTTTTAGCGTTCATCAATAATCACAATAAATTTAAATATGCCGGCTAGACTGAAGCCGGCTCCGAAATTTGGCATTGGTCAACCAAAGTCAATTGGGAATTTAGCATTGCAAATTCCCAGGCGAGGTCAGCACTGCTCACTCGCCTCTCTTCATTCGCCTAACTTTCTTTCCACTTCGTTCCTTCCCTAGACCTCTCTTTCTTGTACTAATTCTCGCTGCATTCGCCGTTGGCGACAGCTGTGTAATTAACCACATTGATTGCAACTCTCTATGTACATCCGCGTTTCTTGTTTTCCATCAGGTAGCACAGACATTCGCGAACGGGAAAATAAAATGGCACAATTGTTTTCCTCGGCTGGAGCGAGGCTGGCCCTCATCGAAGAGGAGAATAAGATGAGCGGCTCGGAGGAAATCATTTTTGGCAAAAACAACAACCACGGCAAGTGCTTCTCCCAGTGCGCCACTAGAAGGATCACCAGCAAAGCCAAGGTTGGTCGAATAAATTTTTTTATGAAAAACTTTGTTAAAAAATATTGAAATAATTTAAAATTTGGCGGAAAACATTGATTTTTATAATTATATACAAAAAATAATATATTTTTTCTTATTATATTTGAAAACAAACTGTAAGGTTAAGTTCATATTTCTTAGAAGTTTAATTTCTATTTGCACAAATAATTTTTCTTTCTCCCACAATATTGAATGCTTTTTCGCTCATAAAAGAAAGACAAATTTCGTTTGACGCGATTGAAACTCGTGACGTCCGTGCGGTTTTCCTCAGCATCACGCTTGCATTTCTCCCTTCAACAATATCATTCTCAAGTGTATGTTTGCAAAAAAGCGTCAAGAGAAATCCCGTCTTAACGATGTGCAAAATAAAAATAATATTTCTCTGCTCTCCACACTTTTCCATTCGCCAGTGACGTCAAATCCGACAAAGAAGCGAAATGCGTGAGTTGCACTTCAGGGATCCTCTCAGGGCGAATGAAAAGCAGGATATAAAGATAAAAATTGTCCCGTCATAGAAACAGCAAACCTTGAGAGGATGTCGATGGAAATTAAGATCCCAAGGCCTCTATAAAATTGCGAAAAGTGGAAAATCCGATTTTTATTTTATTCTTCCGGAAATTCCTTTTTTTTTTTCAATATTCGAAGTCATTTTGAATTAGTTTCTCTTTTCAATACCGCGAAACAATCGATCTGGTCCGCTTTCCGAGCCGCGATTCACTGAGCACACCGCGGCAAGGTGATGCTTTTTTATTTGATTTTTTTCCAGCTGTGAAGGAACAATGAACTGCAAAATGAAAAGTGGAGTGCGCTTTTACGGCTCCACATTCAAACACCGCATTCGATTTATCAAGCATTACGATGCAAGTTTACAAGCATGAGTGAATGTTCCGATGGCCTTATTGCAACTTTTTAAATTGTTAAAATTTGCAGTTATTAAAAAACTGAAACCTTCACAAGTGTCCACAGCAGAATCAGTAGAAAGACGCGCAGGTTTGCTTTTTTATAAATAACGGAAAATCGGTTTAATAAAATAGCTAATTAAGGTCTGTGACCTCAAAAACGTCCCAGTGACTTGAGAAAAATTTGAATTTTGCGCAATTTTGAAGAATTTCTTGAGCTGGGCTTTACAAGAGTCATTTTGATGGAGAGAGAATTGAAAATTAAACCGTTATAAAATATTTGTTTAAATGCAGAACCGAAAATATATTTTTTATTTATATAATCATTAAATAGATATTATTATATTTATTTAAATATTTAATTTCTTGCTTTAGTTTCAAATAAAACTGTAAGAACAAGAGTAAAATAACAGACAATTGTTCAAATGAAAACATATTTCTTTCTAGAAACAACCTGTTTGAAGAATGGAAATACCGAAATATAATTTATGACGAAGCTATTGTTGATGCTCTTTTATCTACAATCACTTTCCACTTCTGAGATATTTATGTATTTGATAATTGAAAGTTAAATCAGCTTATCAACAGGGAAAAATTATTTGTCCTATAGAGTTTTTCACGGTTTTTCCAACTCTAATGGATAATAAAGTTTCCATTCATAAAATATAAATATAAAAAAAAAATCAAGAAAATAAACTTGAACTATAAAAGTTGGCAGAACTCCATAGGCTAGAAACTCGGCCTGCATTTCATAATGTAGGAAAGAGTAATAAATTTCCTTGATAATTTACTACTTGTTAGGCTTCGTAATAATTAATAATCAATCAGTTTCCGGGAACAACTCTAGCCTCCTAGCGATAGGGCAAAACCTGAACAAACAATTCTCCTTAAAAAGGAGCCGGTTGAATATTTTCACAAAAATAAACATTATAATAAAATCCTGATCGCGTGTTACTGAAGATTTAAATTTTTTGCGGAAATTATATTTGCATTATAATTATCAGCTTGTAAGTTTCCTGGATCACAGCCCTCTTTTTTTAAACTTTTCAACATCTCGGAAAGTTTTTTTTAATATTAATTTTATAAACAAATTTTTGATAAAAATAACCAAAAGATATATTTATCAATTTGAGTTTTTTTTTTAATGAGCTTCCAACCCTTTTATTGCATAATTATCCTAATTATTTTATTTTAATATTATTATTTAATAAAAATATAGAAATACTTACAATTCATTAATTAATTATTTACAGCACAAACTTATTTAATTTAATAAATAATTTTCAAATAATTAACTCATGTTTAAATGTACGCACTTTACTGACCATCCGCGCGGCCGAATTGGAGCCGACCCAATTTCGCTGGCACACATACGGCCTATCTCAACGCAGCTCTCTTTGTTTTGGTCTCGGCGTTATGCAAGCGCCGGGTTACGTAAAAGACGCACACCTCTGTCGATCCCACCACGGCTCGCACGCACGTGTGTAGGTGAAAGTAGTGAAAGTGAAACCGGGACCGTTTTGAGCAGCAAGATTTTTGCTATTACGCAGCAGCGCGGCGGCGCTCGCAGCCCAATGCAATTTATTCATTAAAGTCGCGGACGCCGAGCTCTCTCGGCAGGGTCCGCACTCACAGTCCGTCTCGGTGGCTCAACACTCGCTTTGTTTGTTGTTGTTTGGGCAAAACGTTCGCTTCCTAACCAGAGGCGGAAAAATGAAGTGCAGACAGAAGTGAAGACGCTCCAGTTTTTCTTTCATCATAATTCGATCTTTTTCCGAGGAAATTTTATTATGGCACCAAGGGAGTTGTGCGCCATGCAGACTGACGTGAGTTTTTTCCCCCCGATTTTTGTTTTTCCCAAAAACACATTTTTGCTTTCGAGGTGAAAATGTGGATTGTTTTGAAAGAGCGGCAGACACGCTTCCGCGTTGCAGAAATTATCTCGCCGACGTGCTAACGTGCAGGCCGGTGCCGCGAATGTAGGTCAACCTCAGAAATCGCAAATTATTTTCTGTGAAAAACGGTTTCTTTTTAATTGAAACTGAGATCATTGATGTTGATTTGTTTATATTTAACACTTTAATTGGGAAAAACGTGATTTTTTTCAATCAAACCATCGTTATGAAAGTGGGTCAGCTGAAAAAGTTTCTTTCATTAATATACATAAACTTAAAATCAAGTTTAAATAAGACCCCTTTTATTAAATATTTTTTTTTACAAATAAATACAATTTTTGGTTAATTTTCAATTTATTTATTTCTTTACATTTTTCTTTTTTATGGATCAAATTTATATTTTATTAAAATCATTTATAACGATTTAAGATAATCACATTTTTATTTTTAAGCAAGTTGCAAAACTTTTTTTAATTTAATAATCCTTCTTCCGCACAAAGCTTAAGGCTTTCTGGTGTTTTATGTCTCCGCCAACTTTCCAGCCTAGTTTGTGGGAGTTTTTATTGCGGAGCAGAATAACAGATGTGTGCAAAACGGTTCGCGATCTACTTTCTATAATACCCGAGTGAAAATAAACAAAGTTGATATAACTGCGCGCAAATATATGAATAAGATGATAATAACAATGATGAAAAACAATAGCGAACTCAAAACAAAACGCAATTCTTATCATATCAGATTTTAAAAATATTTTTTACTTAAGAATCTAATAAAATTAATTGGAAGTAAGATTGTGTCTCATAATAATGGAGCTTTGATTTGTTTGGCAAAAAAAAATCATGATTTTATTAAAAGTTATCAAATATTTTGAAAATTAAGCTAATTTTAGAATAAAAATTGGAGAGAACTTTAATAATAAATTAATTTAAATAACAAATTCTGGCATTTTTTTAAATAAGCCAATGAAAACCAAGGTTTACTTTTTTATTATTTTTTATTTCCTTCCCTAGGATATTGGCTAATCCCATTAGCATAACTTAAGTTGGAGGCCAACAATAGCAAAGTCATCGATTTTGCCGAGATTGTGAACCCACCGGTTGTCATTGGCAATCGCAGTGCGGTGTTTGTGTTAAGGTTTAGATCTCACGCGACTCTTTTACATTGGTTTGCATATTCTTCCTATATAAATTTCCAATTACCACCACCATTAAACTCTCGAGTGGTTTTTCTTCTTGTATCTCGTGACCGCGATCGTCAATTGCATACGCTCAATTGCTGTGAAATTACCGCTCGGAACTGCTTCCGAGAAAGGAAAACCGGTGACCGTTTTATTCAGACAAGTGGGCTTTTAATTTTTGTGTAATTTCAACGAAGGTTGTTGATCGCACTGACCGTGATTTCACCCTCTCATTCAAGATCGAAATTGGGTCACGGAGACAATATCTGCAAAATTCCAATAGAATCGCATCAGCTTAGAAATGTCAAATAAAATTTTCTCATAAACTGAATTTTAAATTTATTAAAATTATTTTTTTTTTAATAAAATGAAAATAAAATACATAAGTTTTTATAAATTAGTCGAGCAGATTGTAAGGAAAAACATATTAGAAAAATTCCTATAATAATTTTTGTAAATTTTCCAAATTTCAATATTTTAAAGATAAATCAAATTTACTTTTTGAAGCTGAAATAAAAATAACTTCCACAAATTAAAGTAAAAAAGAAGAGAGCAAAGATAATCAAGCATGCCGATTTTGTTCCAACTTATATTTGCTCTTATTATAAATTAATTAATTTAGTAATTATTTCTGGAAAAAATTAGACGAGCGCGTGCCGAAATGTCGCGCGGTGACCTCAATTAATGATAAGCTTCCGAGCCGCGTGGCGCAGGAAGATAAATTAATTTAAAACATTTGATGTCCCGTGACCTTGTGTGTCGGTCGGGCGTGATATAATTCTCGGTCTGCACTCTTCGTCAGCAGTTCGCCGAGTGTGTCTCCGGTTCTGGAAACGCAAAACGTCGGCAGCTCAAGTTTTGTTTTGCTAAAAAGTAAAAAATAAGAATCCAATTTTTGTAAAATTGGTTACGCTTCTTAAATATGCAATAATATCATGAATTATACACAATCATAAAAAGCGAAGGACTGTGAATAATTTAACCGGCAATTAAAGTGCTATTTATATCACCAAATTAGAAATATGTAGGAGTTGATTTCATCAGATTTCTTTGATATTTAACTTAAAAAATTAAAATTTATCGGCAAACAGTTAAATTAATTATTCATAATTTTTAATTAATTTATTAACTATTATTTAATTCTTTGTTTTTAGCTGAAATTTCTTATGCGCAATTTGTTCTTTGAAAATTGAGTTTCAAAACATGGGTGATTGAAATAAATGTTATTTTTTAGTTGCCAAAATAGGTTGATATTTTGAAACTGCTAAACTGGCGATTTTTTTCAAATAAATAATTATGTTTTTAGAACTAATTAATCAAATCCATTTACTTATGGAATATATACTTTTCTGTATTTAAGTTTAATTTATTTACTTAAACCCTCTTTATAAATTGTAACTTTTGCAGCCTTTATAATTATTTTAATTTGTTAATAAAATTGATATTATCAGGTACAATTCCATTCAATTAAGTAGAAGAAATGAAAATTCTAGAAACAAACCTTGCGAAACTAGTGCCAATATTTGCCTCCTTATATTAATCTTACTTCCGTCATATCTGACGACTGCTATAAAAAAGATTCAAGAACCTTAAGGAAATTTTATTATGCATATCAATAAAATTACCATTGCTTTATTGCTCCATTATTCCTTATTTATATTGATCATCTCGCGGATGAACCTCCTTGACTCATCCCTGGAAAAATCGCACGTCTCCGACTCTCGGATTTTCCCGTCGATTAAACGATAAAAAAACCTCTTCCGCTTTTATCGCCAAGGTCGCTGCACCAGCTCAGGTGCATTTATATTTATCTTAAGGTGAGCAGGAACTGCTTGCAATTGCAACTCTAGTCTTTCTCGCGGTGCCAGTTTTATTGCAAATGTGATCAGGAGAACATGCGGCTCGTTCAGTCCCCTTTCCGGTCCGGCTTCGATTCCTGCTGCGGCTACAAACTCGAAGTAATTATCAAATGAGTTTTTATGCATAATTATAAATATCACTCTCGGCAAAGGCAAAACTGGTCATGGAAGTGCCAAAAGGTGTTTACCAGTGTTTACGTCTCTCAGGAGAGGTGCATGTCAACATATATCAGTCTAGTGTAGTGCGTGGTGCGTGATCGGCTGTTTGCCATTCCGAAAGGATGCAAGAAGCGATGGTGGTGAAAATCGTAAGGTTTTTTTGCATTTAATATGGATCATCGAAAAGTATAATTGGAATTTTAATTTTTTTTTGCGATCATAGCAGAGATTTAATTTATCCATTCATTGATTTTGATTGTTTGAATTTTATTTAGTTAAATTGTTACTTTGATTTATTGCCCAAGGATTATAATGGAAAAATTTGATACAAAAATTAAAAATAATATGAACAATTTCTCAAAATATTTTCAAGAATGCCGGAATATGAAATCCAAAATGACATTCTTTGTTAATGATCCTTCTAAATTATGCGATTAATGTAGAATTGCTGGTTTTTATGCAGTTTATATAATCCTCCGTTGTAAAGGCGCTTTAATAATATTTAATATCAGAAAAATTATGGTGAAATTTATTATGAATCATTATTTTTAATAAATGGACTCCTTAACAACATAGTTAAGTAACTTAAAAAGAAAAGTAAAATACCTTTAATATTTAATTTTTTTATTTTACTTTTAAAGGGAAGGAATTAACTGCTAAAAAAAAAACTCCTCGTAGAGACAAATTTCACACAAAAAGAAGCTTTTAATAAAATTCCTAAATTAACACCTTCAATATTTTCATTTTTTTTTTAATTTGTAATTTGTATAAGAGAATATTCCAGTGATCTTTAAAGATTACAGATTATAATTTCATTTTTATTTATTAATGTATTTATCTATTCTTTAGATAATTAAAATAGGGAATCGAAAAATAATTATTATTGTATAAATAAATCAAATAAATAACATTTTAACCTTTCCATAAGAAGACGAATTATTCTTTCATCGAAAGATTAATTCTTAATATCTTAATCAGCCACAATTGCGTCTCTATACCATTCTAAAGGGGGGATAGAATTGTCACAATAACGTTGCACTTAGTTCTTAGTTTACCCGCCCGACTATGATTACCGACTAAACGTGAGTTGCACACATTGCCAATTACCATGGGAGCGAACGACCCGATCGAGTGTACGGTTCATTTTATTGCCGGCAGCATCCAGTTGCTGACCTTGGCTGACGACCTCTTGACAACTAAATAAGCTCGGGCTATTTTTTCCCCACTGGCCCACAGGGCGCTTGGGAGGCGTCCAGTTTTCGCGGTTAATTTGTCATTTGTCTGCCGAATAACCTTGCGCCGGTTATTTCTTATGAATGAAATTGGATAAATTTGAATGGAAAGAGTTCAAGTTGATCAACCCTGTTGGGTCAGAAGTTTATCTTTTAACGAGAGTGAAACTTTGATAATATTAACGAGTGATTAAACAGATGTCAAAAGCTTATCAATTGTTTTTTTGCGAATACAAATTTTAGAGTTATTCGAGGCCAAGGAATTTTATCAGAGTTTTTCGCACGCCCTTCTTATCACTGAATAACACTCCAAACACGTGGACAAATATTGTTAATCAGAGGAGGAAAAAATATTTACGCCGTGAAACGATCGAGTCAAGTTTCTCTTTGATTGGAGCAATTAGCTTTTTGTTGCAACGAGAGACGAGAGACGACTTCTGGTGTTGGGAAACGCGCGTCCAGCTTTCATTGCTCTGCAATTACAGTTGTTGTCGAGTGCGAGGAAAAGACAGTCTGAAATGAAATTAACGTTTCGTGACGAGAAATATACAGGGCGTGTTTCGCTTCAAAAATAGAAATGGACAATTGAAATTGAAAGGCGCACGAGCTGCACGCGTGCGTGTGGATTCCCCTGTGGTTTACCGACCCGCCGAATTATCCTGTTTGGCAGGTTTTGAGGTCAGCCGGTGGAAAACAAGTAGTTTTATAATGCAAACATAAAAATTTGCTTACTGAAAAAATCCATAAATTAATTAAATATGAGGAATTACCTAAGTTTCACTTGAATATAAATTTAAATCTATATTAAGAAGGATGTAGTAAAAAAAATCGCTATCTAATATAAAAAGTTGTAAAAAAATTACAAAATCTCTTTCAAGTTTTTTTTTTTATTATTACTGATTTAAGATTAAAATTGTCAATTTTAATTTATAACTAATTTTTATTTTAATACTTTTAATATATACACCAATTTTGGAAAAAAATTATAAGGAAATTATAAGATAAAATTGAGTTAATAGTTGAAGAAAAAAATCTCTAAAAAAAGGAATGGAGCAAATTAAAAAAGAAAATTATTTTTAATATGATTTTTTTTTTATAAAAAATGTATGAAATTCAACAAAATTTCCTTAACCTTAAATGAAAACTTAATAAAAACTTCAAAAATTCAATCTTTCATTATTTTTTAATTTTAAAATATAGCTAAATTTTATTTTAATTAATTTAATTTCATATACATATTAAATTTAAATTAATTTATAATTTCAAACATAAACGAGCACACAAAATCTGATAAATCTCAAATCAATGTGGTAAAATCCGCCCTGATCCGTCACGACGGTGGAGACCAATGGGGATCGAGCACCAGTGACGTCACACGCTCGTCGCCGGCCTGCCGAGAGTGGTGTGCTGCAGTGCCGTCGCAGTCCGCTAGCCGGCCTGCCGCTCGTCCTTTTGCTCTTTCCTTCGACCGAAATGCTGCGAGCCCTCGATTGAGTCGCCCCATCTGGGGGGCCCCGAGTGATTACGCTTTTCTGTGATTGGGGCGCTCATTCGGATGAGTTCGAGGCACGAAAACGGGCGCGCCGCCGAGTGTGCCGAGTGCTGTCGCCAGTTCGACTCGGGCCTGCACGCCCGAAGGCTTCCCTCGAGGGTCAGTGACTTGCTTGTTTCAATTCCAGTTGCATCCAACCTTAATGCCCAGTTCAGTGCAATTCGCATTCCGGTCCTCTAATGAAGCGAAAGGGACGTGCCCGAGTGGTGCCGCCGACGGGAAAAAAATAAGCAGGGGTGTATCGATTACCTCTGGCATGGAGACAGACAGATGCAACCTGTCTGGCATCAAATCCTGTATTAGGCTTTGGTCCAGATCTGCTTGAATGGCCGTTCCAAGAAAATGAAAGAAGTTTAAACTACGTCTTTTATAATTGTATTATATCGTTACTAGAAACCCCAAAATTATAATTTTTTTTTAAACAAGTACAACAATTAACAAAAATTAAAAGAGAAAAGAATGATTTTAATAAAAAAAATTACTTTTTAACAAATTTATTATAAATTGGAGTGGAAACATTATTTGAATCAATGAAACTTAAAAAGCGTTTCAAATTATTAATAAGAATGAATTGTTTTAGTTTAAATCATTCAAAAACTCTTTGTTCTGCATTTATATTCTTTGCCATTTAATTTAATTCACAGATTCAAATGCAAACTTATTTTGACTTCAGACTTATGTGATTTAATTGAACCTATAATTAGTTTGATATTTGATATCCTCAGTATTATTTCAATTTAAAGAAATATTTTTATCATAAATTTTTATATTTTTTTAATAATAAATATAATTATTGAAAATAAACATTAATAATTAATATTGTAATAGAATAGCATTTTTATGCAAAATTTTACAAGTGTAAATCTTGATCAAGTTAAGAGTTTTATTTTGCTATTTATTATTTATTAAGCCCAGTTAATTTTGAAATTCTGATTAAGTAAGTGTTTAAATTTATTAAAATTGCTGAAATTTTCATTTCATAAAACCAACAGCAGAATTTACAAAAATTCTGGTTTCCAAATTTAAAAATAGGGCAGCATTGAAGACTTAATTCTCTAATTGAGTGCCAAATCGCAACGTCTGAGTAAGAAATAAAAACGTTTACTTTGTCTTTCTCTCTCTACAAGTACGACTAGCCGTACTTAAGGAGGCTTACTCGAGCGTCTCCGAAACAGAGCGATTCGCGCCGCGCGCACGTGCCTGCATTCTGAGAAAACAAATATATAAATATAATCTGCGAGAGATTTGGCACCGTCCAACTTGCGAAAGCTATTTTTGAATGTAAAACAAACGCCAAATTCCGATGGAAATTAGGTTGTTGCGCAATATTCGAGTCTAATTTTAGTCTCGCGAGTTTAAGAATGAAATTAATTGAAGGTTTTTTTTTGTTTTGTGTTACAGGAGGAAAATGTGGTGGCCGAGAAAGAGGCGTTGGACGAGAAGAGCCCGTCGACAAAAGACTCGACGAGCAGCTACAGTTCGTTCATCCTCACTTACGAAGAAGCGCCCGGCTACCTCAAATTTAACCCTTACATTCGCTCCGGCTACAGAGGCTATCTCACGACCAAAATGTGCCTTGAAAGGTAAAAGTTTAATTTTGAAATGAATTATTAAAATCAGAATATTTAATATAATATAAAATTAATTAATTATCTATAATTTTGTTCAACAAAAAATAGTTTTTTAAATACTTAAAATACGGACATTTGAAATTGTTAAAAAAAAAGTACACCTGGTAGTTTCATTCACGTTCATTAATGATGAAAATTACCAAAAAAATATCTGATAAATTTATTTTAGATCAACAAACCCAATTTTCCCTTCTTTCATCATATTTAGCACCGAAAATTAATTTGCAAAACGTTAGAACATAATTTTTTCCTGCTCGAAAAGTTAGCAAACGGCAATGAGCCAATCGAAGCCAACAAAAACTTTCACTTTGGAGGCTCGCCGCGTCTCTCGCCAGCCAAATTACGCGTCTCCGTTTTCCAAAACCAAGGCCGTAGCCTCCAAATTTGCTAATCAATGGCGCGTGTGACAATGCGAGTCTAATCCGTGGAAATCTTTTTTTTTCGACAGCATATTCTGGTGGACAAACGAAACGGTCAACATTTGGAGCCACATTTTCGGATGGATGCTCTTCCTCGGACTTACCTTGTACGACCTGATGCTGCTCAACATTCACGCGTCGGCGTTAGACAAACTCATCGTTGGCCTCCTGCTTCTTTGTTTCCAAGTACGAACTGAAAGAAAAATAAATTGGAATTATTAATTTTGGTGAAAAATAATTTTTTGCTAATATTTTGTATTTATTTTCAGGCTTGTATGATTCTTTCTAGCGCTTATCACACCTTTTCGTGTAAGTCGGAAAAAGCCTACAGCTGTTTCTTATCATTCGACCTGTGCGGAATCGCGCTCAGCATTTTGGCCATTTACATGTCGGGTGTCTATTATGCCTTCTGGTGCTACTCAGTAAGTTCAATTTAAAACTTTTTAATTTGCCAATAATAGGTAAATAGAAAAAAAATTGATTTTTAAATTGAAGATAAAATTTTAAATTATAATTTTGTTTCTAACCCAAACATAGATTGGTAAAAAAACTTTTTTTAAAGTTTGTCATTTATTAGAAAATTAATTCAGACATTATATCAAATCTTACATAAATATGAAATAATTTTCAGCTTTTTATATTATTTTACTAAAGCATTTAAAACGACTTAATGAGATTTTTCACTATTATTAAAGTTTTATTTCAAATTTATAGACTAATTTTATTTTGCAACTTTTTTACTAGCTTTTTAAACTATTAAAATATTGTAAATTTTTAATTAAAATTATATAAAAGTTGTAAAACTAAAATAATATATGTTTTAAACAGACTTTTTTTAAATAAATCACAGCTTACAATAAAATAAAAAAAATCACAGAAAATAAATTTATTACAATATAATAATTTTTCTACCCTTGATTTTTTAAATCATTGTTTTTTTCGATTTTCAGGAATGGCAGCAGTTTTATTTGCTCACAGTCTGCCTGATCTTCGCGTTTGCGATGGCTCTGCAGTACCCAGGATTCCAGGTGGACGCGCACACCAAAATGCTTGTGTTTGTGGGGTGGGCCGCGTACGGCGTGGTGCCCACCATCCACTGGACCATCATGATGGGTGGTTGGCAGAACCCGATCGTCTCTGTGAGTGTTAACAAAGTAGCAGCTGAACTTTTGACTGATGATATTATTTTTATTCTCGATTAGCTTTTGCTGCCAAGAGTGCTCGGGATGTACGCAATAGTCAGTCTGGCGTTTGCCATTTACATCACCAGGATACCAGAGAGATTTGTGCCAGGTAACATATCAAAATCAATCATTGTGCCATAAATAATTCAGTGAAAATTATATAAAATTAAAATATGTACAAATTGAAATAATTCCTAGAATGGAGTTTTGCTCAAATGCAAAATTCGTTTCCTGTTTTTGACTCCCATTTTCACAGGAAATAATTCAAACCAAAGAGGAAATCAATTGACGCAGTTGAAAAATATCAATTTTTATAAAACAATCTTCTTTCCTGATAATAATAGACCTTCATACAGAATTTAATACAACTTAGAACTCTATCCAGCCTTTAATTTTTAATTTAGTTTTAATAAACATGATTAAATTTTTACTTTTTCAGGTTGGGTTGATTACGTTGGTTCGTCTCACCAATGGTGGCATGTGATAATAGTCTGCGCTTTCTACTACTGGCACAACACTGGCATCAAGTACGTCGAGTACCGCATGAACCACGGCTGTGCTAATGACCTCAGATTTTAATAAATTATGCAAGACCCGCGGAATCACCCTTCACAGAGATACACTTACTCACAAAATCGGAAGGAACACAACTCCACAACCCAAAAACCCTCACGAGAAGTCGATCGAACAAAAAGCTGCTTTAAGAGATGCCCCTAGTTTTCGACTCGACCCCTGTCTGGGGAGTCCATTTTTGTTGAGAGAGGATCGGCAAAGACGGTGTGCTGGTGAACACCCTTGGCCCGGTTCGTGTTGGATTTTAGTGATTAGCGACAACGAAGACACGAGAATATGTTGTATATAGCTTAAAGAGACAACTCACTGTGAGATAGTTTTATAAGAGCATGCAGTGCCAACGCTACCTTCATTATTATTTTTATTGCTGTTATTGCAGACACGTATTTTTTGTTAAAATAAATCCAAACAAATGATAATTAAAAATCACCAACTGAGCGTTTCATTTCCTGCTTATACTTTTTATCATTATGTAGCTATTTTAATTATTTCATATTGATCTAAAATCAAACGATTGGTTTTATTATTTTAAATTAGTAATTCAAAGGTTCATTTAATAACTTTTTTTAAGTACAAAAATGAAAATGAATAATATTTCTAAAACGAGATGGTACTAAATATTTATTAGTAATCAAAAAATTCGTTTTAATAATTTTTTTATTAAAATTACAAAAATTAAAACGAATAATATAAAATTTACAAAACGAGATGATGCCAAATATTTATTAATAATGGCTAGGGCCAAATCTGAGAGGCGGAGGCATGTACTGCCTGTTTTGCGGAACCGGTCTCACGTACTGCGAGTTCCCAAAGTTCTCATAGGGTGCAGGTGGACTGTCCGCCGACCTGGCCTGAGGTTGTGGAGTAGTGGTTGACGTCGTGCTTGGGGATGTTGGCGCCACCGAGGTGCCTTTAGTTTCCTTGGAGTTCTCCTCAGAGCTCTTGGACTCATCGCTTTCCGGTTTCTTGGTGGTAGACGATGAACTTGGGCTTGGCGTCGTCGTCGTTGACGAAGTTTCAGATTCACCCTCGGCGGCTCTGTACGAGCCACTGCTACTGTACGAAGAGCCACCTTCGTAACTAGGTGCCACCTGACACTGCACCTTGATGGGCACGGGTTTGGAGTAGCTGGATTGTGAGTAGCCAGATTGAGGGTGGTAGCTGGGCGTGTTGTACCCCTGCATGGGGTTGTGACCCATTCCGTAGCCGTAACCACCCCCACCGTTACTCGGGCCTGAAGGTCCTCCGTATCCTAACTCGGTAGGGCTATAGCCAGGAGATCCAGAACCTGAATAACTACTGTAAGAACTGCCATAAGAGCCACCATAGCTAGAGGGGCCAGCAGCGCCGTATCCTGAAGCGCCATAGTTTGATGGGCCTTGACCGTACCCACCTTGGCCTTCGTAACTTGCGCCCCCTTTTGGTCCAGAGTAGGCCATCATCGATGCAGCACCATACGAGGAAGGTTTGTAGGCGTAGTTTACACCACTGGAGGACAAATCCATTCCTCCGGATCCGCCCTGACCTTTGTTTTCACTTTGGCCTCCTTGTCCGCCATAGCCTCCTTTTCCTCCATAACTTCCTTGTCCTCCATAATTGCCTGGTGCTCCGTAGCCCCCTTGACCCCCATAATTTCCTTGCCCTCCGTAGCCACCTTGACCTCCGTAACCTCCTTGACCCCCATAATTTCCTTGCCCTCCGTAGCTACCTTGACCTCCATAACCTCCTTGACCCCCATAATTTCCTTGCCCTCCGTAGCTACCTTGACCCCCATAATTTCCTTGCCCTCCACTATAACCCCCTTGGCCTCCATAGCCCCCTGGTCCCCCGTAGCCTCCTTGGGCTTGCCCACCATAACCTCCCCCTCCATGACTCCCTGACCCCCCATAACCCCCTCCACTAGAACCCCCTGAAGAGTATCCCCCTTTATTTCCGCCCTGGTAACCTGATGAACCCTGATAGGACCCTCCTCCTCCTGATGAACTTCCCTTCTGTGCATAACTGCTTCCACCTGATGAAGATCCTCCTGAGTAACTTGGTTTGGCTGCTGAAGACGAAGAACCACTGTAGGAACCTTGCTTGCTTGAGGAATAGATTTCAGGCTTTTTTCCACCAGACGGTCCGTAACCTGCGTTACTTCCTTCCACTGGCAAGGCAAGGAGGGAGCCGTAGATTTGCAGAGGAATCGGTCCAAAGTGATTGCTGCTGCTGTACCCTGAACCTCCACTGCTGTAAGACGATCCTCCTTGGTTTCCACTGACGTACAGGCTGCCCACATTCAGGGGGTAGTGACTCTGCGATTGAACTGTGTAACCACTGTAGCTGTTTGCCCTCCCCGTCGTGTTGGTCTTGCTGACCGTCGAGTTGTCCTCGTTGGCTCGACCTTTGTGCGATTCTTGCTGGTGATGGTCATCGTGATGATCTCCATGCTGAGGAGGGGGATGTTCAACATGCGGGGGTGAGGGGTGGTACTCGTGTCCAGGAGGGGGTGGTGGAGGAATAGGGTGCGAGGCGGAACTTCCGTGATTTCCAATAGGTGGAGGGTGGTTGAAAATCGGGTGGCCTGGGGGTGGACCCTGGTAAATGACGTCATGGGGGTGAGGTGGCGGAGCTTGAGGGAGGTAATGCATGTGCGGCGGTGGAGGAGGAGCGTTGTACGAGTACGACGCGCCACCCATTGAAGAGCTGATGGCCGCTTCCGTCAGGCTGTGCACGTCGTTGTCGTGTCCAGGCGTGTATTGGTGCGAGTCGTCCGTGGGATAGCATTCTTGGTAGGGCGGCTCGTAAGGGTTTGGTTGAACCTGAAAATTAATTTAAAAATTAATTGAAATGTTGCAGTTTTTAAATAATTATGCAACTTGTAGAGCTTTCAAGATGTACAGGTTGCATAAGTTGAAAAAAAATATATCTCATAAATCAAATAATCGATGACTTTACACTTTAATTATTAAATAATCAGCACTTTTATACGGTGAAGCAATGAAATATTTTTACTGTGACTAACTCTTAATTCATTTGAAAAGTTATGCTAATTACTAGTAATTTTTGTTGAAAGAGAAAAAATGGAGAGTTTGCAAATTAAATTAGAATCGTATTTAAAAATAGTAAATAATATTTTATAAAAGAAATTATTTTGTAAATTTAAATCAAGTATTTTAAAAATTCGCTCACCATTACGCAATTTTGGTTTGACTTCTTTGCCCTGCCGAGGATTTGCTTGATCTCGGACGAGTCGGGACTCATTCGCACCACAATTTGCGGCAGCTCCTTTTTCACACTCGGTTCAGGGGTGGTGTCCGTCGTGGTTGTTGGCGCCTCTTCCGTCGTGGTCGCTTCGGTGACGACATATTCGGTTTGTTCCTCCAACGGACGCAAAGGTGAGGCGAGGGCGCCGATCAGCAGGAGCGGCGCCACGAGACCCCACACCGTGAGGACTCTCATCGTGCAGAGGTTTCTAGTGCGGCGGGCGGCACTCCTCCGCTTGTTTTATACGACACCTTTGCTGAGCCTGCATTTCCAACAGAGAAGTGCAGCTGCACAGCTCAACTTGTGAATTTAGTTTCCAACAGAAATAATGAAGCAAATTGCTCTCGATAATTAAATAATTTTGGTTGCTATGGCGACCAAAGTATGTCTTGGTAAATTTATTACGACTTATTTGTGAAATAATTGAGGTAGAGATTTAAAAAAAAAAAATAAGAAAAATGGTCTAGATTTGCATTATAAATTTAAATAAAATTAAATCCTTCAACTGAATTCTCACGTCTAATTTTTTTTTTTTATTTAATAATTATCCTCATTTAATTGTAAATTTAAAGTGATCTAATTTATTAATTTATTTTCCGTTACAATATATTGAAATGACACCACATTCTACATCAAAATCAAACCAAAACACTGAAAGTTAATTTTAAATTCTAGTTAAATTATATTCTCGCCCAGAATTATTTTCAATAATTTTGTAAAATTATTTTATAATATTCGAAATATTCATTTAAAAAATTGCTTTCATTTAAGACGTTCAAACAACAAACATTCTAAAATTTCATAATTTCATTTTTAGTTTTGCACATCCAAGCGTGGGAAAACGAATTAATTCGAGCCAAGTTGGCAAAAATTATTTTTTTTTACGCAATCATCAAAATTTTGTCGCTATCACAAACCTTCTTTGCGTATGGCCTGGAATAATTAAATTATTTATATAATTTCTAGATTTAAACCGTTTTAAACTTATTTAATATGAAATTCGCACCTCGCAGAAGTACTTGTTTGGCCTGCTGCATGGGAAGTCAAAAATGGTGCCGCCGAGGAGAAGGAAATCTTTATTCCAAGTGATGCAGTTTTCCTCGCCGAATTGGGCATCGGGCTGGTCGGGGCCCCATTTGGCGTGTGCGTTGGTGTCGAGAGCGTCGCCACTTCCACACCACGTCCACTGCCCTCCGCAACCTGGCATAGCCCCTGAAGTCCAGTAAACGTCGCCAAACATGACTGGCGCTTTAATTAATTTAAAGAAAATTATCCGTAGTTCTCAGATGCAAAATAAATATCAACTGATTGTTATTAAGCATTGGTCCTGCGCCCTTGCAGTTAAACTGACGAGTCTCATGCCCAATTCACAACACTCTTTTTCAGCCCGGAAGTAGCTGACCTAATTTTTTTTTTAAATAAATCTCAAAGCTATAATTTTTTATTAAATTGCTTTTTCTTTGGAAACGAAATAAAGCCGCGCAGGTCGAACTGATGGACATTTTTTTGCAGAGGAAATTAACGTTCCCTTTGACTTTGGGACTTAAATCCTTTATATTTATGATTTTTATCATAAATTAATTAAATAATACCAACAAAGTCTCCAGTTTGGCCGATGTAAGTTTCCTATAAACTAATTAAATTAATAAATCTAAATATTTTTATGCAGAACCAACATTGATTTTGCAGTCGATGAATTTTCTGCACTTGGGAATTTCACAACGTTGCTGTGGAATTAAAAAAGTAAAAAACAAATTGCTAAGATTTATATGAAAATTTGCCTCGCAAATAAAGTTATTGGCGTCCTTGCATTTTGCGTCGCGAAAAACTCCATCCCAGAGCAAACACCCTTTTCTTTTAACGTCAGTTTGGGCACTTTTTGTGAGAAAATCGGACACGGGCGTTTCCTTGAAGCACCAAGTCCACGTTTCTGTGCAGTCTGACCTTTTCGCAGCCACCCAGTTCAATCCAGGGGTCACTTAAAAGAATTAAAAAGCAAAAGATAAAAAAAAATACATGCAAAATTGGTTGAAATGGGCAACTTGAAACACGGAATGATATAAAATAATAAATATAAAATAAATAAAGACAAGTATTTAAATTAAAATTTAAAATTGAGAGAGAAAATTTTGAGTAATTTTTATTTAACTTATTATTATTAATTTTTGACTTCTTGAACTTTGTTAATTGAAATTGATGATTATAAAATTATGGAGTTTAACTTTAATTTATAATTAATACTGTTTGCATGGCTGGAAATCGAGGTTGTCTTGTCAGCGTTATCCAGCGAAACGAGAGACATTCCATAAGCGCAGCAGAATTTCTCAGCCTCTGAATGGTTCAGCTGTTTGAATAGAATAAATTATTATTAAAAAAAAAATTTAAATATTCCAAACTTTGAAATCGGATATGAAAAATCGCTTTTTGTTAGGAATTTTAATGAATATTCCCGGAAGAGTATTTTCAAAATCTGCAATTTTATATAAAAATTAATCAAAATTCCATTCATTACAGATCTTTCACAGAACTGGCACTCGCGTTTGCCAAGGTGGTCTGCAAACGAAAAGCAAAATATTGAGTTCAGCATAAACCGAGGCTCTCACGAATTGCAGACATTGACAAGGCATGTGACTTGGGAACAGTTGAAAGTGTCGCAGAGCGGCTCAGGAAGTGCTTCGGTGGTCGAAATTTTTGCTGTGGTCGTTGCCACCACCACGGCGGTCGGTATGAAGTTAAAAAATTGCTGCAATAAAAAAATTTAATTTTAATTAAGCACTTTTAATCTTAAACTTTTACGAAACTCTAATGGTAATTGTCGGGGGAGGCGTGGGAGAACTTGTTGTTGGTCGCGGCGTAGTGGAGCGCAAATATTTTGCCACACTTGTTTTGGCCGTCGTTTGAATTCCAACCATGGAGGTCTGATTATGGAAGATTTTTAGTAATTATTTTCATAATTATTTTTTTTTTACTTCGCAAACGGATCTGAATTCCAGATGGCAGCTTTCCATGGCAAGACCGAATCGCTTTTTTGCGGTGTCCACTTTCAAAACGGGACAGTTGCCTTTTTTGAAATTCGGTTCGCCAGGGAGCCACGTGTCGGCCGGACCGAGATTCATTAGCGTGACATTTGAGCTGCACCAGTGAAAAGGGTCCAAACATTCAGGGTTGTAATTAAGCGACGTCCAAAAGGTGTCGTTAATTACTCCTTCAACTGATTTCAATTTAATTTATTAATTAAAAAAATACCAATTATTCATATCAAATTAGATTTTAAGGTTTTAATTATTTAATTAGTACATTCATTCTTCTTTTTTAATGTAGAAGTTAAGAAAGTTTGTTAAAATGTTAAGAATGAATTTTCTGTTAGATTTTTTCCTTACTGTGTTAAATATAATTTTTTTACAGAAACGTAATTGGGTTCAAAGAGAGATTTATAAGAATTTGAAATTTTTCAATTCAAATTTTCAAATTTAGGCAATGATCCTTCTTTCTTTTCGCATTATAATTACAGTTTAAATCAACATTTGAATAAATTTAATTTTTATTATTACGTTTTTGCAATGCTTCGACAACACACATAATTTTCTCCAACGACAAGATCGTCACCATGCTCATTTTGCTGGCACAGCAAGTCCACGGGTATTCCTCAAACGGCATCTTGTTTAGCGAAAAATTAAAAATTTTTAATAAAAAAAATGATATCTTAAAATTACAATTTTGTCATCGAAGAAGAAATTATTCCCGCACATGCTGACATATTTCCGGTTGCCTTGAAAGTAAAGGTTTTAAAAATTTCAGCATTTTTTAATCACTTCTAACCTTTATTTTTGTTCAAAATCGCCTCCGCTCTGTCCTGCATAAAAACCATAAATTTGATTATTTTTTTAAAATTAATTTATTTTACTCGAGCATCACAAGACGCATTGAGGCAGACCCTGACGCAAGGCTTTCTGGTTGTTGTTTCAATCTGCATAAAATACTTTTTCAGAAAGTTTCGTATTTTTTATTTTATTGAAACTTGAATTTGAAAAGAAAAAATAAATCCGTGCCTACTGCAGTTTGAAAAAACTTCAAATCCAACATATTTTTTGCCACCACCGAAAATTTCAAAACCATAAAAATAAACTCGCCTATAAATCGCTTCAAAGTAGAAAGGAATTAATAAAAATATTTTTTCTTGCATAAAATTTGCGATTTTTGCATTATTTCGTAAATTTATGACTTGCATGAGGGAAATAAGTCGTGGACCAGAATCGGAAGTTTTCGTCCACCAACACGGAAGTATCGTTTGTCAGCTTCGGACAGGACTCGTCGTAACACGCGATCGGCACTTGGCAGATGAAAAAGTTGGACGTGAAACAATCGTCCAGTCCGTAATTCGTTTCCATCTGATTCCGCCTGACCAAATTTGATGCATTAAATTTTTCTACTAATTTTTTTAATACCATTGAAGAAAGACGCAATAGATTCCATTGGCGTTATAATCGGACAGAAGGGTGAGGTTTCCGTCGTAAAACTCGCCACTTTCGGTCCAAAACCTTTGAGCGAGTGAAAAAGGAGAAACGCCCGATGTTTCATTTTGGTAAGCCGAGAGCATTGCGCCGATCCAGAAAGTTTTATCTAAATAATTTATCGAAAGTAGAGAAGGAAAAGTGTAATTCGGTCGCGACCCACTTGTCAAATCCAGTTTTGATTTGAGGTAGTGGCCTAGCATTGTTACTTCGTGGGGACCTTCAATTGTAGCCAAGTGAAGCCCGCGGGACTTGCAGAACTTGCTCGCTTCGAACCACGTCTTGGGTTTGTTTATTCAAAATTAATTGTTGGAATAAAACCATAAAAAAATCAGAATAAAACGAGGAAGATAACATTAAATATTTTGATTTTTTGGAAATTTTTTCTATAAAAACAGTTTATTAAATTAAATTTATATTTTGTTTATGGGACAAAAAAATCGGATTATTTTCATTATATTTTCAATATTTGAGCCAAAAAACTGTAGGTTTTTCAAAGTAATTTAATCTTTTTCAACAAATAAACTAGCTTTCTATGAGTTTTAAATTCGTTTGGAATAAAAATAAATTAAATTGGTTTAGCAATTAAGTTTTTAAATCCAATTTTCAGGGATTTATAATGAACACTAAATTTAAAATGAATTACTTTTGACTTTTTCTTCTTCACTACTTACAAAATTAAGATTTGAGAACACTGCATACGAATTGAGCCCAACCAATGCAAGTAATGTGTCCGAAACTATTTCAAAAACTTTGTGATTTTGATATATTCAATTTTTTAACTCGCCTCTCCGCAGACAAATCGGTTTGATTTTTCTGTACATAGAAAAACCGGCCTGCAAAAAGAAGCATCGTGTATTAAAAGTAACGCGAGTAATACAAGAAGTGAAAAATTACGCCGCGGATGCAGTCGGCGGCTCCGAGTTGCGGTCTGGCGGTTGCGACGGCGCTGAAATTTTTCGGCGTGGTCAATTTCGCGATCGGTGCGGCCGTGGTGAGACAACGCTGCAGACAGTTGACCGGCTGGTGGCGGAATAATTTGTCGCTGTACTCTTTAATAAAATATTGTCGCAAAAATTAGAATGCAAGGCTTGATTGGCGTGCAAAGACCTTCATACTCGCTAAGAAGAATGGAGGCGGGGGAGAAATCCAACGAGTTGAAAAACAATTCGGCGAAAATTAAGTAGGGCAAAAAAGCGAGAATCACGTTTTGCGGCTTCATGAGAAGAGAGATAAGTGAAATTTTTGAAATGACTGCACGCAAAATGTATCAATTTAATGCCGGAAATTGGATTTTGTATATTGAATTTCAGGGCCGTTTTGATTTACATTATTTGCGCGTCAAATTTTATTTGCAAACTGAAATTTGTACAGCAAATAGTATAAAATATGCTTCATGGAAATTTTAAAAATCCAGATCTCTGTTATATTTGTGAAATAGACGTGATTTTTCGCAAGAAATTTATTGTTTAAAAGGAAAATAAATATATTTTGTAAAATAAAAACATAATTCCCATATTAGATGAAAATGGAGGGAACTAAAGTTTTTAAATCCTTATTGTTTGGTAAAAAGCTTTAAGAAAAATTATGCAGACAAAATCTTCAATTTCAGAAAGAAATATGGTTAATTTTCAAATTTTAAGAAATTATTATGAGAGTAAAAATCAGAACCAAAAATAAGATGGACTTAAAAAATATATTTTCTATTGGAGTTTTGACAATTATTTTAACTAAAAATTTAAGCATTTCTAACTTTATTTCAATTTCCTTTTGTTTGAAGTTTGCTAATGTTGATAATCACATTTAATTAAAAATATTGAAGACGGTAAATATTTCCCCTGATCATTTTAATACAATAATTGTTAAGTGGTTTTGAGCCTGAGACTACCAAAGTATTAAAGTCTTTAACAATAGCAAGTTACTATTCTGAAAGACCAACCCCGGCCACGTCATTGCCCCGTTCCTAATTAATTGACACGCAACCTGGACAGCCTTTGCACAAATAAGCCGACGTACGTGAAAGGGAAATAGGCCTTTTTATAGGCCGACTATATTTCATATCAAGAGCCTTTGTCATCAGCGCACATTGTCTCGTCGCTCGGGATGCTGGATGTGGAAATGCACCGGCATTGAGTGACCTGACCTTTGGTACACGCCCCAAGGTCGCGGCGACACAGGTGCGACCATCGGGAGCGTCTCGAGGAGGGATGCGTGCGAATCTGCAAAAATATGTGAGGAGGGAGGTGGAAACTATAAATCTGCATAATTCCCGTCAGGTCTCTCAGTTCGTCTCTCCCGTCAATGCTCGTAACGCTGAAGACTCCCGGAAGTATCAAAGCCGGTTGATTCAGCAAAAAACAACAAAAGGTAAGAATTTTTTTGTCAATATTTTCTTTTTAAACAAAAATTGTTCTTAAATTTATTGAAATTTCAACAGTTGGCTTTAAACGAAAGTAAAAGTTGTTTATCCTCAGGTGAGATGTTGACAATTGACAATAGGAAATGTTGCAAAATTTCTGAGGTAATCCGATTAACAGCTCAAATGCAAAATTGCTTATACAAATTGCGGTTCAAATAGAAAGGCACAGAATTGCATTTAATTTTCTAATAAACATTGGCAAAATAATTATTTTCTTGGCCTTATTGATCTTGATTTAAATTATTTAATTTTTATTACTGTTTGTTGATTATTTTTCTTAAATTTCTGTAACAAATTTTTTATTTTAAAAATAATTAATTTTTAATTAATTTAATATGAAGCAACATTAATAAAAGATTTGCAAAAACTTCCAAGATCATAAAGAGTATAATTGCTATCTATTGACTTTATTTTTGCTCTCATATCTTTGCTACAAATTTTGAACTATATTTTAATTAATTTTTCAACAATTTTTCAAGTTTCAAATTCATTTCATATTACTTTAAATAAAAATATTGCTATAGTTAAGATTTAGTTTTATATTGTGTTATTCATTTCCGTTAAATATCAAAATTAATTATTAATCTTTATTAAACATTAAATTTTTAATGACTCCGTTAATTTTGGTAAACGTTTCTCCAATATATTTTTCAAAACTTAAAAAAAAAATTTTTAATCTTTATGCGTTAGAAAATTATGTAAATAATGTTATTTTTCAAATTACTTTTTTTATTATTTCTAGTCCGTTATTTTTATATCACACTGCGCAAAATATTCTACTTTACGATAGGTAAAATATAACAATAAAAGTCTATACTTTTATTCTTTCACGAATGTCGCCTTGGCTCGGGGGAAACACCCGAGGTTGTTAGCATTGCCAGTCTAATTGCGTCTCCATATGCGCGGAGCACCCACGTGAAAAACGCTTTTCTTATTATTCTCTCTCAATTTGCTAATCTTTCACATCGCATTGAAAATAAATTGGCCCACGCGCATTTGTATATCGATAGAGGAGGTCGTCGTGCATTATTTCTTGTGGGTGCCGAAGCAAAAAAATTAAAAATTTGTTTCTGGAAAAGGATGGGTTTTAATTTCGCGTGGAAGAAGAGCGAACGAAATAATTGAGACCGCAGCGAGGCCGAGTTGCGGCGAATGCGTCCGCTACACATTTTTCTTTTCTCCGCACCCGCACTTTTTGCCAAGCGCGGCCGGCCGATGACGTCCGCGATTTTTTCCAGTGAAATGTGACTAATATGCATTTCTTTGGAAGCGAGACTCGCGATTATCGGTGTCAAAACCTTAACTCAATTTTTATCAATTATATTATTTGGAAATAAAATAATTAATAAAAAAATTCAAGAATAATTAATGAGTTTTTTTTATTAATTTTAATGCTGATTATACAAAACCTATTAATTTTATTGTTGTTGCCATTTATTTTGGCTCGGTACTTCATTTAAAAACAATAGCTTTTCATTGTCGAAATTTAAATTTGGTAATAAGTTTATAAATCGCAAATCTTGAAAGAAAATTATATTTATGCATTCTTCTTAGCATTTTTGATTTTTTTTATCTCTTGATCTCAAAGAAGAGCAATTTGTGAAATCATTGTTCATATAAAAGTACATAATAATTGTCAGAGAAGTTTTCAGAATTTTTGAGAAAACAAAATCATGTTTTTCATCGAGTTCAAAATTTACCGAAATTTTCTCAGCTTACAGAAGAAGTTATTATTTTGGTTAACAAAAATTCCAGAATTTTAATTATAATATTTATCTAAATTTGAGGCCAGAGGGAAAAAAATTGTCTGAAAATGTTGGTATGAACCAATTTGTAAAGCATTTTTTGAGTTTTAACTGTTTTAAGCCAACATTGTTTTAATCCTTGTACATATTTTTGTGAATTTTTCTATTCGATCATGTTGCATATGACCGAGAACAATAAATAACTATAAAGTAATTTAAAAATCATGGTGAAAATTAAATATAATTGTTAATAAAATATAGAAAAAATTAATTAATAATCAAATATACGTAAAAAAAATTAATTTGCTGCTAAAAGTGAACTTTAAATATTGAATGTATTGAATATCAATAATTTATAGTGACATGAATTTTTGTAAAAATTTGCTACTTTTTTTACAGAACATTCAATATTTTTTAAAAATTTTTTTGCATTGTATTTTCTGCAAAAATATGTACAATGTAACTAAAACTCTCCAAGGAAATGAAATATGTTTGCAAATTTATTCAAATAACTTTACGCGAAAACAAACAATTTGCGAGGAAGTGCCGGTCGCATAAATTAGCCGTGAATTTGCTCTTCTCGACCTTAGCAGCGGCCGAAAACGTCAATGATCCGCCGCGTTTAATGCCTCAATAAAATTTCCGCCAGTCACGCTCGCGCCATTCTAATTGCTTAACCCTATAGGCGAGATGCAAATTTCCGCTCGTCGCGACAAAAAGAGGAAAACAATGGCTCTAAAAAAATGTGATTCACCGCCCCGGAGGAGACCTTTGAGATGAAAAAATAAACTTCATCTTCACTCTCTTGACAGTGATTTTGCTTATTGGGTCAGGGTCGGCCGAAAAAATTAATAAGCACCCATTGTTGGTGCACAAATAATCGCATCTGTTTCTTTCCTGCTTAGTCGGGGAAATGATTCGCAGCGGGACACAATGCGAGCCGGGAATAATAATTAGCCTGGTGCGTTAACAAGCCGCTTAGGCGTTACGAAATAACGCACTTGATATTGAGATGTCGCCGCGGATCAAGTTCAACATCTCGTTTCATTGTCTCCGTAATAGTCCTTTGTCATTCTTCCTGCCGGGCTTCCCGAACAAACAACAAATAAAATTAATATGCCCGAAACTATTTGTAAATTATATTCCTCGTTAATTATTTTTTTCTATATTAAAGTTATTTTAACATTTTTTCCGATATTAACAAATTTTGTTGCTAATTATTCACTTCACTAAATTAATGAAGAAGCATAATTAGTAATTTATATAAAATTTGTGAAAAATCAACCATTTCAAAGTTAAAATCATCCAGACATCCAGAAAGATTAAAATAATTATTAAAGATAAAATTATTAGACTCACAGTAAGTCAAAATTTTATGCCTATTTTGAGAATTTTCAAATTTCTGTGAATAATTTTTCAAATGTATTTTGGATTTTTTTGTTATGATTTCTGAATATTTCAATTTTCACTCCTTCTTTAGGTTTTTATGTAACAAAATGAATGTAGAAATAAATAAATAAATTTAAAAATCTCTAATTTACCATTTTTCCAGTTTTAGGATGGCAAAACGTTCAGTCATGACAGTTCCACTGCTCCTTTTCTCCTCCCTTTTGCACATTTCTCACGGCCAATTGGAAGACTTGATGGGCTTCATGAAAATTCCGGACTCTGTAATGGTAAAAGAAGAAAACTCTATAGGAAATATTGATATTAATTATGTTTTCTGAAATAGAATCAGGTGGACGAGTGGACGAAGCCGGTGGGCAGTGAAGCCGCTTTCCAACCGGTGGTCAGCAAACACGCCAGCTGCCAGAAACACATGTCCTCGTTGATGGAGTTTCCTTGCCAAAAGTTTTTCAACCAAGTAGCTCCGCGCTCCCCCGAACCACCCTCGTCGGTGCACCAACTCCGACCTGGAGACATTGACGTGGTCGCCGCAATTGGGGACAGTCTTGTGGCAGGTAAAAAAAAAATGATAAACTTGCTTCATAAATTTCTCTCAGAAATTTATAAAAAGCATTAAATGAGAATAATATTGGTTCTAATGAATTTATTTTCAATAATTAAATTAATGATTTTTATTCTTGATTTCAAAGTTCGTGACTGATTGTAAAATCTAAATCACCCGTAAGAAGAATTTTTTACAGCTAACTCGATTTTATTTATACTTCGTTCAAACTCTAAAGAAAATTGTATTATTGCTGGAGATGGCTTTTAATAAATGAGAATGTAATTAATTTTTAATGAGAAATTCTCTACCCACAAAAATCAATAATAATAAAGCAATAAAACTCAATGAAACTCCATTTTCCCACACAATTTGCGGTCGCAGGTGACGCAGCTCTGGACGATTCGCCCTTCAGCGTTTTCATCCAGTACCGCGGCGTTTCTTGGTGTGTGGGTGGCGAATCGGACTGGCGCAGGTACCTGACGATACCCAACATCCTGAAGCAGTTCAACCCAAACATCACCGGCTATTCAGTAGGAGAAGGCTCGTATCAGGCAAGATAAAAACAAACTAAATTTTAATTTAAAAAAAATCAAACTAAAAAGTATTGAATTTCTTTGAAAAAATTCTGTTTTTCATCCGATTTATTTTGACACTAATATTTTCAAATTTAATAATCTTTGCAGTCCAAGAATTCCCGATTCAACATAGCGATGCCGGCGGCGTTGGACGACGACGCATTGAAACAGGCGCAAATCCTCGTTTCCAGAGTTCGATCCGACCCCAATATTAATTTCCGAAAATCTTGGAAGGTCTGTGACTTTTTCAACTAAAAATGACTCAATTATTCAATTTAATTTCACAGTTTGTAACAATTTTCATCGGGCACAACGACCTTTGCTCAAAGGCGTGTTTCAACCCTGAAAAACACACGGCCCTTCAGCACAAGAAGCAGCTGCAAAAAGCGCTCGACTTTCTCAAGAAAAACATGCCTCGCACTTACGTCTCTCTTGTAACGATCGGAGGTTGATTATTATTTTATTTTTTATTAGAATTTGCCAATAAAAATTTTTTCAGATGTGACTTATTCCATGAAGGTGCAACGCTCCTTCATGTGTAAATTGATGCACCCGTTTTTGTGCGCCTGTCTGCACAGAGGCCAGGCCAAGGACCCCGTCAAGTGGGTGGGAAATTTGGCCAGAGAATATGCGAGGGCTGAGATTGAACTGGTAAAAAATTAATGAAAATTTAATGAAATTGTTTCTTAAGTTTTATCATAGAATTAAAAAATAATGACAAAATTCTTTGGGAAAATTTGAAAAGTCCCAAAAAGTCAAATTTTAACACAAATTTGTAAGATAAATTAATGGATAATTTTTAATTGTATTTTTTACCAAAAATTATGAGAGCCCTGATTTTTAAAAACCAAATTAAATTTTTCTTACAAAAGAAGTAATAATTTGCCCCAAATTTCTGTTTAAATTTGCACAAACGTTTGTCACAAGAAACTATTTTAGAGAAACAATTAAATTCCTGCAAAAATTTCAAATTCCGGGAATTTAAAAACAGTTTTTTTACTAATTAAAAAAAAAATACTTTCTATAAAATCATGTTTTTTTAGATTGAGAGTGGACGATACTCAAACGACCCGGAATTTGCGGTCGAGTTGATGCCATTTACATTATTCACGCACCACCTGGGCTATCGATCAACTCCTGCCGATATGAAAAGCGTTTGGATGACCAACAAGAACTTGATCAGCCCAGACTGTTTCCACATGAGCCAAGCTGGTTCCGCATTAAGTAAGATTTTTTTTAAATCTATTTATGTAATTAATTTATTTCTTTTAGTGGCGAACATGCATTGGAACAATCTCTTGGAGTCAAACCACATCCGCTCGTCGTCGCCGCCAAATAAAATTTTTGAACGCTTCCTCTGTCCGACGGTTAACTCGCCCTATCTGTTTACGGCGGAAAACAGCGCCCTCTTCAGGACACAGGGCTCGCAATTGCACTCCGATTTTCAAGAACTGCAGATGAGGACGAGAAATTTTTTGCTTCCTAAATATATTTAATTGTAAAATATGCATAATATTAAATTTAGTTTATGACAAAAGTCTGACTCGATTTAAGTTTAAGTAATTTATTATGGAAAATTATTAGATTATTAAAAATAAACATGAGTAAACCAAATGAAATTTGTAGCATTACCATTTTCCTCTTATTACAAAATGAACAAAATTAAAAAAATGAACAAATATCGCAATTATTTTTCTGTCAACGTCAACAAACATTTCAAAATGCACTTCTTGTATTTATGAAAATTGTCGAGAGCTTCCTGCATTCAATTAACAACTAATAGCATTACGTCAGCAATGTGATGAGTGGAAATCCCGTAAACAAAATCAAAATTCCCTTTGCGGAAGCAGAAAATCAAAACATGTGACTCTTTGGCCTACCCAATGATACAGGACCATAACAAAATCATGAGCCAGCTGAACCATGCGTAGAAGCACTTTGCTCTTGTCAATACTTCTATTCATCGCGGTAAAATTAATTTCAATAATAATCAGAGCTAAAATATTTAACCTCACAGATTTATGCTGTTAATGCTTCCGGCACAAATAAAAGGGCAAAAAGTTCTAACAAAGGTAAGAATTATTTTATAAAATTATTATTTATTAAATTATTATTTTTAATTAAAGTTGGAAGCGGTCAAAATGCAGGATCAAATAGGAAATCTCGCCAGCAACAAATAATCCAATGCTGCGGATCGGGTTCCTGCTTGTCAGGTACCAAGTTGACAAGCCACAGAACCAACGGAACCGACAGCACGATTTCCTCTACACCTTTATCAACAACAGTTATTTCGGTGATAATTTCCTTTTTCAAATAAATTTAATTAAGTGCATCAAAATTTAATTTAGGGAGAGATCGTTGTTGTCGATGCAGAAACCCAAACTGTTGATGTAAATGGCAATACCGACACATCCATCCCCTCAGAATCGACAACCATGTAATAATAAATAAAATTATTTTTTAATAAAAAAGTTCAATTACTTGTAAAGGGGTATTTCTGTCAGCCCAGTAGTAGAAATTTCAACGCCTGCAATAACCTCAAATGCGGTGGCTTCCGAGTCTCAAAAAAGCAGTACATTAACCGGATCTGCATCTTCCACCTCAACGGCAATTCCATCCATAATTTCTTCTTCAACCCCTCAATCTACCTTAACTTCTGGTAGCACCGTTTCATCAACACCATCAACCACGAGCACAACAACTTCAACCACTACGACAACCACCACCACAACAACAACCACCACAACCACAACTACTCCCATTCCTTCAATCCAAGTAACTTAAAATAACTTTATAAAAATTAGCACAAAAGGATGTTTTGTTTCTACGCAGGAACTGGTAGTTGGAAAGTGCGACTCAACTTTTACAAAAGACGTATAAAAACTTTCTATTCGTCTTACCCTCTAATTTAAATAATTAATTTTGGTAGAAATCATTATTTGACACTGATAACAAGTTGAAAGGTAAACATTGATTTCGATTATTTCATGAAATATAAAATAAAATAAATTATAGACCCTGATAAATATGGATTTTGGGTCCAATCATGTGGCCAACTTTTTGTATTTGGAAAATCATTGGTTAGAAACTAAAAAATAACTTCTTTTTAAATTTATATCGGTTTAATAAAGGTGACTTGGAGAGACAATTTTATCAAGTGTGCCAAAATCGGAATGCAACCTGTGACAATTGAAGACGCAAACAAATTACAATGTCTGCAAGACTTAGGTAAAAATATTGTTCCTCGAATTTCGTATTGCATTTTTATCTGCAGCCACGAACTGGAAATACGGGTCGAACTACTGGTCTTCCGGTTTGCGAACGACAACGACCAAATTTTCTTGGTGCTTCCAAAACGGAACCACTAAATCCCTAGGGACATTAAACATGTGGGCACCGAGTCAGCCGGACAATTTCAATCAGTCGGAAAACTGCGTTCACTTGAACATCACAAAAGAGAACAGCACCGTTCATCTGAGCGACAAAAAGTGCACCAATATTTACGTTTTCTCCTGCCAAGTTGAGCTAAATTTATTTAACTTCATCAATTATTTCATAATTTAAACAAGGGAGCGCCAACCCCACCTCCACCGTGTTCTTCGCCTGTCTGTCCAAACATCACGTGCAATAAAAATGTATGGAATTTTTTTATTCGCAAACAACTGATAAGAAATTGGTGTTTTTTTTCCAGATGGCTCTTTTTTCGAATGTCACGAAATCGAACAAACAAGTCTCCTATTATCTAACCAGTTATAATCATTATTATTTGTTAATTCAATAATTTATTAACTTTAATTTAAGACCCGAATCAATTTGGCACTTGGTACAACAAACACAGCAGATTTTACTTCTTCAGTTATCCAAATGAGACTCGGACCGTAATAAAAATGTTTTCATTAGAAACTACTTGAAAAACGATTTTTTATAGTTTCTTGGGGCGATGCAGACTTGCTGCGAGCTCGGAATGACCCTTTTGAGTTTGCAATTTGATTATAAATTCGACGGAGTGATTTCTGGAATTAAAGGTTTAAACTTTGGAAATGATATAATCTTTGCGAAAATTCATATTATTCAAAGAACAATCAAATGATCCGGGCTACTTCTGGACCTCGGCAACGGACAGTGGCTGCGAGTCAAAGTACGGATACTGCTCGGTTAATCGTCTTGTCCGCGATGAGGCTCTTTGGGAACCAGGACAACCGGACAATGCTGGAGGAAAGGAAAACTTCCTGGCTATTTACATCAACAGAACCCAAGCGTTGTTGGCTGATTTCGACGGTGAAAAAAAGCTGCGATTCATTTGCGAGGTTCATATTTGTGCAGAATATTTGATGATCTTATAAAAAATCCATAATGTGTTACAGGGCCGTGATACGTCAAAGTCTGATTCTGGTGGGAAATCCGTGAGAGACGAATGTGCTGCCATTTACAACGTCAGCTCCAGTAAGTTAGAACGTAGAGAAAAATCAAATTAAAATTTTAATTTATAATTTTTAAGGTGAAATGGATTCGCTTTTAAACAGAACAAACTACGACCTACGGACAAAAGTTTATAAAATATATTTAAGTGATTTTCATAAATTATTATTATTGAAAAATAGTGTTTCATCAAATGTGTTGGAGAAAATAGTGGACTGGTAAATTTGTTCATTTATATTTTATTGATAAATTCAATTGATTTTGGTAAATTTTAGATGATCAACGGGAAATTCGTAGAGAATGAGGTGTTGGCGATTTTGGAAAAAATGGCCAAAGGGAATTTGGAAGATCTGCGGAAAAACCTCATGGTTGTTGACGATTGCGGCAACACTACGGGTCTAATTTAGAAGTTGATTATTTTGAAATAAAAATAAAAATTTCAACAGACGGAATGGATGAGTGCGATAAAGCATCGCAAATGATCAAGTGCACGAAGGAAAAGGCGCCGGACATATTGATGGGGGTGGTTTACGAAATGGAAAAATCCATTTCTCAATCGGAAACAATCCAAGTTAGAAATATTGATGTTCGATTTTATTGAATAATATTTTTATTTCAAGGAAACCGTACCGCTTCCTCCATCACCACGCCAATGTGCCACTAATTACACGTGCGTTCTTGATGTAAGAAAGTTTTATTGAAAAAAGACATTTTTAATTTATGTTTTTACTTATATTTAAATCACTTTTAATAGCCAAAATTACGAGATGCCTTTGAAGCTGCGAACACAAGTAAAATATTAATCAAAGAACAATATGAAAATACTTTGATTTTTAAAAATAACTTTGTAGCTCAGCCTCTTGTGAACGGGACAGCGGGCTTTATGGTTGACTTTAACTGCGGAAAAAAGTATCTTTCCTCCGGAGGAAGTGGTGTAAAAATTAATAATTTTAAATTATACAGTTTGATATATTTAATTTTTTTAAATAAAATCAACAGTACAATTTTACTTATGCAAATGAGATGTGCTGCAAATACGGTCTACGTATGGCAACGTTGGATACCATATCAAAGCTGGACTGTGCTATAAATAGTTCTAGTATAAGAAAAGACTTAATTTTTTTAATGCTTATCCTGATATGGAATTATTTAAATTCCAGCGTACGCTTCCACGCACAGGGTTTGCCCTTACTGGATTGCAGCATCGTGGCTACCAAATCAGACGTCGCCACAGTGGTGTTATTCAAGTGCGCCTATCAGCAATCTTCTACTCACTATTCCAGCCGCGACATCAGTTGATCCTTTGAAGCCGTTTATGATCATTAACTATGCTTCAAAATCTCTAACAGTGTCTCCTGTTATGAATTCGGCGCACATGTTATGCGAAGAATATTAATAAATAACTGGATTTCATTTGATCCGTGACTCATTCTTTTTTTAAGAAAACAAAATTAATTTTAGAAATGAAAACTAAAATCACAGCTGAATGCAGGAGAAAGTAAAAAGTAGCCAAGAAATCCCACAAGAAAAAGGATAAAAAAAATCACGAAGGTAATTTGGAAGCTTTTATTTTTTTAATGAATTAGATGCAAGATAGTTCCGAGAGAAATTTCTTTCTCAGCCTAATTGTACTATGATTTTATTTTTTTTCCCATATTTTTATAACCATTTATTTATTTTTGTTCTAAATTGAATCTTGGTATCTGCTGACTTTTGGCAACCTGCTAAGCGTCTGAGAGCAGCGGGTTGCCTATTTGTTTCATGTAGGCGCTGAGGAGAGAGAGAGATCCCTGCTAAAAATATGGAAAATCAGTGAATAAAAATAACACGATTCCGACTTTTTCGTTTTGTTCTTTGAAGCTGAAATAAAAATGAAGAGTTTTTTAATACTTTAATTAATCTTATGTAAATAAAGCTCTGTTAGAAATGATTAGAATTTATGGCGTTTCAGATGATCCATTGTTGCATTTAAAATAACCGTTCTTTAGCAAAAATCCAATTATGGCCAAAATTGAACAAATCTAGGCCCTCATTGGTGTCTTAACTGTAATTTTGAAAGCTTTTTTACTTTCAAATAAGTTTTGTCCACCTTTAAATAGCTTTGTCATAATTCAGCAATGAAACCTGAAGATCCACTCTTTGTTTTTAACTAATAGATAATCTGTTTGATTAAATTAAACCCTGGAATTAAATAATGTCTATAAATATTTATTTTCTGTTTATTCAATATGGCAGACCAGTTGAAATAGCACAACCAAACGACCGAAATTCACGTAAATTTTTCCCTTCCGTATATTAGAACACGTGAATGGAAAAACCAAAAGCACGATAAATTTCCCAGCAAAAAAGTCCCTTAGTTATATGTGAAGCTTTCTAACAATAAGCTCAGTTGCCACTGTTACGTGGTAGACGCAACATGCGTTCCAATAATTTCCTCGTTGTATTCATCCTGATGGGAGCAGTCGGAGCTATCCTGGTGAGATTAGCAAAATAATACAGAATCTGCCTGATAATTTTTACCAGGTACTGACGCCAAATGGTCACACCGCCAAAATTAACAGAGCCAAAAGCACACATTTGAGTCCTAATTCAGGTACAGAAACATTTTTATCGCCTTTAATTGAAGAAATTTTAATGAGAAAAATTAAAAATTTAGGAAATAAACGAGGACGACACGGGGACAATAAACAAAGCAACAGGCAAATGATTATAAAATGTTGCGCTGCCTCATCGTGTACTAGAGAAACCAAAACATCCAACAAAACAACTGACAGGATCCAAACAAGGAGTTCCTCTTCGGCTCAAAATGTACTGCGGATTTTAATCATAATATATTTTATTAATTTAAAATGTATTCAGAGTTCTATTTCATCTGTAAGCCCTGATTCTGTGGTGGAGGTCCAAACGGATCCAACAACCGACGCGGAAACTGTTTCGCCAAAGTAGATTTTCCCCAGCATTAACAATGGTTAAAAAAATGAATTTTCCATTAATTAGCAGCGGTGACGAAACCGGAAGCTCGCCGGCGGAGATTTCCCTGCCGGAAGAAACAACGGCACAAGTTGTGAACAATGTCGAGACCTCCACAGAATCTTCCACTGCCATTTTAAGTGGTTCTTCTTCGACTTCAACCTCCAGCATCACGACTCCGGCCACGACCTCAACGACCACGCCCTCAACAACTACATCAACAACAACTACGACGACGACTACAACAACCACAACCACAACTCCCGCCCCTACTCTAGAAGTTTACTTTAATTACAATGTTAATAACAAAAATTAATTTAAAACTTCAGGAACTCATTTTGTCAAAATGTGATTCAACGTTTACAAAAGACGTAGATCAAAATAAGCCTTATTTTTTGAAAAACTGCCAATAATTTCTAAATTCTAGCCCAAAATGTTTGACACAGATGGAACATTAAAAGGTAAAAGAGGGTTCCACATAATGAGATAAAAATCAATAATTTCTTCTTAAAGATCCTGAAAAATACGGATTTTGGGTTCAATCCTGCGGCCAATTATACGTTTTCGGAAAATCTTTGGTAATTTTTCTGGTAATTGAAACTTTTTTAAATTACTTTAAAAACAGATCACGTGGAGGGATAACTTCATGAAATGCATCAAAATCGGAATGAAGCCCATAGAAATTGAAGACGACAAAAAGTTACAATGCTTCAAAAATTTAGGTTTTTTTACGTTAATTTTGTAATTATGAAATATTTGTCGATACTTCATTTTCTAGCTACAACTTGGAAGTACGGTTCAAACTACTGGACTTCCGGTCTGCGCGCAAGCACCTCTGGTTTTTCGTGGTGTTATCAGAACGGCTCGACGCAGCTCGTGACCCAAAACCAAATCTGGGCGCCGAATCAACCGGACAATGTGAACAAGTCGGAGAATTGCATGCACTTGAACATCACGCGTGAAAACAGCACCGTCGTCACAAGCGACAAAAAGTGCACCAATATTTACGTTTTCGCTTGCCAGGTTCGGAAAAAATCAACTTCCGTTGTTTTTCCAATTATTTTGATGAATTTTAAGGGATCCACAACTCCGGCCCCGGCGTGTTCATCGCCCGTGTGCCAAAACGTCACGTGCGAGAAAAACGTGAAATTTGTAGATTTTTTTTCATAAAAAATTTAAAACCATTTTCTTCCAGAATGCGTTTTTCAATAATGTGACTAAAAATAACAAAGTCAGTCAATACCTTGCAAGTAAATTGGGAAGATTTTGTTAATAAACTTTTCAATTCATGAGAATCAACTATTTAGATCCAGCAAAACATGGAAAATGGCATTCGAAAAGCGGAAGATTTTACGTCTTCAGTTACGCCAATCAAACTCAAACTGTATAAAAATCAATTAAAATACTTATATCATAATTTACAAATCATTTAGTACCTTGGAGCCATGCAAGCATGCTGTGAATTTGGAATGTCACTTTTGAGTCTGCAGTTTGACTACAAATACAAAGGAATCATTTCTGGAATAAAAGGTTGAAAATTGTGATCTTCTTTCTAAATTTTTCAGATTTTTTAAGGAAAATATGTTTTAAATTATTATGAAATTTAAAGAAAATATGGCCGAGCCTGGTTATTACTGGACTTCGGGGACGGACATCGGTTGCGAGTCCAATTACGGATACTGCACCGCGAAGCGTATTGTCAGGGAAGAGGCGGTTTGGGAACCTGGACAGCCGGACAACGCGAACGGCCAAGAAAACCATTTGGCCGTTTACATCAATGGAAGTGTGGCCATGCTCGCTGATTTCAACGAAGCGACAAAAATGAGATACATTTGCGAAGTAAAACAAAATTAAATTGCTTTATTTTTTAAACTTTGTTAAACAATGAATTAATGAAGGGTCGCGATAATTCAAAAGCTGAGTCTGGAGGTAAAGGCGTGCGAGACGAGTGTGCAGCAATTTACAATATAAGCTCAGGTGATTGATAAAATTAGAAAATTTAGAAAGATATGGAGAGAAGAAGAGCCTGTTTTATTTTACATTGAAATTATTTAACTTATTAAATTCACATTTTAAGCAATTTTAATTTATAATTATTGAAATTGAATATATTAAATTTAGCCGAAATCGATATGATTATGAACAGGACCGACTACGACCTAAGGACAAAGGTTTTTAAAATTAAATTTTAATTTATTTGTTCATATTTTCATTTTCCCAGTGTTTCTTGAAATGTGTTGGAGAAAACAGTGGATTGGTTTGTAATTCACTTAGTGAAATTAAAATGTAAAATTTTTGGTTTTGCAGATGATTAACGGAAAGTTCATCGAGAATGAGGTGTTGTCGATTTTGGAGAAATTAGCCAAAGGAAACTTGGACGATTTGAAGAAAAATCTACTAGTCGTTGACGACTGCGGAAACGGAACTGGTATTTAAAAAAAAAAATAATGAATCTTTTCGCCGTAAATTAAAACTTTTGGTAGACGGAATGGACGAATGTGACAAGGCATCGCAAATGATCAAGTGCACCAAAGAAAAAGCGCCGGACGTTTTGATGGGAGTGGTTTCGGCGATGGAGCAGTCGATTTCAGCAGAGGAAGCTTCTCAAGTTTGATTTTGTTTTAATTTAAATTTAAAAATATAATGTTAACTTCCAAAGGGCTCAGTCGCTGCTTTGCCTCCAGCAGAACCGAAATGCAATGAACCATTTGAATGCATCGTTGACGTAACTTAATGAATTCTCAAAATATCTTTTTTTTTTTATCAATTTCATTCTTCTAAAGCCGAATTACCAAGCCCTATATAACAGTGCCACTGCGCGTAATTTGCTATAATTTAGCTTCAAAGGTGAAATTTAATTAAAAAATTTCCATAGCGATCGCTGCAAATGAAGGCTTTGTGGAGGTGGCTTGTGGGAAAAAATACGTTTTTTACTCTGGAGCGGTAATCTTTATAAAATGTGAATTATATATTTATATATTTTATTGGATTGAAAATAATTTTCAGTATAACTTCACGGAGGCTAGCAAGTTCTGTTGCAAATATGGACTCAGACTCGCGACCGTTGACTCTGATGCAGAATGGAGTTGCCTGAACACCGAAGGAGGTTGATTTTTGTTCTTTGACATGATTTGATTTATTTTGACCTCGTCTATATTCTAGTTCAAATACACAAATTTTGTACTATTTGGGTCGCAGCCACGAGAGAAGGTGGCACTCCACGCTGGTGCTACTCGTCCACAACAATCCCCCATGGTGGATTCACTTTGGGGCCGGAAGTTAACTCGTTTAATTCGTTGCTCTTGGATTTTCCATCCAAAACTATGAGGCCGTTTGGTCCGGATTCTCAACAACATGTTTTGTGCGAGGCAATTTAATTTGAGCTAAAATAAAAATTGAAATTAATACAACATTATTCAAGACCAATATATTTTTATGTTGAATGAATTTTCTCCCTCTATTATTCAAATGATATCTTCTGTTGTCAATTTAAATATATTTCAGCATAAAAAGATGCATGCTGATTAAATTTGAAAAAAAAATTCAGATCGAAAAATTACCTTTCCATTATATCCTAATTCACGTAAAACAAGGAGACAAATTAATTCTAAGAAATATTAATTATTTAAAGAAGCCAAGGTGACATTTTCCCCACAGAAGATTGGATTAAGGGCACCATTATTTTTTTATAAAATAATCAACAAAGACAAATTCATTCGGAAATGTCCTATGCTTTCAGTTGCAAATTTACAATTGAATCATAAAATTTTTATAAAATTATTGAATTTGTTTCCTGTTTCAAATATTAAATATATTATTCACAAATTTACGTTTGAAACGTGACGCAGCGCTCTGTCATCATTGCCCGGAAACGCTCATCGGCCTGGTTGGGTGTTTTCACATCAATCACATAGAGAACAGCCAGTTTTGTTTTTACATCAGGCGGCAGATATGAAGAGCTATCTTTTATTTTTGTCCATAATACTCGTTTTTTTGTTAATTGAGGTAATGTTTTTTGATCGCTTTCTATCTTCTTGGACTTTTAAAAATTTTAAAATTTATTTATTGCTCAAAATTACATTTTTAATTTTTTCCAGAGTGCAGTTGGAGGCACAAAGCAAATGCCATCAAGAAAAAAATCAGCACTTAAAAACAGTTTTCACCATATAAAAGCAGAAGTTTTTAAATCTTGAATCAAATTTTGCAGCAAAAAAGCAAGGAAGGCGATTCTACATCGTCAAGTGTTGCGGTCACGCGACATGCTTACCTCGGAGCTTAAAACGAACTGTGTCAACCGTATCAAGATTAAGTTCATTTAAAAACAAAACCAGCACATTTTCAGCAGAAAAAACGGAGGAAGCAACGAATCCAACAGAGTAATTAAATTTTGAAATGTAGTTCAATCAAAGTTGCTTAAAAAAATCATATATTTTTGAAAAATAAAAATAATTTGAATCTGCAATTTTTTTGAGCAGAAGTAGCTCTGAAAGTCAGATAGCATCGGAGAACATTGTCACCGATGGCCCTGTGACCGACTCGACCACAAGTGAATTGGAAACATCCAGTGCAAATATTCCTACCGAATCAGGCCCTCTTACATCCGACATTACTACAGAGTTTCATGCATCAACGAGCAGTATAATTGTCACCAGCATGGCCACACTTCCTCCGACAGACATCATTTCTGGTCCATCAACATCCGCCGAATCGACAACAGCATCAACTACAAATAATTCACCGGAATCTAGCTCGACAACAATCAATACTCAATTAGAATCAAGCCCTACCACCACAGTAGGATTAACTACGAGTACTTCTACAGCAACCTCCACGTCCTCCACCAGTACTTCCACAGCAACCACGACCAGTACTACTTCCACAAAAACCTCAACCAGTACTTCCACAAAAACCTCAACAAGTACTCCCAAACCAACTTCAACCAGCACTTCCACAACAGTGACAACGACTACTACAAAGCCTAGAAATGTGATTATACCTTTAACGCATAGATATTATTTTTATATATCTTCTAATTAAATTAGCTACAGTGTGAGGCTTCAAGATGCGCGAATCTCACTTTTAATTCAACAATAACAGTATTTTTGTATTAATATGAAATTTAATCATCTCTTATTCTGTTAATCATATATTAGACTGACGCCGCCCTTCAAATGCGAAAGCAAGGTATTGTAAAGAAATATGTATTTAGATTTTTTTCTATTTTATAATATTTCTTTAGGAAAAGTAATAATAAAGAGCGGAAAAACGTACTTGATGATGCCAAATGCAGAAACTCAAGCACAGGCGGCCAAAAACTGCTTTACTTGCAACATGTCCCTCATCGCCATTCAAAATATTACAAAACTCCCAATTTTCCAGCAAATTATGAACAGTTCTTAATAGAAATATTCAAATTTTCATTTATTAATTAGCAACCCAAATTATAGATTTGAACATTTTAAATATTTGGACCGTGGGATCGAATGAAGGAAACGGCTCTTGCGTGAATTACGATTTGAAATTTGCTTGGTGTCCGACGAACGTGGACATTCCTGTAGCAATTTCGGACAAAGTGAATGGATCCAATTTGGCAGCTTTGGCGCAGAAAGCTTTGGCTTTGGACGGCACGCTTGCTTATTTATTGGCAATCCCTTCTATTACAAAGCTGCCGTATTTGTGCGAACTGAATAATGTAAAATCTTAAAATGAAAATATAATTTATAAATTTTATCAACCACTCTTTCCAGTTGCAAACGGATACATGCTCAGCATTGATTTGCGGAAGAAATGTAAGATCATGACAAATATTAGAGTTAAAAATTTTCCGTATGTCGTTTCAGAATTCGCTATTTGATGCAAATGGAAACTTAAAAGGTCTCATTAAATAAAAATATTGATTCATAATTCTCTACTCAAAATGAACAAAGATGGAGAAAAATCAGGAAAGTGGATCAACGTCTGCAACAAGAATTATCTTTTTTCTAATAAACTTGTAAGCTTCATTAATTTTAAATTATTTATTCATAGATTTTATTTTTTATTATTTTAATAAAGGGAACGTGGCAGCAGAGTTGGGACACGTGTTGTAGCCTCGGCATGCGTCCCGTTTGGTTTCAGGACGCGTCCGACATGGCGTGTCTTACGAACGCGACCAAAAGCAACTGGACGTTGAATTACAATTACTGGACGGCCGGGCGTGCGCAGGGGTCGTGGGGTCAGTGGGCCTTTTGCGCCCCCGGCGGCCCCCTCACCCTGCCCGACTCGCTCTCGTGGGCGGCCGGACAGCCGGACAACGCCAGTCCGGACGAATTGTGTCTGCACATGCAGGTCGGCAAAAATGGAGCCAATCTCACGCTCAACGACCGGAACTGCTCACACAAATATGTCATCGCATGTCAGGTTGGCAAAAGTTTGGTTTTCACCATGTTTTGTGGTTTTCCGTAATTAATAAATGAATAAAAAAGTGATAACGTTGAAACCCGGTTTCAACATTGCATGGTTTAGCGAACAAGGAAAGGAAAACCAATGCCTAGCGAAAATTTAATTTTTTTCTAATTCTTTAGAGTGCGACAAATGTAGCATCACTTTGTGCAAAACCAAGCTGCCCTTCAAATTGCAAGAAAAATGTATTTTTTATATTAATTTAAAAAAAATTACAATTTATTAAATTGTCAGGAATCTCTCTTTACTGGTGATAAATTAAGCAGTGATTGAAAACAAAATAAATAAATAAATTTTGTTTTACAACAATAAATTTTATAGATCTTTTTGAACATGGTCAATGGAACTCTGGATGCGGGAAAGAATATTTGTTTTCAGCGAAACAAGTAAAAAAGAATTTTCAAAATACTTTTTATTCACAATTATTTCATTTAGATGCCTTGGGCAAATGCTTGGACATATTGCTGTTCTATAGGGATGAAGTTGACTTCAATTGAGGCTGTGAACGAGTTGCAGTGTTTGACGAATATGGTAGCAAAATACCCTGCTGCAGGTAATTTGGAAATTATAATTGAATTTTTAGTGTCAGAGGCATTTATCTTTTGATAAAATTCTCTTGCAGCTTATCCAGATCAAACTGGGAGAGACTTCTGGACTTCAGGGAGCAACACAGGCTGCCCAGGCCCGCAATTTTGGTGCTCAGAAAACGACAAAGTGCACGTCGAGGAAATCGCTAATTGGAAAGGCGGAAAATTCCCGACTGGAAGAGCGGAAATGTGCATTTTTTTAAATCTTTCGAACACAACCGTGAGCGATACATATCTGGGCGAAGAAAGCTGCACTGTAGAAAAACCTTTCATTTGCGAAGTAAAAGTTTCATGAATCATTCATACCTCTCTTATTTTTGCAAAACATTTTCAGACTTTCCAAACTGGAAGCAAATCCGTCCAGATTCAAAGGATATGTCAGGAAATTTGGAAAATAACTGACGAAGAGATCGCTTCGTTCATAATGAATATAAAGGCCGACGTCACAAGCCGGAATAGAAATGTGAAAGTAAAATTGAACTACTGGCCAAAAAATGTTTAAATAATTTAATTGCTTTTTATTATTTAGTGCTATATCAGATGTTGTGGGAAGAAAGCCAACTTGGTAATGATTAGACTGATGGTTGAAGTCTGTTTTAAACTCTCCTGAAAGCTTATTTTCTTTGATAATTGAGTGATAAATGCGTGATACGTTGTAGGCTTAACATGAATTTTTATGATTGTGAGATTAAAACTTAATTTAGTTCATATTGTACAATAATTAACCAATGTTTCAAATTAGTTTATGATTTTAAGAAATAAGCGACCATTTTTTTCAATTAAAACAATTTACAATTTAAACATCCTTTATTTTTTTCCTTCAATAGATTATTTAAGACTTATTTTATTTTTAATTTTCCTAGGACTAAACTTTAAATTTTCTCATTTAAAAATTACTTTTTCTCCGGTCTAGTAATGATAATTAAAGAAATTTTCACGTGTTTTTTTTTTTAATATAGATCAAAAGTGGGGGATTGGTGACAGACCAAATTTTGCGCGGCCTCGAAGAATTGACTGCCAACGATTCATCGACAATGCAGGGCGCGTTTGTGAATTTTGACTCTTGCTCCACACTTAGTAATTATCTTTCAGAATCAGTGATTAAATAAATAATGAGCTTTTCAGACAGCAATGACGAATGCGTGACCACGGCCCAAGTTTTCCAGTGTGGAAAAGATAAAATTCCAGAGCTTACAATGGGACTTGTTTCATCAAACCAAGGCGACGCTACCGTATGAAAATCAATATTCAATTATGCACATTTACTCAAAATTTAGTTCCAGGTGACATCGTCCGCCACTGGTGGTGTTGTAACAACGTACCGGGTTTGCCCTCTGTTTCCTTCTTGCACTCCAGACGTAAGTTTTTGAATAAAATGCTATTTTAATTGCTAATTAAAAGTCTGAAAACGCAGGCAGCACAAATAAATCAGCTGAAAACTACTGGTGCATGTAAGAGAAGCTCTGGACTGATAATTTAATTTCTTCAACCTTTTATAAATTAAAATATTTTTGTGCGTAGCTGAGTCAGTTAATACATAATTTTCATTTTAAATTCTTGGTTAAGCAAAGACTAGCTTGATTAAACGTAAAAATAAACGCTATAATTACACATTTTGCTCACATTTAACTACATTTTTTCATCATAATTTCCACAAATTGACGGTATATTTCAAAACTTTATTTATCAAAGGACAATATTGATTAATTAAAACACAAATTGAGAAACTGAAAGTTTACCTGTGCTAAAATCCAAATTATAATTGTTAATTATTAATTCATTGTACCAACAGTGACCTCAGGAGGAAATATACTGACCACGTCAACAGGAAAAAAGTACTTATGGAAGTACATTTATCAGTGGGTTAGTTTTAATAATTAAACAAAAACTATGAACTAAAAAAGTTTTTAAACCCAAGACTGTGGCACAAGCCCAAGCACAGTGTTGTGCAATCGGATCAAATCTTGCTACATTTGAAACATTGGCCGACTTCACCGCGTTTATACAAGCAAAACCCGGTTTGATTCTCTTTTTATTTTAATTTCAATTTCTAACTATTTCAAACAAAAAGATATGACGGACAAAGTGGCTTATATGGGTCCAAGTTTCGACAATGGCGACGGCACGGACAGTTGGTGCTCAACTTACAAGAAACTGCCGGCTGGGATGATCACAGACATTAACTCGTACTATAGAAATACAGCGTATGCTAATCAAATTTACTTTATCAACAACGGACTTTATTTGGCTCCACTTGGATCTGGAACAAATTTTGTCATATGCGGACCTCTGCCTTATTGATTTCAAGTTGATTTATTTAATGTAGCTTTTTAGCGAATCATCTTTATTGAATTTTATTTAAATGGGAATTTCTCAAGATTTGTTCAGAAAAAATGTGACCTTAATTCTTACCAATAACATTAAAATGTTTTCAATAAAAAATTAATCATATGACCTAAACTAATCTATTGCAAAACATTAAAAAAAACTGTATTTCCAAAAATAATTGGTGTTGAGATTGTAAAAAATAATAAAAATGATGCGATTTCTGAAAAACGTCTGAAGAATGTTCAGCTGAATTACAACAATGTCGTGTAATTTTTGAAATAACTATAATTTTTTACTCCATGAGTACCAATATTTTGGTGAATTTCCAAAAATATATAAAAAAAAATTTTCAAGATTAATTCAGATAAATTTTCTTCGATAAGCAAAATTTCTTTAAAGAAAAACATCAATTTTTACATGATTAGATTTAAGGAACAGATATTAACGAGTTATGGGATTTCTTTATGGTCTGGAAATAAATTTTATTTGAAATTCTTAACTTACTTTTTAGAAATGTGTAGCAATAATACTGCTTGTAAATGTACGTTTGAAACGTATGTCATAAATCGTGCAACATATGGCGGGAAGCGCAGATCGGCCTTGTTGGTTGTTTCACATTTAACAGAAAACGCACTATGACAGTTCAATTTTCACACCACTGGCATGAAGTTCTACTTTTTACTTGTGTCTGTATTAGTTGCCTGTTTGTTAATTGAGGTAATTTTTATTACTCTTTTGAATGATTCTTGACGATTTTTTTTCTTCCTGGATTCTTTAATGTCTTTTTTTTTAATTTTATAAATTGTTCTCAGAATGCTGTTGGAAGCCCGAAGAAATTACCGGCGAGACAAAAATCAGCAATTAAAAACAGTTTTCTGCACATGAAAGCAGATATTCTTTAATCTTGACTTAAATTTTCCAGTGAGAAAACAAGGGAGGCGAAGTTACGTTGTCAAGTGTTGCGGTCACTTGAAATGCTCATCTCAGATCTTAAAGCAAACTATGTCAACAATATCCCGAATCAGTTCATTTACAAACAAAACCAGCACCATGTCTAAAGATAAAACACAAGAAGGAACTAAAGCAAGCAAGTAAGCACATCTAAAATTTTGAAATCTCGTTTACTCGTTTTTAATACTGAAAGAAGATTATAAATATTCAGATTTTAATTTGTTTCGAAAAGAAATAGTTGATTTAGTTCCTCTTCATTCTTTCTGATTGAACATTTAACAAAAACTAAAATACCATTCTATCATAGTTGATGAAAATTAATTTTTCTGAACAGTGCAATTATTTTGAATCTGCATTTTTATTGAGCAGAATTACTTTGGAAAGTCTGACAGCATCAGAGAGCATCGTCACTGATGGGCCTGTGACAGACACAACCAATAGTGAAACCCAATCGTCTAGTGAAACTTTTCCCACGGTCGCTGACTCTGGCATCACAACAATAAGCGATGCCACCAGCACGGCGACACTTCCTCAGCAAATCAATTCTGACAATCCATCTACTTCCTCTGTCGATTTGACATCGGCAAAAAATACTGACGCAAAAAACGGAACGCAGAGTTTCAAAATTTCGTCAGAACCTAGCTTGACGACAGTTTATAATCAATTAGGATCAATCACTGATACCACAGTAGGGACTACCAGTACTTCCACAACAATCTCGACGACTACAACAAAACCAAGAAATGTATTCAATTTAAATCTGAACCTTTTCCATTAAGTGATATTTATTATTATAATTATTTTTTTTAAATGTACCAGCTGCAGTGTGAGGCATCAAGATGCGGGAATCTTGATTTTATTCAAACAACTGTATTTATTTCCTATATTTATATTTTTAAATATCACTTATTTTGTTTATCTTCTTAGACTGACGCCGCCCTACAAATGCGAAAGCATGGTATTTTTGGGTGAAAAACATCCTAATTTATGTTCTAATTTTCTAAATTATTTTAAGGAAAAGTTATAATAAAAAGCGGTAAAACATACTTGATGATGCCGAATGCCGAAACTCAAACACAGGCGGCCAAAAACTGCTTTACTTGCAACATGTCGCTCATCGCCATTCAAAATATTACAAAACTCCCAATTTTCCAGCAAATTATTAACAGTTCTTAATATAAATATTCTAATTTTTATATATTAATTAACAACCCAAATTATAGATTTGAACATTTTAAATATTTGGACTTCGGGATCGAATGAAGGAAATGATTCATGCCTGAATTATGATTTGAAATTCGCCTGGTGTCCCAAAAACGTGGACATTGTATCAGTAATTTCAGACAAAATCAACGTATCCAGTGTGGCAGATTTGGCGCAGAAAGCGTTGGCTTTGGACGGTTCTCTTCCTAATTTATTGGCAATCCCTTCTATTACAAAGCTGCCGTATATGTGCGAACTGAATTATGTAAAATATTAGAATTAAAATAGAAATTTATATAAATTGTATCCACTATTTTTTCCAGTTGCAAACGGATACGTGCTCGGCATTGACGTGCGGAAAAAATGTGAGATATCTTCGAAAAAAAAAAGTTTATTAACAAATTTTGCCACCAGAGTTTACTATTTGACGCAAGTGGAAACTTAAAAGGTTGCATTACATAAATAAAAATGAATTTTGTGTAAATTTATTCAGTGTAAATCTCAAATAAAATAAAATTAACAAAAAGATGGAGAAAAATATGGAAAGTGGATCAACGCCTGCAACAAGATTTACCTTTTTTCTAATAAACTTGTAAGTCTTATTACATTTTTTTAAACTGTTTTATATATTTTTTTTATTGAAATAAGGGAACGTGGCAGCAGAGTTGGGACACGTGTTGCAGCCTCGGCATGCGTCCCGTTTGGTTTCAAGACGCGTCCGACATGGCGTGTCTGTCGAACGCGACCAAAAGCAACTGGACGTTGAATTACAATTACTGGACGGCCGGGCATGCGCAGGGGTCGTGGGGTCAGTGGGCCTTTTGCGCCCCCGGCGGCCCCCTCACCCTGCCCGACTCGCTCTCGTGGGCGGCCGGACAGCCGGACAACGCAAGTCCGGACGAATTGTGTCTGCACATGCTGATCTCTAATAACGAGACAAATCTCTCGCTGTCCGACCGGAACTGCTCTCACAAATATGTCATCGCATGTCAGGTTGGCAAAAGTTTGGTTTTCACCATATTGTGTGCTTTTCCGTTTGAATTTGTATTTGGCAAACAAACAAAGAACGTGCCTAAATCATTAAAAAAATAAATCCTTATTTTAAATATTTCAGAGTGCGACGAATCTAGCATCACTTTGTGCAATGCCAAGCTGCCCCTCAAATTGCTCGAAAAATGTAATAAATGTTTATAAAATATGCAAATTATAACTGGAAAATTTATAAGGAAACGCTCTTTACCGGAGATAAATTGAGCAGTGAGGGAATTTAATAAATGAATTTAAATCTATAACCTGATTTATTTTCAAAGATCTCTTTGTACACGGTCAATGGAACTCAGGATGCGGGAAAGAATATTTATTTTCATCAAAACAAGTGAAAAAAGAAACTTATAAAACCATTGAATAATTTTTAATTATTTTAATATTTATACTAGCTGAATTGGGCAGATGCTTGGACATATTGCTGTTCTATCGGGATGAAACTGACCTCAATTGAGGCTGTGAATGAGCTGCAATGTTTGACAAATATGGTTGCAAAATACCCTAAAGCAGGTGAATAAAATTTTTATTTTCCTACTGAATTTGATTTTATTTTGATCATATTTTCCGGTCTTTTAGCTTATCCAGATCAAACTGGGAGGGATTTTTGGACTTCAGGGAGCAACGCAGGTTGCCCAGGTCCGCAATTTTGGTGCTCGGAAAACGACAAGTTAATAAAAGACGAAATCGCCAATTGGAAAGACGGAAAATTCCCGACGGAAAAAGCGGAAATGTGCATCTTCTTAAATCTTTCGAACACAACCGTGAACGAAACGTACTTGGGGGAAGAAAGTTGCACTGTGGAAAAACCTTTTGTTTGCGAAGTAAAAATTGCACGAATTGCCCCTTCTTTTATATTTACTCAAATCCTTTTCAGACGTTCCAAGCTGGAAACAAATCCATTCAAATTCAACGAACGTGTCAGGAAATTTGGAACGTGACTGACCAAGAAGTCGTTTCGATTATAATGAATGCAAAGGCCGACGTCACAAGCCAGAATCGAAACCTGAAAGTAAAATTTTGACTCCTTATGATTGCAAACATGGATTCATTAATTTGATTCATTATTTATAGTGCTATATCAGATGTTGTGGGAAGAAGTCAAACATGGTAAATATTAGTCTATGGACTGATGGAAAAAGATAATTTTTTTCAACACACTTAATTACTTAAAGATTCTTGCGATTGATTGATGGATCTTATAGAATCATGTCATTTTTTATATTCAAAAAATGTGTGACTAGAAACTCGTTTTAAGTTTTTTTAATGATAACTTTAATATTAAAAAAAAAGAGAGAGCTTCAATAGATTCTATTGTGTTTTTCTTATAATATTTATTATTTTAAAGAATTCCCATTAAAGCTGCAAGCATAAATATTAATGATTTAATTTGTAAGCAGAAAATTAAATATTTTCTAATAAAAATTTAAATACTTTACTGCACATTATTGTTTTTTTTTTTTAAATTTTCTTTAAATGTTTAATTTATTTGTAGATTATTATGGAAAACGACACACATTTTAGCCTCAAAAGTCGTATTTTCAGGAAAAAGACTTTTAATTTAGAATTTTTATTACGTGGAATAGATAAAAAGTGGAGGAATGGTTTCGGATCAAATTTTGCGTGGCCTAGAAGATCAGACTGCCAGCGATCCATTGGCAATGCAGGGTGCGTTTGGAACTTTCGACTCCTGTTCCACATTGAGTAGGCATTTTTCACATTATAAGTGGTTGAAAATAATTATTATGAGCTTTTCAGACAACAACGACGAATGCGTGACCACGGCCAAAATTTTCCAGTGTGGAAAAAATAACGCTCCAGAGCTTACGATTGGACTTGTTTCTTTAAACAAAGGCGACGCTGCCGTGCGAAAATCAAACTGAAATTCTGCATATTAACTTTAATTTAATTTTAGGTGGCATCGTCTGCAACTGGAGGTATTGTAACAGCATATCGAGTTTGTGCCCTATTTCCTTCTTGCACACCAGATGTAAGTTCTACACACGAAATTAAAAATTGTAATAATAAAAAAATCTGAAAAAACAGGCAACGCAAATAAATCAACTTAAAACTACCGGTGCATGTAAGAACAGCGAGGGACTGATAATACTTATTTAATTTTTACTCTAAATAATTTAATTTATTCTTCAGTACATGAAAAATTTCATAAAACAAATATTTTAATTCGAATCAAGCCGATTTTTGTTTAGAAGCTAATTTTTTTTAATTATCTTAAGCTCACATTATGATTTATTTTCTAACAATAATAAATTATTTAATTGCAATAATATCCATAAGAAAAGGGTTAATTTAGAAATTTATTATGTTCAGATGATAAAAGTGGTAAAATAAAAACACAAATTGAAAAATTTCAACAATTTTTAAAGAAATAATAAATTATCAACGTCATTTACTTGAAAGATTATCATTCAATTTTTTTTTCGTTTGCACGACCAGTGTCATCAGGAGGAAATATACTAGCCTCATCAACAGGAAAAAAGTACTTATGGAAGTACATTGTTGGATGGGTGAGTTGTTTAATCATTCAGAATAAATTGAGTGAAGAAAATTTAAAATGCTAGACTTTGGCACAAGCCCAAGCACAGTGTTGCGCAATTGGAGCAAATCTTGCAACATTTGAAACATTGGCCGACTTCAACGCGTTTACAAAAATAATTCCAGGTTTTTCTCTTCTTACTTATTTAATTTCTCACTAATTTTATTTTTCATTTTAAAAGCAATGTCGGGCAGCTGGGGTTTTATTGGTCTAACTTTTGACAATGGCGACGGCACGGATAGTTGGTGCTCAACTTTCAAGAAACTGCCGGTTGGGATGATCACGGACATTGATCTTTACTACAGAACCAAAGCGTATCCCAATCAAATTTACTTTACCGAGACCGGCCTCGTTTTATCTGTACCTGGAGTCGGAGCTAATTTCGTCATATGCGGACCTTTGCCTTATTAATGAAGTACGTTTATTCGCCTCAAGAGAATTGGAATAAAATTAAATTCATTGAATTGACTAATTTTTACCAGAAAAATGCAGCCTAATTTATTTTCAATAACATAATTTTTTTAAGTTATCAAGATTTTCTTAACCAAAACTAATTAATTGAAGAATATATTCAAAAATACATGTGTCAACAATGATTGAATTTTGTGATTGGCTTAAAATAAAAAATAAAAAGATGTGAAAAAACATATAAAATTGTAATTGTTAAATTATATGAAATTAACAAATTTCAACCGAAATTTATCATATACTTCAAAACCAGTAAACTTTGTTCAAAAAGGAGCCTTAAAAAGTTTGCCTTAGTAAATTTGTTAAAAATTTCCATATATATTAATTTATTAATAAAATATTATTCTAATAGAAGATTAATTTATACTTTGATTTTTGTATGTATTAATACTGAAAAATGGATTAAATATCAACCAACTTATTTCAATTAGTTGCAAATATGTGGACAAATAAACAACAATAATGTTCAAACAAAAACTACAGCAATAGCATCTCATTTGTAATTAATTTTCATTTTTTTATACTTAATTGCACACAATAAATATACTTTTGAAACACACAGTATATAGTATGACGCAAATTGTACCGGCTTCTTACGCCAGGAAGCGCTCATCGGCCTTGTTGCATGTTTCACATTTATAAACAGTGGTGGACATGAAGTGCTACGTTTTACTTTTGTCCGTATTGGTCGTTTGCTTTTTAATTGAGGTAATAAAATTTTTATTTGTGATTATTTCATGACAAATATTTCTGACATGTTAATTGAATTATTTATTTTGGATTTAAATTTTTTAATCTTTATTTTTTCTCGCAATCAGAATGCAGTTGGAAGCCCCAAAAAACTACCACCAAGTCAAAAATCAGCAATTAAAAAAAGTTTTAATATTTTAAAAAGAGAATATAGCCACAATTCCTTAATCACAACTAATATTTTGCAGCCAAAAAGCAAGGAAGGCGAGACTACGTTGTCAAGTGTTGCGGAAACAAGAAATGCTCATCTCAGATCTTAAAGCGAACTTTGTCAACATTACCAAGAACGAGATCATCTACAAACAAATCCATCTCTGAAGCCAAAACAGAAGAAGGAACAAAACGAATTGAGTAATTTATTTAGTTCTGGAATTTGGAAATGTCCCAAATTTTTTGCAATTATAAAAAATTATAATATTATGAGGATTATTATGGTTAATGATCTTAAATTAATAAGCAGGAGTAGTTCTGAAAGTCAAACGGCATCGGAAAACATCATAACTGATGGTTCTATGACAGAATCAATCAAAAGTGAATCGCAATCGCCCAGTGCAATTTTTCCCACGGTTGCCGCAGAGTATCCTGCAACAATGAACAGTGCAATTGTCGCCAGCATGGCCTCACTTCCTCAGGCAGAGGCCATTTCCGACAGTCTATCAACTTCAACCGAATTGACGTCAGCAACAAATACTTATAATTCGGCGGAACCTAGTTTGAGTAGCGAGACAACAATTAATGCTCCACGATCCATTCCGACAAACACAACAACCTCGACTGCTAATACAAAACCAAGAAATGTGTTAAAATTAAAATTTAAAACTTGTTAAATAACAGTCTTTTTTTCATTATTTCCGAATTAGCTGCAGTGTGAGGCATCCAGATGCGAGAAACTGACTTTTGGTCAAACAACAGTATTTTTAAATACAAAATTTCAAATATACATAACTAATCTTCTAACTTAGAGTAATGCCACAATTCAAACAAGAAATAAAGGTAACATCGAATGAAAAAATTATATAACATTTTTTTTCTATTATATTTCACTCAAGGAAAGGTTATTGTAAAAAGCGGCAGAACCTACTTAATGATGCCCAATGTCGAAAGTCAAGCACAGGCGGCCAAAAACTGTTATTCCTTCAACATGACTCTTGTGGCCATTCAGGAAATTACAAAAATTCAAATAGTGCAGCAAATTATGAAAAGTTTTTAATAATAAATAATTTTTTTTTTAATTTTTATCTAATTATTTAATTTCAGATCTGGATATTTCAATTATTTGGACTGGGGGATCAAATGAAGGAAACGATTCTTGCTTGAATTATGATTTGAAATTTTCTTGGTGTCCGACAAACGTGGACATTGCATCAGTAATTTCAGATAAAGTCAATGGATCCAGTGTGTCAGATTTGGCGCAGAAAGCTTTAGCTTTGGACGGCACGCTTGCTTATTTTCTAGCAATCCCTTCAATTACAAAATTACCATATTTGTGCGAGCTGATTTATGTAAAGTCTTACAATAATGAAATAATTCGAAAATGTTTTTCTAATATTCTTTCCAGTTAAAAATGGAGACCAAAGATACATGCTCAGCATTAACGAGCGGTAAAAATGTAAGATCATTTATTAAAATAGGAATAAATTTATTCAAATATTTAATCATTAGACTTCACTTTTTGATGCAAATGGGAGTTTACGAGGTTGAGTTTAATAAAAGATTGTGTAAAAATATCATTTTCAATTAAAATAAACAAAGATAGTGAAAAATACGGAAAGTGGATCAACGTCTGCAATAAGATTTACCTTTTTTCTAATAAACTTGTAAGTCTCACTAACTTAAAATTTTTTTATTCATAGTTTTATTTTTTTACTTTTTTTAATAAAGGGAACGTGGCAGCAGAGTTGGGACACGTGTTGTAGCCTCGGCATGCGTCCCGTTTGGTTTCAAGACGCGTCCGACATGGCGTGTCTGTCGAACGCGACCAAAAGCAACTGGACGTTGAATTACAATTACTGGACGGCCGGGCATGCGCAGGGGTCGTGGGGTCAGTGGGCCTTTTGCGCCCCCGGCGGCCCCCTCACCCTGCCCGACTTGCTCTCGTGGGCGGCCGGACAGCCGGACAATGCCAGTCCGGACGAATTGTGTCTGCACATGCAGGTCGGCAAAAATGGAACCAATCTCACGCTCAGCGACCGGAACTGCTCACACAAATATGTCATCGCATGTCAGGTTGGAAAAATTTATAATATTCCTTATCAAACTTCATAAAAATAAATTTTAGAGCGCAACAAATATAGCAAAACTTTGTAGTAAACCGAATTGCCCTTCAAATTGTGAGAAAAATGTAAAAATGAATAAAACTAAAAATCAAAGCTAGACTATTAATTACGATTTAAAAAAATAGCAAACGCTCTTCAATGGTAGTGTTTTGACCGGTGAGAATTCCTGTTAACAACGAAAATAAATTTATTTATTTTAATATTCAAATTTAAAATAAGATCTCTTCGTTCACGGTCAATGGAATTCTAGATGTGGGAAGGAATACTTGTTTTCGTCAAAATCCGTGAGCGAAACTTAATTAAAGATTTATAATTTTTAGATAAATTTTCCATAAAAGATGACATGGGAAAATGCTTGGTCATATTGCTGTGCTATTGGGATGAAACTGACCTCAATTGAGACTGTGAATGAGTTGCAGTGTTTGACAGAAATGGTTGCAAAATATCCTGCAGCAGGTACTTCTCAATATTGGTACATTAAAGTATGATTAAACCAAATTAAACCATGAGAAATTTGAAAATAATTGCTTATTGTTAGTAAAAAAATTGTTAAAAATTCAGTGTTTGAAGCTTTTCATAGTTTTTGACGTAGAAAGCCCAGAGTTGGGTTAGACAGTTTTTGAGTAATTTGAAAAAAAATTTCCTACAAAAAAAAACATTATTTTAAGCACTTAATTTACATTTAGTTAGATGAATAATAATTAGCACGATTACACAAAAAGAGACGCACTTTTTAAAGCTACAAAAAATTCAAATGAATTTTGTACCAGTTTTGCGATTCTATAATGTTTAATGCCAAATTAAAATTAAACATTAAGCTGTATATTATTTAATTTTTAATTTTCATTTAGACTAGAGTTTTTTACATATTTATTTTGCAGTCTTCACATAGCATCCGGGAACGTATTGAAACAATTTAATATTCCCCACTTCAAAAGATTTGCTCAGAATCCTATTGCAAAACATTTCCGAACACGATCAAGTGATTTCCTTTGACCTATCAATCTGGCTTTTCAGTTTACCCATATACAACTGGGAAAGACTTTTGGACTTCAGGGACTAACACAGGTTGCCCAGGTCCACAGTTTTGGTGCTCGGAAAACGACAAGATCCTAAAAGAGGAGATTGTCAATTGGAAGGACGGAAAATTTCCAACGGAAAAAGCGGAAATGTGCATTTTCATAAATCTTTCGAACACAACCGTGAATGAAACGTATCTTGGAGAAGAAAGCTGCTCCCAAGAAAAACCATTCATTTGTGAAGTAAAAATTTGCATGGATCTATTCTTTTATTCAAAATTCTTTCAGACTTTCAAAGCTGGTAACAAATCCATGCAAATTCATCGTTCCTGTGAAGAAATTTGGAACGTGACAAAGCAAGAGGTCGACTTGATCGTGATGAATGCGACAGTCGACGTAACAAGCCGGAATAGAAACCTGAAAGTACAGTTTCAACAAGTGGAATACATTTTTTAATAACATTTATATTCCAAAACCAGTGCTATATCAGATGTTGCGGGAAAAAAGGAAACATTGTATAGTATTCCTTAATCTTTACGCGTTCAAACTTCAATATGTAATGATGTAATAGATAAAAAATGGAGTAATGGCCTCGGATCAAATTTTACGTGGCCTCGAAGAACTCACTGCTGACGATCCGCCAGCAATGCAGGGCGCATTTAGCACTTTTGAATCCTGTTCCACCTTCAGTATGTATATCTTTCAGAATATGATTTACGACTTCTTAGTCAAATCAAGTTTTTACAATAATATGTTGTTTAAAATTTTCAGTTGTCTTCTAACAATCGCAAAAATTAACTTAAATTGTTGCATAAAGACTTGATTTGAGTTTTTCAAATGGGTCCTTAAATATTGGGCTTTCAGGCAGCAACGACGAATGCGTGACCATGGCCGAAATTTTCCAATGTGGAAAAAATAAAGCTCCAGAACTTACGAGTGGACTTGTTTCTTTAAACAAAGGCGACGCTACCGTTCGAAAATCAAATGAAATTCTGAAGATTGACTAAAATAATATTTTCAGATTATGTCGTCCCCCACTGGAGGTATTTTCACACCATACCGAGTTTGCCTTCCGTTTCCTTCTTGCTTGCCCAATGTTTGTTTAAAAAAAATATAATTTATAATCCTAATTGGAAAATTTGAAAATGCAGGCATCACAAATAGATGAGCTGAAAACCACTGGTGCATGTAAGAGACGTGACCTTATAAATCGAGCATATAATTTATTTTTTATTTGTCCACTGTTTGAACCAAATATAGAGGTTCAGAAAAATTTTATCGAGTGCAATATGTATTATGCATAGCAATTATATTTTATTATAAGGAAGTTCTGAGGTATTCTTAAATATATTACCTCTTGAAAATAATTTAATCGGTCCAGAAATACAAAGACTATAATGTTTCTTTTCGTTTGCTGCACCAGTGTCATCAGGAGGAAACATACTGACCACATCAACAGGAAAAAGGTACTTATGGAAGCCAATAATGGGATGGGTGAGTTTAAATAATTCAGAATAAAACATTAGTTATAAAATTTTTAAATAAAGACTGTCGCACAAGCCCACGCACAGTGTTGTGCAATTGGATCGGATCTTGCAATTTTTGAAACATTGGCAGACTTCAACGCGTTTGTGCAAATATTACCTGGTTTGCTTTTCACTTATTAATATAATGAATTTTAACTCCTCACTATTGAATAAAAAAGTAATGACGGGCAAGTGGGCTTTCATTGGTTCAACTTTTGACAACGGCGACGGCACAGACAGTTGGTGCTCAACGTACAAAAAACTTCCAGTTGGGCTGATTACAGACATTGGCATGTACTACAGAACCAAAGCGTTTTCCAATCAAATTTACTTATTCCAGACTGGCCTCACTTTGTCTCCCATCGGAAGATTAACAATAAATTTTGCCGCATGCGGACCTCTACCTTATTGATTTGCACTTGATTCTGATAACAATGTTTTGAGCCGATAAATCTAAGTTAAATCGTTAAATGTAGTACATTATACACGGACTTTGATCATTCAAAATTATCAATGTTAAAATTAGAATAGAAAAATATAAGAACATGTTGAAAAGTTTGATCCAATAAAATTTGAGTCTTTCAGAATAAAAATTAACCAACTTTATTTTGATGAACCATCTGAGGTATAATGCTGTAAGCAGGCTGAATAAAATAGAATTTGGTGAATTCCTCTTACAGAATTTGAGGTTTGCGGAAAAATTTTAAATACAAAATATTATATAATATATTTCTGCTCTTGGTTCCCCAACACACCGCCATTGTAATGGAAAAGTGCGCTTTATTTATAATCAGCATTGCTTTGCTCCTCTGAAGCCAAACACTGATTTTGTATATTTATTATACGCTATTTATTTATTTATAGCTGTGCATTCGTGTTGCGTTGATCGTGAACATTTGAGTTCCCCTGCTCGTACAGAGAGGCTACATATGGGTTGACATACTGACTTTTATTGATATAGCACGAGCATTGCATGGAATTCGCACAAACGAAGTTATAGTGGAAAAGGATCGTCACAATTTGTCTGAAAACCAGAAAATAAAATTGCTGAAAATTAAACTACAAAAACGATCAAAATTTGTTTTCAAAGCTACATAATATGCTTCTTAAGACAAATATAATAAAGTTCATTGTCAGTTTACTTTTTTTTTTTTGCGTTGCATCGTTGCATGTACCATGAATAATAGTAAAAATTTACTTCCCATGGAGCATAAATAAATTAAGTTAATAAGGTCTCAGGTCTTATGAATAATTAAATGGAGAAAAGCCACATCTTTTTGCCGTATTTGGAAAATACCTCACCTATTTTTCACGGGATTTAAGAGAACAGATAAATCATAAGTTTGATAACTTTTTTTACTAATAAAGGTAATAAAGCATAAAACTCATCAAAATTTATTAATTTACTTATTTGTATAATTTAATTAATTCATTCGTGTGTTTGGATGTTCCCGACAAGATCTTTTCATGCAAATTCCAATTTGAGTTTTCATATTTTGTAATTTTTTGGGGGGGAAAATGGGACCCCGGTAAATTTCAACACAAACTTTTAATTGCGCAGCAACCTTCATGCGCTGTTTCCCTTTGGTGGGGAGTATGCACATATTATACATTAGTGGGGAGTATCGTCATACATTTAATGTTTCCACAATAGGAAATGAATTGAATAAAACCTATCCTCAAAAAGTCAGACATATTGAAAACCCAGTTAACAAATATGAATTGGTACTGCATGTTGCTATCAACGTTTTTGGTTACATTAATTGTTGAGGTTTTGTGAATTTTTCTATTATTTTTCTTATTACTTATAATTATTTATTTATTTAATATATAATTTTTTATTAATAAACTATCATTATTGATTTTCCGAAATTATACTAAATTCGCATTCAACAGGATAGTTTTGGAAAGCAGAAAGAAGCAATTGTTGAACGTAAAGCGAAATCACAAAAACACAGTATTAATTTAGAAAGCAGGGAGTAAAAATTAACTAAAAACAAAACGAAAAATTTCAGGTAGAACAATTATCATCAAATGTTGCGGTTTCGTAAAATGCTTAGATCACATATCAACGCGTAGGGCATCAACCTTGTCAAAGATGACTTCATCCACAAAAAGAAACAGCTCTTTAAATACCGTTACAGTTCACCCTACAACCACACCTACAGAGTAAATTAAATCAATATACTTCTCAGCCCAATTGTTCAATTTTTTAATGAAGTTCACTTAAAAAACCAAGAAGTTTCTATAATAAAAATTTCGAAACGTTATATTTTTCAATAAAATTGTCCGCAAAATATTCACTTGCTAAAAAGTTAGCTTCTGGTAATGGCTGTTCCTAAAAACTTCAGTAAACCTTTAATTTAGATTTTTTTTCTTTCTTTAACAAAATCAGTTTTCATCAACAAGGTTTTTGTTAAATTTAAGCGCAGAAATTGGAGCTGTAAATAATGTCACTGATGTCCCTGTGGACAATTTCATCCCAACTTCTGTGCAACTAAAGTCAGAAGAAACGTCATCCAAGAGCGTAATGGAATCATCAAGCGCAATATTTTCCACTGAAAGCACGGGCCTTGCCGTAACCAACAGCTCCCCGGATACAGAAATCACCACTTCCAGCGACATTTTCAATACCACGGAAACTCATCCTCCAATTGCGCAAATTACAGACCAAAACAAATTATTAACTGAAACTTTGCAACCCTCAACAACAGCAGATCAAAATAGTAAGAAAAACGCATCAGAAACTTCTATAAATTCGTCAGATATTGGATCAACAACAATGTCTGATCACACGTCAAGCCCTTCAATTACTTTAAGAGTTACCAAAAAAGCTGCAACGACCTCTACAGATTCGAAAAATGTATTATTTGAATTATTCAAAATAACATCGTAATTTACCAACAAGATTGACCATTTTAAATTAGGCATGTGAAGCATCAAGATGTGAACAGCTTAATTTCAACATAAGCACAGTATAAAAATATTTTAAATTCGTGGAAATTACGCTAATTCAAACTTTTCAGAATAACGCCCTTCAAGTTCAAAGTAAAGGTATCGTTATAAGAAAAATAAAAATTTATTAAATAAAACGCGAGCAATAGGGAAAGTTATAGTGAGAAGCGGAAAAACGTATTTGATGATGTCAAGTAATGAGTCTCAAGCTCAAGCTGCCAGTAACTGCTATTCTGGGAATATGTCTCTTGTAGCCATTCAAGAACTGCAAAAAATTACATTTATCCAGCAAATGTTGAAAGGTTTTTTTACAAAAGAAATAAAAAACAAACTTATAAAAAAATTTAGATCTCAACATTTCACAAATTTGGACCGTCGGTTCCAACGAAGGAAACGATTCATGCCTGAACTATGATTTGAAATTTGCTTGGTGTCCGACGAATGTGGACATTCCTGCTGTAATTTTGGATAAAGTCAATGGCTCAAGTTTGGCTGATTTGGCGCAGAAAGCTTTGGCTTTGGTTTCTGATGGCTCAGTTGCTAATTTACTTGCAATTCCTTCTATCACAAAACTGCCTTATTTGTGTGAACTAAATTATGTAATATTAAATTTTAAATGATTTCTTGAATTGGCTATATTAATGTATCATATTTCAGATAAAAATAGTATCTCGAGATACATGCTCACCATTGGCTACTTTGAAAAATGTAGGTTTTGTAATGGTCTAATTTCAAGTTATAGTTTCAACTTACTTAAAATGCATTCAGACTTCACTTTTTGACGAGAATGGAAAATTGAAAGGTAACTTTTGATTGATTTTGTTGTTGTCACAATTCATCAATGATGTGTGCTGCAATAAAATTCTTGCTAAATAATACAGTAGTTCCAAGTGTGCTTCAGCTTGATATGATCCATTAATTGTTTTCTTAACTCTAACCAATTGAATTAAAATGTTGGAAAAGAAATCTAAAAAAATCTAAAAGAAAATTAATTTGAAGATGGAGAAAGATACGGAAATTGGATGACAATTTGCAACAAACGTTACCTTTTTTCTAATAAACTTGTAAGTATCGTTAATTTTTAAATTTTTTATTCACGATTTTGATTTTTTTATTTTTAAATAAAGGGAACTTGGCAGCAGAATTGGGATACATGTTGCAGCCTCGGCATGCGTCCCGTTTGGTTTCAGGACGCGTCCGACATGGCATGTCTGTCGAACGCGACCAAAAGCAACTGGACGTTGAATTACAATTACTGGACGGCCGGGCGGGCGCAGGGGTCGTGGGGTCAGTGGGCCTTTTGCGCCCCCCACGGTCCCCTCACCCTGCCCGACTCGCTCTCGTGGGCGGCCGGACAGCCGGACAACGCCAGTCCGGACGAATTGTGTCTGCACATGCTGTTCGGCAAAAATGGAGCCAATCTCACGCTGTCCGACCGGAACTGCTCTCACAAATATGTCATCGCATGTCAGGTTGACAAAATTCAATTTATATAATACATCTTGGACGGCACCAGTTTTTATAAAATTTATAAATTTATTTTCAAAAAATTTAATAGAATTTCAATAACTTGAAAAGCTAAATTCTAGGGTATAACGAATCTAAGAACACTTTGCAATAAGCCAAGTTGCCCTTCAACGTGTGAGAAAAACGTAATTGAATACAAATAATACAAAGCAAATCTATTAATTCAGGCAATCAATTAAAAATTAACAGAAAAAGCTTTTCTCTGATAACATTTTGACTGGTGAGAATTAACGACGACTGTAAAACAAATTGATTCTTTGTGATTGTAATGTTTAATTAAAAAAAGATCTCTTTGTTCACGGTCAATGGAACACTGGATGTGGGAAGGAATATTTGTTTTCGTCAAAATCCGTGCGAAACATTTAATTAAAAAATATAATTCTAGATCAATTTTCCAACAGATGATTTGGGCAGAAGCTTGGTCATATTGTTGTTCAGTTGGAATGAAATTGGTTTCAATTGAAGCATTGAATGAGTTGCAGTGTATGACAAATATGGTGGCAAAATACCCTGCAGCAGGTATTTCTTTTGCAATTTTGTGTATATTTTCTTTATTTTAAAACTAAATGCATATTTTTTTTTACAATTTTTCACTCTTGTCCTTAAGTATATCCATATCAAACTGGGAGAGACTTTTGGACTTCAGGGACTAACACGGGCTGCCCAGGTCCGCACTTTTGGTGTTCGGAAAACGACAAATTGCTAAAAGAGGAAATCGTCAATTGGAAAGACGGAAAATTACCAACAGAAAGTGCAGAAATGTGCATTTTCTTAAATCTTTCAAACAAAACCGTAAGCGGAACGTATCTGGGTGAAGAAAGCTGCAACGTGGAAAAACCTTTCATTTGCGAAGTAAATTCTTTAACATGAATAAAAATTTTGTAAATATTTTTTACAGACTTTACCAGCTGCAACTAAATCCCTGCAAATCAAGAACACGTGTCAACAAATTTGGAAAGTGACGGATCTGGAAATCCAAATGTACATAATGAATAAAGCAGGGGACGTTAGGACTCGCCCTAGAAATTTGAAAGTATTAATAAAAAAAATATAAGAACATGCATAAATTAATACTTTTCTACAGTGTTACATCAGGTGTTGCGGGAAAAAAGGAGAAATGGTACTGTACAAAATATATTATACAAATATTTCATAATCGCTAATGAAAAAATATTTCACTCTGCCAATTGTAATAACCTCACAAATTAAAAATTTTAATTTGATTAGATACAACATGGAAGCATAGTATCAGATCAAATTTTGCGAGGACTAGAAGAACTTTCTGCCAGCAATGAGTCCGAAATGCAGAGTGCTTTTGTAGGCTTTGACTCCTGCTCTACGATTAGTACAAAAATACTTATTATTTTAATCATTTAAATGAATTAATTTGATCAACAGAGAGAAATGACGAATGCGTGACCATGGCTGAAATTTTCCAATGTGGAAAAAATACTTCACCAAATCTTACTCTTGGACTTGTTACTTTAAACGAAGGCAGTGCAACCGTACATGGAATTTTAACTTTTATATGTTATATTTAATGAAACTTTCTCGCATCTCAGGTGATTAAATCCGCCACTGGTGGCATCAACACACAATTACGTGTGTGCCCCAAATTTTCGTCTTGTGTACCAAACGTAACTCAAATCCAGGAGCTGAACACAACTGGCAAATGTAAGATTTGCTTTTAAATTTGATATATATTTTTCAGGATTTTTTTTTTTATTAATTTCATCAAAAATAACATTTGTGAACATGGATGAAAACTAATAGCAGCCATACTAAAATCAAATTTATCTGTTTCTCTAAATTTTTTGTTCGTCAATCAGTGCCGACAGGAGGAGTGCTGATTACCTCTTCGACAGGCAAAAAGTACTATGTGGTGTACGTGCCTGTAATGGTGAGTTTTAATAATGCCGAGTTCGCATTGCTGGTGAGATGCGACTAAAATTGTGCCCATCAGATTTCTATTGGGAAATAAAATTTTTGTAGCAATTTTGAAAATTAACATTGTTAATATCGAAACAGCTAATAAAAAGTTACTTTTCCTAGTAAAACATTGTCAATGAAGAGCGCACCTTACGCCACACAATGATAATAAAAACACAAAGTGCAGAGAATTTAAAAATACCACTCGGATTCCTCTGCACCCCTTATTTTTTTCCATAATTTAAATAGCATATTATGGAAAAATGATTATAATATCTGAGAATATGATGCACATACGTTTTTTGTAAAATAAAAAATTATATGATAAAAGGTTTATTTTTACAGACTTGGGCTCAATCCCAAACATTGTGTTGTGAGCTTGGAGGCAACCTTGCAATTTTCGAAACATTGGCTGACTTCAACGCGTTTATGAAAATTCTACCTGGTTCTATTCTCTTATTGATAATTTCAAAATTGAATCACAACTTATTTTTTTATTTTAAAGCGTTGACGGGAAAGTGGGCTTACATTGGACCAACTTTTGACAATGGCGATGGCACCGACAGTTGGTGCTCAACTTTCAAGAGACTACCGGATGGGGTGATCGCAAACACTAGCCTGTTCTACAGAAACCAAAAAGTTGCTAATCAAATTTACCTTGATAATAACAAGGCCATCATTAATGGCGTTATAAACGCAAATTTTGTTTTATGCGGACCTTTGCCTTATTAAATCATTGGAATTTTTCAAGTTCATTGAGGAAACTTAAGTTTTAATTCATTCCAATTACCCATTATTTATCAGAATGTTTTGTATTTTGTGCAATTTCAGCTACTTTGATGTTAAGCTCTGAATTATCCAATTTTAACAGAAAAAAATAAATCATATAATATTTACAAATCAAGTTGTTTATGTACAGTCACAATACTAAAATATATATGTCGCGTGTTAGACACAATATTTACAACACCAAATTGCGGAAATTTTATATTGTTTTGAAAAAACTTAAAAACTCCACTCCAGAAATGATTTCGCTTTAATGCCATTCTAAAATTATGTTTTGCATTGCATCTTACAAACGAACTCCACAGTTAGAGGTTATTTCATGACAAAATGATGAGAGAAAATAAACGGTCGCACCCTTTACCCCTTTGTTGCGAAACTTGCAAATAACTTTCAAGTCTCTACCCTTTTAACTTAAAATTGAACCTATACATTGGAAATACAGAATATTTAAAATTTCTAAAGATAATACATAATAATATGTTGTGATTGCCTAAAATAATTCCATAACGCACTTATGCTATCTAATTAGCATAATATATCGAACCGCCCGTGATGTCCTTATCCCCTTGCTTGGCGCTATGGAATTATTGCAAGGTCGATTTTTGTTTATTACGACATAACGAGCATTGTTTTGCTCGCAGTTAGAACAATTACTTATTTATTTTTAAATAAAAAGTAATCCAATTACTAAAACCTTATGCTTATTAAACATTTTAATTATTCTTTGTAGTAACGAACAGATTTAATATCATTTTTAAAGTTTATTTTTGTTATATTTCCTATTTCTAGAGGTGAAAAAATATTATTATTTATCGTTATAGTTAATAATATTAATAATTATTAGTTATAATTAATTTTATCCATTGAACATTTTATCATGAACCTGCTGTTGCTTAGAGGCTACTCATAGGTTGGAAAACACAGTTTCAGCATGAATTCCATGAAATTTACCATATATATTGATGCAAAGTGGAAAAAATGGCCATGACTCGTCTGATAATCAGAATATTCCAAAAAATTGAAACTTTAAAAAACTCTAACGTTCAAGTTGTCCTCCTTATTACCAAATAATAAATGTTTTGTCAGAAAAATGATTTCCTCTGAATATTAAAAAGTTACTTCTAATCATAAATAGTTAAAAATTAGACCAACAAGGTCAAGAATTATTATAAATTATTATAAAGATAGTCTTTTTAGCTGTAATTGGAACAAATCAAAACGGCACTGAACCATAATTTGTATACTTGCTAAAAATATCTGGAGGATTTTTATGGAATTGATAACATTTATAAGCTCAGTAATTAAAAAAAAAAAATTGTAAATTTAATTCACAGGGCCTCTAAAAATTGTTTATGAACATTTAATTTTCAGGGAAAATTTTGGCCTCGGAAAATTATTCAACACAAACTTAATTGTGCAGCGACCTTCGTGCTGTTGGTGGGGAGCTTGCCATGCATGTTATACGTTAGTGGGGAGCTAATTAATTTTTTATATTTCCATATAAGAGAATGCAACTAAAAAATCGATCCTCACACAAAGTCAGATATATTGTAAACCCAGTTTAGTGGCTTTGACAGTTATGGATTGGTACTGCTTGGTGCTATCAACTTTATTAGTTACAGCAATAGTTGAGGTACTGCAGATTTTTCGATTCGTTATATGAAAATTTTCAAAACTATTCAATTAATAAACAGGCGAGTAAAGGAAAGCGAAAACAAACACTAATAGGTGAACAAAAAGCGAAATCACTAAAAAACAGTAATAAATTAGTAACCAGGAAAAAAATTTATAAACGAAGAAAATTTCCAGGTAGAAGAATTTATGTTATCAAATGCTGCGGTTTCAAGAAATGCTCAAATCATATTTCAACGCTCAGGGCGTCAACCTTATCAAAGATTAGCGCATCATCACAAGGAAACAGCTCTATAAGTGTTGTTTCGTTTAACCCTGCAGCCACACCAGCAGAGTAAAAATCAAATTATTATAAATTATACTCCACATCCGTAAATATTTTAATAAAGTTAAATAATTCAAAAAAACACCTATTTGTAATGAAAATTTAAAAAAAAAACTTTGTCTATTAATCTTGAATACTTTTGAGAGATATTTTCATTTGCAAAATCTGAGCGCTTTCATAAGTCAACCTTAATTTAATTTTTTTTCTTTTAACGTTATTTTGTGTAATGGCTATTGTATATAATAAATCTGACAAGATCAATTTCTTTCAACGATTTTAAGCTCAGATAATCAAATTGGAAACGAAAACAATGCCACTGATGTCCCCGTTGACAATCTAATCTCAACTTCGGAGCAACAAACGTCATCAGGATCGGAATTTCTGACCGCCATTTTTTTCACCGAAACCAAGCTGGGCACTTCTCCGGATGGAATCATAACTAACAGCGACTTTTTCACTAGCACGGAAAAACATCCTGCAATTCTGCAAATTACAGACCAAAGCCAATTATTAACTGAAACTTCCCAACCCATGCCAGCAGCAGAGCAAAACAATAATGGAAAAAACGCAACGGAAATTTTAATAAATTCGTCGAATTCTGGATTGACGACAATTTCTGAACAAGTGACAATAACTAAACTTGGGGCTGCAACAAATGCTGCGACGACTACAACAACTGTGAAGACCACAACAACCCCAACAAAGCCAAAAAATGTAAAGGAATTGAAAAAAAAATGAAAGATGTTATTACGGCTTTGACCATTTTTAACATAGGCATGTGAAGCATCAAGATGCGAAAAACTGAAGTTCAATATAAGCACAGTATTTTAACGATTGTTTACAATTTATATTATAAACAAATGCTAATTTAAAACTTTTCAGAATAACGCCCTCCAAATTCGTAGTATAGGTATTTTGTAAATTTAAAAAAAAAATGCATAAAATCAAAGACAAAAAATAGGAAAAGCTATGGTGAAAGGTGGAAAAACTTATTTGCTGATGCCAAATGGCGAGTCTCAAGTTCAAGCTGTCAACAATTGCTATTCTGCAGACATGTCTCTTGTGGCCATTCAGGATCTTTCAAAACTTTCGCTCATCCAGCAAATGATGAAAGGTTTTATTTTATTAAAAAGTATACCTACTTACACACAAAAATTTAGATTTCAATGTTTCAAAACTCTGGAGCGTGGGTTCAAACGAAGGAAACGGCTCTTGCCTGAATTATGATTTAAAATTTGCTTGGTGTCCGAAGAACGTGGACATTCCTGTAGCAATTTCGGATAAAGTCAATGGATCCAGTTTGACAGCTTTGGCGCAAAAAGCTTTATCTGTGATTTCCGACGGCTCAGTTGCTAGTTTCCTTGCAATTCCTTCGATAACAAAACTGCCGTATTTGTGCGAGCTAAATTTTGTAATATTATCAGCGCTAATCACCATCATAAGGCTAAATCTATTTAATTACAGCTTAAAATTACATCTCAAGATACGTGCTCAACATTGGCTAGTGCCAAAAATGTAGGTTTTGAAAAATGTATTCGACGAAATTTGAAATTACTTTCTGCTCCCTTCAGAATTCACTGTTTGATGCGAGTGGAAAATTGAAAGGTATAATAAAAGTAATTGTAAACAATGAATGAATTAATTAATTATATCATCAAGACGGAGAAAAATACGGAAAGTGGATCAACGTCTGCAACAAGATTTACCTTTTTTCTAATAAACTTGTGAGTCTCATTAATTTCAATTTTTTATTCAAAGTTTAATTTTTTTTAAAGGGAACGTGGCAGCAGAGTTGGGACACGTGTATCAGCCTCGGCATGCGTCCCGTTTGGTTCCAGGACGCGTCCGACATGGCGTGTCTGTCGAACGCGACCAAAAGTAACTGGACGTTGAATTACAATTACTGGACAGCCGGACGTGCGCAGGGGTCGTGGGGTCAGTGGGCCTTTTGCGCCCCCAGCGGTCCCTTCACCCTGCCCGACTCGCTCTCGTGGGCGGCCGGACAGCCAGACAACGCAAGTCCGGACGAATTGTGTCTGCACATGCTGATCTCCAATAACGAGACAAATCTCTCGCTGTCCGACCGGAACTGCTCTCACAAATATGTCATCGCATGTCAGGTTGTGTCAAAATACACTTTTTACTGTCCTCGATCGCACCAGTTCTTTCATTAATTATATAATAATAAATTTGTATTGAGGAGTTAAAAAAAAAAAATTTAAAATTTCAGAGTGCAGAAAATCTTGCAACACTTGGCAATAAACCGAATTGCCCCTCTAAATGTGTGAGAAATGTAAAGAATACAATTGAAAATCGAAAAAAATTTAACTAACAATAAGGAATTACAAATAAAAATAGCAAACGCTCTTCAATGGTAGTGTTTTGACCGGTAAGAATTCCTGTTGACAACAAAAAGATTTGTTCAAATTTAAAAAAAAAGATCTCTTCGTTCACGGTCAGTGGAACTCTGGATGTGGCAAAGAATATCTGTTTTCCTCCAAATCCGTGAGAAGAAATTAATTTATTAAAGATTTAATTTCTATATCAATTTTCCAACAGATGATTTGGGCAGACGCTTGGTCATATTGCTGCTCAGTTGGAATGAAATTAGCCTCGATTGAAGCTTTGAATGAGTTGCAGTGTTTGACAAATATGGTGGCAAAATTCCCTGCAGCAGGTATTTATTAAAGCAATTTTATTTAATTAATTGTCATTTTTTTTTCAATCCTCTGCGATCAAGTGTATCCATATCAAACTGGAAGAGACTTTTGGACTTCAGGGACTAACACAGGTTGCCCAGGTCCGCACTTTTGGTGCTCGGAAAATGACAAAGTGCACGTCGAGGAAATCGCCAATTGGAAAGACGGAAAATTTCCAACGGAAAAAGCGGAAATGTGCATTTTCTTAAATCTTTCGAACAAAACCGTAAGCGGAACGTATCTGGGCGAAGAGAGCTGCGCTGTAGAAAAACCTTTCATTTGCGAAGTAAATTACTTTCAAGGAAGTTTTTAATCTCATAATACTGATTAACATAATTTTAAGACTCTGCCGTCTGCAAATAAATCATATCAAATCAAAAACACGTGTCAGCAAGTTTGGAACGTGACAGATCAGGAAATCAAAACCTACATAATGAATAAAACAGGTGACGTTAGGACTCAAGCCAGAAATCTAAAAGTAAAATAGTTGTAAAATACTTAAAAAATAAAAGAATTAAATGACAAGGCAAAATTTTATACTCTTTTCTTCTAGTGTTACATCAGGTGTTGCGGGAAAAGAGGAGAAATGGTATTGAAGACATAAATATCTACAAAAACTTCTTAATATTTGTCATTTAAACAATTTTCATTTCTAAAAACCATCATGTTTCTTAAAATGCGTCAAAATTAATTTTGATTAGATACAATATGGAAATATAGTATCAGATCAAATTCTGCGTGGTCTAGAAGAACTTTCTGCCAGCAACGTGCCCACAATGCAGGGCGCTTTTGTGGGTTTTGACTCTTGTTCCACGATTAGTAAACAACATTTTGATATGAAACATAAAATTTTAATGACATTTAATTTTATGATCAGACAGCAATGATGAATGCTTGACCATGGCTGATATTTTTCAATGTGGAAAAAATACTTCACCAAGTCTAACTCTTGGACTTGTTACTTTAAATGAAGGCGACGCAACCGTATAAAATTGTAAATAATTATTTTATTTTATTAATCGCACGGTCAGGTGATTAAATCCGCCACTGGTGGCATCAACACACAATATCGTTTGTGTCCTAAAATTTCTTCTTGCACACCAAATGTAATTTTTAAATTATTTTCAATTTCTTCAAATTAAAAATAACACGACAGGCAGCAAAAATTAAGGAGCTGAAAACTACTGGCACATGTATGATGTCTCTTATTTACTATAAATAGTAAATTGTAAAATTTATTCAAAATAAATACTTTGTAATAACGGAAAAATGAGCAAACCAATATCAAACTTCTGAGAGAGAAATTCTGTAGTGAATTTTTCTTTCTCTAATTTTAAATTTTGTTGTTAATTACTCAGTGTCAGTGGGAGGAAACATAATGACCACTTCAACGGGTAAAAAGTACTTTTGGTTGTACATGACTGGATTGGTGAGTTTTAAGAAATGCAATCAAAAATTTAAAATTAAATATACCCTCTTCCATCAATCTTGTCCGTTTAAGGATGCGAAAAAATAATCGATGCATTAAAAATCAGCATCAGCTTGTTATTTTCTGATAAATTGAAACAGAGGCTAATTGACAAGAAAAACACAATCTCCAGAAAATTTGAAAATATATGTTTGCCCCCAAAATATATTATAGCTGATTCTGATGCACAAAACCATGCTAAATCCATACTCGAAATTTTAACCACTTTTAAATAATAACAATATAGCGTGGTTTTTTATTTTACTTCTTAAAATAATATATATAGACATGGGCACAATCCCAAACACTCTGTTGTGAGCTCGGATCAAACCTTGCAATTTTTGAAACACTGGCCGACTTCAACGCGTTTATGAAAATCCTGCCAGGTTTGATTATCTGGTTGATCGTTTAAATTTCTCATTAACTATTTGCCTTTTAGCTATGACGGGCAAAACGGCCTATGTTGACCAAACTTTTGACAATGGCGACGGCTCGGACAGTTGGTGCTCAACTTTCAAGAGACTACCGGCGGGGCTGATGACAAATATCAACCAGTTCTATAGAACCAAAGCATTTCCCAATCAAATTTTCCTCGATTCAACCGGGTTCACTTTGTATGGCGTTGGAGGAAACGCTAATTTCGTTATTTGCGGACCTCTGCCTTAATGATTGATTTTCAAATTTGATATAAAAATTTTATTATTTGAATGTGTTTTGGATATTTTGTAATTTTAGATACATACATATAGCAGTTTCTGAAGTGCACATTAATAATAAACTAGAAAATAATGTAAAATTTATGTTGGTATTCAAAATTTATTTGAACGAAATTTGAGTTCGATTCAGCATCTTCACTTACAATTGAAAATTATCTATTGCGGAATTCGTTTTTACAGTGAAATATAATGTAATTCGATGTTTCTCGGAAATCATAACCGGAAATTTTTTTACATAAAATTAATGTAACTTTTGCGATTTACAGTAATAAATTGTGTTAAAAAATCTATATTATATACATAGATGCGAGCGTTGAATGAAATTAATTATCCACTTGCCTTATTTAAATTGTGTGGACCCCTATCGGTGATCTGTAAAATTTTTAATTGAAATTCAATACATTGCAGGATTTTAATTATGTATGCAGACAATACATATAAATATCTTTTAAATACTGGTGATAAAACTTAATGTATTTCAATCAAAATTTAATAATATAAATGCTTCCAAGTTTATAAAATTATAAAATAAATACCTTCTATTCGTTCTGAGGGTTTGATGAACTTTTCGCTTTAAATCGCCGTCTGCTCAAAATGTCAAAATTTGATTCCTTTTTCATTGATCTTTTGATTCTGACATTGGAAAACAAACCGAAAAAACGTTGGATGATCGAATCACGGACAGGGAAACAAAATTTAAGTTAGGCCGGGAGGAAAAAAAGAGTTCGCGTTCATTGCCCAAGGAGGGTCGCGAGAAGCTGAAGTGAGCTGAAGAAGCATGAATAAGCAAGGCTGAAGGAAAAAAGAACCCAACACAAACGATGGAGACTGGAGAGGATGATGATGTAGAATGTAAGCAAAGCAGCAGCGTGTTGAGCTGTGTGAACATGTGTGAACTTGTTGACTTTTGGAGAGCCAATGGGAGCGCGCAGCCTTCTCGCATTGGCGCCGGGCAGGTCAGCTTGCCCATCCAGACAGACATTATAGGAAGAACATATTATTCAAATTTTGTCAACTTTATAATCGCTACATTTATACCTTTTGTCATAAGAGTAACTAAAATAATCAATTAATATCAATGCAATAAAATACTTCAATATACTTGTAAGTTTCATCAAATATATAGTGATGAATTGGCAATAATGGCATAGATGATGTGTGAGCGCAAAATTTTGATTATTCATATTAATTAAACCTCTAACATTTACACAGGAAAATAAGCTATATATGCATTGCCTAAACTTGGGGTGCTACTAATAATTAAATCAGAATTAAATACATAAATATCTCAATTGTTTTTGTCCCGCACTTTTTCCACCCTGACCATTCGATCTAGCGCCAAAATGATCAAGATGAGGCAAACCTAATTTAAAATATTAATAGCCAAATCCTAATAATGATATTTTTGTACCAATCTTTTGTACGAAATTTCATTCATTTTTTACAATCGACGTAAAAATGCCTACTTTTGTTATTAATTTTCATTGCTAAGGTTGGTACTACTTAATCACTTTGTTTTTGTTCCCGCTTCCGCCCCCACCCCACTTGTTGACTTGTTGATATATAATTCTTTTCTTTCCGTTCTTTTTCTTTCTTCTTTCCTTTTCGGCAGCCGAACGCCGTTTTCGGCCACAAAAGCTCGCAATTTTGACGGTGACCTCGGCCAATTCGATATTTTGTGACCAGACATGGCCGATGATGCTCCTGCTGAGAGGAAGCTAGACGTGGACGACTTGATTCAGCGCCTTTGCAACAGTGTGTTTTTTTTCTATAAAAACCCGATTGTATTTAAAAATTTTGGTTTTATGAACTGGACAGTGAAGACTGCGCCGCCGAACACGCAGGTGGAAATGTCGGACATGGAGGTGACTAACCTTTGCCTGACCGCAAGGGAAATTCTGCTGCGGCAGCCGTCCCTGCTCGAGCTTGAGGTGCCGCTCAAAGTGTGTGGTGAGGCCCTTGTTTATTTTTGTGTGAGTGTTTTTTTTTTATGTATTCAAACTGAAGGGATGATTTTGAATTGCAGGAGACATTCACGGGCAGTTCTACGACCTGCTGAGGATGTTCGAGTACGGTGGCTTCCCGCCCGACTCAAACTACCTCTTCCTTGGTGACTATGTGGACAGGGGCAAGCAGAGTCTTGAGACCATCTGCCTTCTGCTTGCCTTCAAGGTCAAGTACCCTGAGACCTTCTTCCTGCTCAGGGGCAACCATGAGTGTGCCTCTATCAACCGCATCTATGGCTTCTATGATGAGTGTAGGTCTAAATTGTAAAATTTGAGCAATTCTTATTATGTTAGTCATTTAAGTTATTTAAAAATTGTTAAAATTTAATTTGGAAATCATTCAAATTCTAGCTATTTCTTGAAACCCGCGGTGAATTAGAACGATTTTGAAAGATTTTCAAGAGAATACTGCAGATTGATTTTGCATTCAATTATGATTTTCAATGCTTTGAGATAAATTTAAGCCTGAAATTTAATACAAATAATTTTCTAAATTTTTTCAAGATTTTCCTTCAATTTTGAATTTTTGTTTCTCAGGCAAGCGTCGATTCAACGTGAAGATGTGGAAAACTTTTACTGACTGCTTCAACTGCCTGCCGATGGCTGCAATCATCGAGGATAAGATCTTCTGCTGCCACGGCGGCCTCAGTCCTGACCTGCACAGCATGGACCAGATTCGCAGAACAGTGCGACCTTCAGACATTCCTGACCGCGGCCTCCTGTGTGACCTGCTGTGGTCTGATCCTGACAGGGAAGTCACTGGCTGGAACGAGAACGAACGTGGGGTCAGCTACACCTTTGGCCCGGACGTGGTTGCCAAATTCCTTGAGAAACACAACTTTGACCTCATCTGCAGAGCTCATCAGGTCATTCCGTACCTCAATTTTAACCCATTTATCAAATTGGCTTTATTAAATAAAATTTATTCGATGAATTTAGGAATAAATTTTTCTTAAGAGTAATTCTTAAAATGTTATTGTTTTGACACTATTTATACCAATTTTGAGAATTTTTTTTTATACTAATTGCGCTAAAATGACAGGTGGTGGAGGACGGATATGAGTTCTTTGGGAAACGGCAGCTGGTCACCCTGTTCTCGGCGCCAAACTACTGCGGTGAATTTGACAACGCTGGTGCCATGCTGTCCATTGACGAGTCTCTCATGTGCTCCTTCCAAATCCTCAAGGTTTCAGTGATTTTTTTAAATTTAATTTATTTTCTTAAATATTAAATTCAACAGCCGTCTGAGAAGAGGAAGATGCACATGGGCATGCCTGTGATTCCTGCCCTGCCTAGCGTGTCCACCCCCAAACCAGTGATAGCCAGTCCTTTCTAACGCTAACAGCTTGCCATTTTTATTATTTTAATAGTGTCAAAATTGATGCCATGAATTTTCTCAAAAATCGTTAGATCTCCAAGAAATTTTAATTTTATGCAGCTTATCGACTGAAAACTACTCTCAAGGTGCCTTAATCCATTCCAACTCATTGAATATGAATCTCATGAAAATTTATTTGTATTGAAAACTTGTAAGATTTTAGAATTATAAGAAAACATATCAAAGTGAATTTCAGTTGTGCCAAAAATAATTAATAGTTGGTAGTTTATTTCATAGTAAGAAGAGTTGAACTAAAGTTAAAAATTCTAAATTACGTTTCAAAAAATGTACTATTTAGAGATTAATGTGTCAAAAATAAAATGCCTTTTTTTAAAGATGGAAAAGACTGATTTTTCTTTGAAAAAATACCGTTCCCAAAACTAATGTAAGAGGTTCTAGATGAAAAACCACTCACATTTTGGAGTTTATTTTCCGTTGTCGGGTAGAAAAAAATAATTTTTCTAATTTTTTAAAGGTCTAGATGGGTCTTAATAAAAAATTTTATTTTAGAAATAATGAAAATATATTTACTGTTATTCTTTTTAAAAGTAAACATCAGGAGTTTTGGACAATACAAAGCAAAAAAATTCTTTTTCTATAAAGATTGTAACCCTATTAAAATGTTCCGTTTCATAAATTAATCACAAGTTACTCAAAAGGCATTATTTTGCTTCTTATAGCCAAGGCACAAGAAATTTAATAAACACATTTACAATAAGAATTCTTCTAGATAGACCATACCAAGTGATTGATAATATTCAAATTTTTTTCAACAGACAATAAAATTAATTCAGATCCTCTATTTATCATAATATTTTGGCACTTAAGGAAATCAGTTCAGATTCGTAGAAAGTTGAGCTTGGTGAAGGAGGATGCCTTTTTCTTTAAGCCCAGGATTTTGTCCTCGTCCTGCTTGGTCGGAATTCGCTTCATGTAAATATGAGGGTACGAGTCCTTGAACTGAAAGACCAATAAATTAATTCCAAAGGTTGGGTAAAGAACAAAACTACTAAAAAGCAGAAAGCGGGGGAGGGGAAATACCGTGAGGAGGCGTTTGGCCTTTTCCTTCGGCTTCATTTTCTTGTCTCCGATGATGAGTTCAAGCAGCTCCTGCAGCGCCTTCTGCGAACCTGAGCACTTTTGCTGCTCGAACTGCTGCGTTGACACTTGTCTGCAGAAGGTCACTTTTGGAGGGCTTGGGGCAGGCGTCTTCGAACTAATTACGCTACTGTTGCGTGAATTGATCACCCGCAACGGGCGCGGAAGGGTCTTCTGCACACAAAATAAGAACAACTACTGATTACCACACCAAGCACTACACCAACCCTATCTAAGATAACAATTTTTCAATCTAAGAGTAGAGTTCGTTTGGTGAAAATTGGCATATAAACAATAAGCTAGCATATTTTAAATCAAATAATTAATTGGAAAATTCTAAACGTTGTAAATTCTACAAAAAATTAGGTCACCAGAAGACTCAAAACTTAAGCAAATTTCATATGATTCCACTCAATTTTAACTACCATCAAAAAATTTGTACCTCTTTGTTCTGAAATTTGGCAAGTTGTTGCTCAACTTCTGCTTTCAAATCAGCCGGAGGAGACAAAATGGAGTCTCTTTCATCAAGCAGGAAGGTGACCACCTTGCAAGAGAGGGTCCTGCTGAATTGGTTGATGCCGCCTTGGTCCTCTGGAAGGCCGAGAACAAACTCGCAGAAGGACTGAATCACCTTTTACAATAAAGTTGTATTATTTATTATCTTAATGTTAGAGGCAAATTTCAAATTACAAATTCCTTTGTGGTCACGTCAGGGTAGAATTTCAGGTCCTTGTTTGAAACCAGGTTGCCCAGGTACTGCAGTAGGAAGCACAATTTTTTCCGACTGTCCGGCGGCAGCAGCAGAAGCAAGAGTTGGTAAATTTTCTTAGCAACCTTAGTGTTTTGGGCGTTCATCAATCCTATTGACAAATTATTATAAATTTTTTTAAAAGCTATTTTTAAAAACAAACCATTTGAGACTGAAGTAGCTCTGCTTGTTGTGGTTTTGGAGGAGACGACACTCATGTTGCAGCTCTGAAGGGAGTCTTCAAGCTTTTTGCTCTGCTTGGCCTTTTTAGCCAGGACCTTGATGGTGGCCAGGGCGGTGCTCATGTTGAGCTCCTCCAAAGGCGGCTCCTTCTCCTCAATCGAGTTTGACAGGGCCAGGTTGACATAGCCCCCTGAGTGACTGCGAGTGTGGCTGGGCTCAAAGGGGTTAGTCGACTTGGGTCGGTCGACGGTCAGGGAGGACATGTCTCTTTCCAGGCAACTCAGGCGAGATGAACCTGAGGTTGACTGCCACTGGTCTAGGTCAAATATGTTATCCGAGGATTGGCTCCTATTCCTTTTGCTTCTGGAAAAGATTTGGGATTATTCATTAAAATAGATCTTGCAATGAAAATTGAGAAGATTCTAGCACTGTTAATATAAAATTTGTTTCAATAAATTTTACTCTAGAAAGATTCATCATAAATCTAAGTAAGTGTGAAATTATATGTATTTTAAATTTAATTTTAAATTAAGCCTATATTTGAAACTTATCTGTTTTTTGACAAAATACTTTAAAAAAATCATGAATTTTAACAATGCAACTTCAACCACCTTTAAGCTAATAAATTTTTTAAATTAACCTGCCGCGGTTGAACTTGAGGGTGCCAGTGTGGACAACCCTGGTAGTAGGGCTTTCAGTGGTGAAGGCCGTCTCAAAGCATGTGTTGGGTGGAAGTTGGTAATGGGCCAACTGGCTCATATTGATGCTCTCGTGGAAGGGATTGGTGCTTGCAGGGCGCGGAGGGGGGATGACAGTCCACGGGGCTTCATCTTCAGACTCTGAAGACGGTTCGTAGAGGACGGGCTCGATGCTTTTAAGCCGTTCTGTCCACGACTCTGATGAAGGAGACAAAAGGGAGTCTTTACTTCCTGCAATTGAAAAAAATTAATCCAAATTTGTTAAAAAAAGGTTCCCAAATCAGTTCAAGTTTAGTAAAAACTAAAATTCTTACCTTTAAGGTCACAGTCTTGGGTTTCAAGAAAGATGTAGGCATATCGAAAGACATCTGCCAACTCCCAAGAAATGAAAGGTTGCTCTGACGCTTTGAAATAATTGACAATTTCCACAAGAACGTCTTTCTCAAATCCAGGGTAAGTGTGCGTAGCCCCGAAACCAGAGATGGAAGGCCCTGAAATTCCAGATTAAAAATATTTCCTCTGAATAGTACAGAAATATCTACAATTTGATAGGTTTTTCATGGCAGACTGCACCCAAGTGGGAAAATCCCTTTTGTTTTTCTCGAAGTACTCCTTGATAGAGGCACATGGTTCGAAGTTGGCATTTTCTGCAATCCAGAGTCCATTTATGAAACTGGGTGGGATCAATTCCTGAATGTCCTTTCCATCAAAAAGGGCCTCCAACCTTAAATTGTAATTTCATAATAAAAAAAACCACTTCTTTTAATCAAATTTTGTCCAGTTACCGGCCAAAGAGGATATTTTCCCAGACTTTCTCAGTTTCCAGGGCGTTTTTCTGTCTTTTGGCTGCCTGGGCCTTGAGGTCCTCAAGGAAGACCTTTGGGTCATTCAAACTCTCCGCTGAAGAACTTTTTCTCTTCATAGGCGATCTGGCCAGACGCATGGGACTCGGCGGTTTCAGCACCGGAGCTGCACTGAAGTTTGGCAGAGGCACCGTCCTCAGAGGCAACTTGCTGGGAAACCTGCAAAATTTGAGGTGAAATTTTAATGCAAGGTTTTTGGAAATCATATCTTACTGGTAGAGGGTGTTGTTGGGCTTGAAGTCATTAGACTTGTCGGCCAGCACCGGTTCAAACACTTTTGCCTTGAGGAATTTGTCCAGCAGAGCGATCACCTGGTTCTTGCTCAGGTATTCAAAGTGGTTGTTGCTCTGCAGTTTTGCCAAAAACCAGGCGGCCGCCTCGGCCCCCGAAAACGTGTCCTCGTAGTTGCGGAGGAAGTGGCGGTGGCTCTTCACGGGCATTTCCACGCGGAAAGTGTTGACGGCCGTGTTCCACTACAGGAAAATTTTTTTAAAATAAAATGATTTATGTAGAGAAACAACCGACGTTAAAGTCAAACCTTCTGTGTTGCTTTGAAGGGGTTTCCCGAGTCGACCTTCCATGTCGGCGCCTGCATTGTGCGGAAAATTCAAACGACTCACTTTTCCATTCGCTGCACTAGCGGTTTCTCTCAAAATTCTCGGGAAAATACCGAAAATTTGACCAAATTTAAGCACCTCCGTGTTTATCCATGACGACCGTTGCCATAGGCATTGCTGGCGCCTGGCTTGAAAAACCCAGTGATACCAACCAAATTGTAAGTAATTAAAAGTTTTTTATAAGTGAATCGTGAAAACAATTTATAAAAATTAATTTTAATTTATTTATTTGCTAAAGATAACAAAATTTTAAATTGCTCTACATTGTTTTCAATGAAAAATATTTGTTAATTTTATTAAATCTTGATTTGCTTCTGTAGGTTGGCAATGAATCTTCTTGGTAATGAATCAAGCAATAAGGAATGAAAGGTATGAATGAGCCGATCAGTGAGCCAAAAAATAATTTTAAAAATATTAAATTTGATTAAATTTATAGGTGGTAGTTAATATTATTAACTAAAAAAATTAATTAATTAAACAAATTTCATTGCGTTTGATTAATTATTAATTATGTGTGCAGTAAGAAGATTCTACTTTTGAAAATTATGTTCAAAAATTTACTTTTACCACTTTCAGTAAATAATTATTTTATCGTATTTTATTTTATAAAAAGTGTTCTCATTTTTTCTGAGAGTGCGAAGTGTGATATGAAAACTCATTTTATGAATTATTATTAATTTTGTGCATAAAAATGTAAATTTTTTAATTAAAAAAACTTAGCGCTGCATTATCATGGTGGGTAATTTGACACGGTCAATAGCGACCGTCCGAGTGTAAAAATTTAACAGTAAAATTAGCCATCAAATGCAATTATTTTCATTCGGCCAGAGGGGAGTCAGTTGCAGGTCGGTTCAGTTCCCCCTCCACCTATAACACACCTATGCTCTCAGGTATGCGCCCTCCCCTCCGTCGGCCGCGGCAGAGGCAGCGCCAGGGCAAACAACGGCCGACCAGTCAGTTGGCGCTTGCATACGTGTTGCATGCGTTGTGCGGCCGAATTTGCCGAAAGCGTGCATCCCCAGTGCCCCCTAAGTCGACAGGTGACCCCCTTCCGACCAGACTCGGACCTCCCAGTGCCCCCTGTGCGGTCGTCGCGACCTTTGTGCTTCCAGGAGAGGATTAAAATCGGTGCCAATCCGCCGCTGCTTTCATGGTGCCGCCGTGTTTGCAGGTGAGAATTTCAAAACACAACACACAGGATTTTTCAAACATTCCAGAATTTTCCTTTCATTTATAACCCTTCTTCCGATTTTGGTTGAGAAGGTCCTTTAAATTTTAATCTCATGAATTTATTTTCGAATTTTCGGATTTTTTGAGTGGTGAATATCAGCTGGAGGATATACCAGGGTGCGGCCCCTGTATTTTCGGACCTTTATTGTCGAGGCCATGTTAGGGTGCACATTCCTTTTATTTTCATTAGCTGCTCTCTCTGGCTGCGGAATTTTTGCAACACCGCCCGTCGTCGTTGGGCAACGCGACGTGACATATGGATGGGGAAACGCTTTTCGGCCTAATCGGGCTTGTTTGTTTTGTGAAACGTCCCATTATCAGTGAACAAAAAAGGGACACTTGATTTGGGTTACTAGGTTTATTTAAAAAATTGGTTTGGACACTTTCATTTCAATTTTAGGCATTATGGATGAAAACAAAAATGCTAATTACCTTTTTGTGTATAAGGTCTCACTATAATTTTGTGTAAAGGTTAACAGCAAAAACCTTTAATATTCAAATTGAGAATTTCATTTTTAAGCTGAACTTTGTCAAAACCAGAAAGAAAACAAATTGAAAGATCTGTCAAAATAAATTAAAAAAGGTACACGGAAGCTTCATTAGATCTATTTTTACATTGCAATAGTTGTTAAAATTGTCAACCGTCCTAAAAAAAATGCAAAATTTAATGCTATTGATAAAATTTGATGATGCCCTTAAGGATTTGGCATTCCAGTATTTTTATATAATTAATTTTCAAAAATATTCCATAATTATTTGTTTCATTTTGTGTATTACTTAAAAATAATAGAATAAAAATTTAGTTCCAATACAGTGAAATTGCAAAAATTAATTTCAACAATTTTTTAAGGACATAATTGGCCATAATTGTGAATCAAATTTTCACCCAAACAGTAATTAATCAGAATTAAAGAATTTCGTGTCGTTTCTGATATAAGTGCTGTGTAAAACACGCCTTGCAAAAATTCTCACGCGTTCCGACTTCCCTGGGAAAATTCGCAACTTGCATTATTGTTTTCAAATTTGAATTACGCAATTAGAATCATGCATGGATTGCCTGGCTGGCGACCCAGAAAGGCGCAACAATGGCCCGTTAATGACAAAATTATTTTTGACCCCATCTGGAAGCCGATGGATCAAGAAAAATTACTAACGGTATCTTTATATATCGGAGGAATTTTGTGGTCTGGGGAAATTATTATTTTTAATCGCGAGCTGCCGGCCTTCACTCTTGACACGCGGAAGAAAAAAAATACCGTCAGACAATGGGAATTTCGATTTATCAGCGTGTTTTTTCTCTCCGTAGTCGCAGCGATCGGCACGTTCGAGAGACGGTCGTAAAAAAAATATGGAAGAGAAAGAAAGCGAGGAGAAAATTAATTTACATACAATGTTCTCTTCACACCTATATCGAAATTAAAATCCATGAAATTATAATATTCGACGTGGAATAATTTAGTAAACCAAAAACCAAACACGCCTCTGTTTAAAAATTTAATGCTGTATTAAGTTGGTTTTAAAAAAATGACTTATTTTGATTACCTTTCTATGGCTGATTAGGATTAAATTTTTGTAACAATATTCCAATAATTTTAACGTTTTTTACAATTTTAAAATCGATTTGTAATTTTGCTAATTACCCAGTTTGTTTCTATTTAGATTTAAAAATTTGAAATACGTGAATTTATTTTTTTCAAATTTTAATAGTAATTACAAAATTTGATTAATTTTGACCTTTTTTTATATTCAAGATTTATGAATTTTTTAATTATTTATTTGTCACAACAAATACTATTTTTTATTCATCAGTTTTCCACACATGATGTGCCTAAACGGTCGCTCAATGTAGGCCAAATGAATCAGGAATAAAATTTTGGCCTGTGGTGATGGGATTTGGGATGGAACCGGTCATAAAATCTGAATATTTGTATAATCGGAAAGGAATAACCGTATAGTGTGAAAATAGCCAAAGTGACTTTCAATTCAACGCGCGCACATTCCATTCAAGCTGATGATTCACAATTTGTTCAGGGCTACATTATAATCCCACCACAAAAGAAGGCGGCTTCAGAAGTTTGGCAATGGAAGAAATTTAAAATCAAACGGATCAGAACTTTGAATATTTAAATCTAATTAATTACAAAAAAGTTTTCTTTTTTTACAACTTTCCTTTCTAAATTGTTAACAAAGGCTTCTGTTTTTCGAAAGAGTGCATTTCATTATTTGTCTCGTCGTGGGTGATGTCAGCAAAGGTGAAAAGCCTTATCAGCGATAACGGCGGATAAGGAGCGTGAGGCGAAAAGGTTCTGCAGTCGCGCAGAGTACTTGGCCGAGTTCGAAACTTATTTTTCGCCACCGCTGTGGGAAGCGGACAAAAAAAGCGAGCAGACCGGAAGCAGCAGAAGTTGTTCCCGTAAGTGCCGAATTGACCTCTCCTTAACGACACTCTTCGTGAGAACATTTAATTACGCTGCAAGATATTAGGAATATTAAAGGGTCACCGACCTTTAAAAACTATTGTAATTATTTTCGATCCTGGTAAAGGACTTTTCGAGACGATTTCAGAGGTGTCCAGAAAAGTATATTCGGGTGAAAATTGACAAAAATATTTGTGTTTTGCAATCGGTGGCCATTTTTATTAAAATGGCTGCTGGTTTGTTGTTTCTTTTGCTAATTTCTTTGAAAAGGTTGACTCAAAATCAGACTTGTTGCATATCGTTGTACTCGCCATGACAAAAACTATCCAATTAAGAATAATTGATTAAATTTTCAGCAGATTTCAGTTAAAAAAAATTTCTTGTGGATTTTATACCAAGTTAACAATTACAATTTTTGCAGTTTTCATAGAAGTGAAATTGTAGTAGCATTTAAGATTTTACTGATCGTCGGTGAAGGTCAAGCAAAGGTCCGTGCTTATCCTGTGTTAGCAGAATTCGCGAATCTAATCGCTTGTCATGTTAACATGATAGCGAATTATTGTTCCGACTCACAGCAAATCACACATAAACTTCTATTATAGCTGACTCAGAGGAAGGGAATTCAATTACGTGAAGAAAGAATCATTCAACTTTTAATTAAATTCATCAGTTCATTGAAGTGAAGAATAATCGTGAAAATTTCGAAGCAAACAATTTTGTGACGTGTTGTGCTCAATTTGACATTTTATGCAGCTCAAGTGAATTCGCAAGAGAACAAAAGCGGCGCAACAAGATAATTTCTCTTTTACTCCCTGTTTTTATCGCGGCTTATCGCTCGCTACTTCTCGTCAATCGGTTCAGGTGAACTCCGGGACTTGAATTAGTTTGAAAGAGAGGCCCTCAAATTTTGCACCGATAACACAACATAAGGGCTTCAAAGCAAAAGACGTAGTAGCGATAAAAATTACTTGTAATTAGTGTTTTAATGTGTGCAATTAGTAATTATTGCTTTTATCTTGATGTCAATTAAGGGCAACTAAATCTTATATAATTACCCTCAATTTGAAAACCAACACGGATATTCTTTTGAAATAATATTAATTTCTAAATCAAATCTATTGATCTAAAATAATTAAAAATACTAGCCAAGAAGTCTTCAAAAATGATAAAGGTGAAATTCTAGACTTAAAATATAAAGACATTAAAATGAAGTCAGAATTTTACTTTTTTTTAAATTACTAATTTTTTGAATATGAATTCATTTGATAAGGAGTATTTAAAAATTACTCAATTTTACGACAACATCAATTTAACTACCGCTGTTAATCATGGATTAAACGGCAATAAATGATTAATATCTGTTGTAAATGCGCCTTGTACTGGAATGTTTGTTTATTGGCATGATGATGAGGTAACTCTCCGCCTGTGGTCATTCGTTTGTTTCTTGGAATCTAATTTATATGTGCTTCTATAATCGGAATTTCTCTTCTTGCATTCTTATTCAAAAGGATTCAAGTTCCTTGTACGGCTGGAATTTGCTGCGTGTGTGCGTTTTGCCAAGAGCATTAATAATTTGCACTGCTTTTTATTTTAATTAACGGAGTTAGAGCTTCCTGGTGATTCTCTTTTGTAAATTAATATGATCAAACACACTGAATATTCCATAATTAAATTAATCGAATAAGCTTTTGTGACAAAGTGAGTATCCGTTTTTGTTACAAATTTTCCGACGTTCAGAGCCTATTATTTTGGTATCAACGCGAAGATGGCAACAGTTTTTGTCGTGACGAGAAATGAATTTCGGCGTTCAAAAGCAGGGTTTGCCTCCACGCTTTTTATTCGTGGAATCGTCACTTATGAGTGCATATTACGCACCCTTTGATGTCAATTTTCCGAAATCGGGGGTATTTAATTTCAAACCTGCAGTGCTATATTTTTCATCGAAATTAAAAGAGTCTTCAATTACGATTTTAATTGAATTACAATTTTTGACCAGAATTGGATTCCTTTTGATGATCTGTTTCATTCCCTATTTCTTTGCAAAGTGAACTGGACATTTTTGAAAACTTTCAAAAGAATTTTACATGGATTCAGAATTCAGAAACTGAGCGAGAAAACCAATGTTGGGAAAACGAATTAAAATGTCCAAATTTCAACTTTTAATTGGAAATTTTAACAACTCTACACTAAAATTTACAAAAAAAAACCACACTAACAAATTAACAACATGTACATTTTTGGTTGCTAATCGGATTTCTTAGAACTCGGATCAAATACAGAACAAAATCCAGAAACTTTTCCAGCGTTAGTATAGAAGAAAAAAGCAGATTTTTTTTAATTTCATGGGACACTTTCGACTTTTCCTGGAACTTGCGATCTTACCCGTAGTGGTGTTTGAAAATTTCACACTCGTCATTGCAAAAAAAAAAAAAAAAATTAAATTACTCAGTGACTTGCAGGTTTTACTACTATTTGACGTGAATTGTCCACCGTCGTGACAATTAAATATTTCTCTTACTCTGCAAAATCATATTAAAAATTAAAAAAGGAACTTTAAAAAAAATAAATCATTATGAATTGAAAATAATGAAAATTATATTAAACTTTAAAATAAATCAATGTTATTTATTAAATAATTATATTATTAAATGCGCATAATTTAAAATTAAACATTTTACACATTAAAATAAATACAAAGTAAAAATCATTGGCGAAAAACGCTATTTTGAGTAGCTCGCAGTTGGAGGCACATAATCTGTCTGCCTCTCGCTTTAGTCGTTTTGAGCTGTTTGTGTGCGAGGCTGGTGGCAAACGGGTTCGATTGGCGCACGCGGTGCGAAAGCACAAATGTAGGGCAATACGCTACATATTTGACGACGAGTGCAGCCAGCAGACAGCCAGAGAGAGAGAGAGAGGAATGTAGGCGCATCCACACGTAATGAGGCAGCGGCGGTGTTATGTAGCCCAGCACGCTGGAAAAAAAAAGAAAGAAAGAATTCCTAGCTGCAATTAGCTGCCGGAGTGGAGAGAGAAGGGCCTTCATATTATCCGCCACATCGCCTTATCAGATACGGGGACTTTTTAATGGACACATTATCGTCAAAATTGTTTTGAAATTCAGTTCATCATAGTAATCGCATCAAATTAAACTCCGATTTAATCCAAACGTACGGAAAACTTTAATAGGCAAAATCTGACTGGAAATTTAATTGTAGGGTTTAAAGAAGCTAGTTTGCAAATTTTTGAAGATTTATTATACGAAGTTGGTACTTATGCTCATAATTTAATTTTAATTTGTAAAAATCTAACTGAATAATTATCTGACGATTTGCTTTTACTTAATTGATTATTTTCACGGACGTTGAATTCCCCAATCTTGATTGTCACGCGTTTGACTTTATGAATGAACTGGCGACAGGCCGCATTAAATCACGCTTTTTCTTTTTTCATTTAAATCTTAATTTTTCCCACGGATAATTATGGAACGTTTTCTTCTAAATCAGGAATTATTGCCAGAGAGAGAAAGTTTTTAATTAGATTTTATTTCTAATTTTTAAATAAAATTTAACACTGCTTAAATGATATATAATATTTTTTCTAATATTACATTGAAAAACTCCCTATCATTTAACTTTTTGGTCTAGAACGGACCAACTTTCATTTGATATCAATTAATTATCAATCAAACAGCTGTTCAAACATGTCACTTTGTTGTTTATTTTGTTTGCAAAGCTCCTTCTTGCGTTGGTTTTTTATTTTTTTTTGTAACTATCAGGAATGATCGCGTGTTAATCTCGAGTGGAATTAGGAATTAGTGCGTCGTCACTTCTTCCGTTGCCGTCCAGAATGAATAAAAAAGAAGAAGCTCTTCTTCTTTTTATTGTTACGTTTGCCCTGGAGATGATGATGGGCCCCAACTTTACAGCTCGCGGCCATAATAAAACTTTACACTTTTACACACCCCTCGCCGCTTTTACTGCGCACCCGGGCTTGTTTCTCTTTTTGCCCAAAACTCGCTGCGCAAAAATTTGCTCCTTCATTGAGCAGATAAAAAATTAAGTGTTTCAAGAGCACTAAACTTTTGTTTTGTCTGGTTCCCATCGATCTATAAAAGTTCCGAGTTCATTTTGTTAATTTTGCCGTCGTTTATGCTCAAAATGTGCAAAAGTTAGTGATTTATTAAACTAAATGTGAATATTTTCAATAAAACCAAAACCGACCAAAACTCTTATTCATAATTTTTTTGCAAATTTTATAATACAACAATTTTAAACCATGAGAATCTTGAATTCCGCCTTGAATAATTAAGATTAGTTTAATTATTTTTGTGACTTGTTTTGTTTCAGCCGGGTGCAGCAGCACCACCACCCTAGTTTCCGCACCAGCACCTGAGCATGCCAGGAGTGAAGGCGCCATCGCCGCACCACCAAAAGCCCCCCAAGTGGGACAAAAAGGCAGAAAAGAAGCAAAAGAAGTGAGTTCCGATTATTTCCTTAATTTTGTAACTTCAGACGTTATAACAAAAAGTTATAAAGTTTTGTGCAATAAAATCAACTCAAATTAATTTATTTGAGGCAAAAAAATGATTTTATTTAATTAGATGCCAAAATTTGTAGTGCTCTCAACTTTTATTTTTTACTGAAACAATAAACAACTCACAAAACCCATCGAGGAAATCCGATTTTAAATTCAAATCACCATTTTTTATTTTTACTTCCAATAATTAAAAATAAAAAGCATAATTTTTGATAGATTTTAAATTGCAGAGAAATTTACAATTAGTGGAAAATTTTCATTAAATGTGCTACAATTTCAAATATAGGCAATTTCAATATGCCTATATTTGAAGGCAATTTCACAAGTGCGTGTTTACATCGATTTTTTTTTTTAAATTTAATTTGTAAAACCACGGTTTTTTTTGTCCAATAGTTTTAAATACATTGATCGAGATTTGAGAGGTGAAGTTTTTCAAATTTTTTATAGAAGGAGGTGCGAATGAATTTTCCGGTCGGTTGGAGGAAACTCATTAAGCTGCAAATCCAGGTGGATTTTTTTGCGCGTCGTCATTAATTCGTCGGCGCGCATTCGAGGCGCCGCCGGCAATCAATAATCAATTTTCTTCTCTCCTTTGCATTTTCATTCACGGGCCCTTTTCGTGTTGACACTGCACTGCATGAGATTGGAATAAAGTGCCTCTCTCTCCCTTTCCAAAAGCTCCGTCGCGAGTTTCCAAATGAGACGTCTCTCGCGGCTCTTATAATTTTCCCCGACGAAAAAAAAACAAAAAGTGAATTATTTCGTAGGACGGAGAACGTGTTTCCTCTGTCGTCTGCCAGATTATTCAGTTTTGCCTTCGTGTACATGGAACTTGAAAGGTTGCGCAACAAACGTGACCCATCAATCAAACTGGAAATTAAATTCTTTAATCATTAACAACTTTACAATTAACAAGTTAACAAGCTTCCTAGTAATGTTAATTTAAGATAAAATGCAGTTTACATTTCAAATTGAAACTTAGATTAAAAGTCTTATGTATAAAATATTCTGATTTGAATTTGCATGGATGGATTCTAAAATATTTTGTGATAGCAATTTAATAAAATAAATACTTTAAATTTGTTATTTTGTGCAAAAAAAAAACTGTCACTGAAACTTCATTCATATTTGAAACATGAAAGTTTAATGAATTTATTACTTGTTCCAAAATTAACATGATTCTTTTGCAATGAAATGTGTCAGAAATAATTTAATATAAATTTCTAACTTTCAAGTTTAATGATGCATTTAACGAAAAATAATTGAAATTTGACGCTGGTTGTAAGAGGAGGCTTGGCCGTGCAGAGAATGAAGAGGCCGAGATGATTAATCGCGCCGAAAATTAATTAACGGCATTTATCTTGCGATCTCTCTCGGGGGCCACACTGCTGCAGCAAACCTCGCAATTTCAGCTCCCCAAAGCAAAATCCTTCATTTATTTATCGTGGAAGAAACTTCTGGTTTTCGTAAATAAATTTGCCTTGGACAGACAACAACGAAAGTGATAACATGTGTGCGTAGTCGTTTTTAAGCCGCGCGCGCGCGCGAGAGAGATAAGATTTGGCTCTGCCATTAGAAATCGAGTGCTTTGTCTCATGATTGATGACCGCACGTTTTTTTTTTTTTATTTCAGTTATCACAGCGACCAGTGACTCACTATAAATCGGTTGAAAAAAGTATTCAATTTTCGAAATCAAAGGATTTTTCCAACCAAATTAGCACCGAGGCCAACTTTCATTCTTCAGCCGTGCCCTCCCATAAATTATCTTTGTGCAATTTCAAGTACCTCTAATTTGCATTTGGATTGTCTGAAACGAAGAGAGACGCCCAATGATGAAAGTGTCTCTTGTGTTTTACGCAACGACGCCTCTCTATGTCTCTATAATTTATTAAAAATTTTCAAAATTTCGTTTCAGGTCGAAGAATCAGGAGCACCGCTTGTCCATCTCATCTGACATGATGCCGTACAGAGGCGACCACCACTCCAATGGCTACTCCTCTGGTATTATTACGATTTTTCCTTTCGCCGAAATTGGCTCTTGCCAGTTTTTTTTTCTTCACGTCTCTCTCGTGGCACTTTTATGACGGAGAGAACGTAAAATTTCCGAGTGACGGGCAGACATTTTGCCTTGAGTTAGAATAAGAAAGAAACGCGTGTCACCAGGGGATGATGTGAAAGTTATTACATCCATGCTTGAGATGTGCAGAGTCTTGTGTAGACTATTGAAAATCACAAAATGAGTATGCAGACAAATTCTACTTTAAAGAGGATTATCACCGAATTGTTATTTCAATGTTGGAGTTAACATAAAAAAATTTTCTGCAAAAATTCTTAGTTCCAGTGCTTTTGATATTGAAATTTATTCAAAGCAAACTTTTTGTCATCTTTTTTAGGCAAGGAGCTCAAAATTTCATAAATGATACATGATCATTTGTAAAAAAATCATTGATATTTTAATACGATATTAATTTGAACTCCAAATTAAGTTACATGTACGTGTGAAGAATTTTAAATTTGATTTAAATTCAAACGTTTTCAAACACAAGAAAGGCAATATTATTTAATGTAATTATTGATTAAAAAAAGATTAAATTTAAATTTGTAAACAATAAAAATTAAAATTATAAAATTTTCATAAATTTAACAAATAATTAAAAAATAATTATTTTTAACGAAATTCATAAATACCAAATACTTTATAAATTTTAAGTAATTTTTTGTAATAATATTATATTAAAATTTAATTTTACATAATTTTATGTTTATTAAGTAAACTATTAAGTTAAATTTTTTAAATAAACATTTAAATAAAATTTATTGAAATTAATAATATATCCATATAATAATAATAATAAGCACCATCTAAAGTTATTAAATAAAATACAAATTATATTATAAAATTATTTATTAAAAGTATAATAAATATAATTAAAATTATGACATTTAAACAAATTAAATACAAATTATTATTTTTAACTGAACTATTGTACAGTGTTATAATATAAAATTTTAATTATTTTATTATATTAAATTTATATTCATCATATTTTTCCTGAATTTCACAGACCAACAGAGCCACGGTTCTGGGAACGAGGAGTCGGTTAGTCCGGGATATGTGATGGAGCATCTGGCCACGTTCACTGTGTCCAAGGAGACGGGCATCGTGTACCCGGCGGACGGGATGCGTCGGCTGCTGCAGCTGGAAAAGTCAAACGGCATCTGGTCGCAGAAAATGCAAATGCGGCTCGAGCGCTCGTGGGTTATGATCATGGACTACGAGTCGGGCGCCGTCATGGAGAAGTTCCCGGTCTCCCTCATCCAGGAGCCGACGGCCTTCACCAGTCACGACCCCATGGAAATGTACAACAACATCCTCGTCTTCATTGTCGGCGAGGAGCCCTCCCAGCGCAACGGACGCTCAGAGATGCACATCTTTCAGGTAACTTGGAAAATCCTACTTTTGCTTCAAAACTGTGCCTTGACAAAAGGGAGGCTAAATTATTAAATTAAAGGTTTATTGGTGACACTGTTTGGGGCCAACAAAACACTTCCTAAATTTTTTTAATTAATTGGAAGAGCGCTTATTGAATTATTGGAAATTTTGAATGTAAATTAGTAAACTAGTTTTGGAGTGAAATTTTCAACTGTTTTAGCTAAAATTTAAAATTAATTTTTGTAATCCAAAACAATTTTGACTACTTGTTAAATTATATAGGACTTTGAGGATAGTTTTGATCTACTTTAAAAGCTTGTTGCAGTCGAGATTTTTCTATTTGAAACAAGAAGGAATATAAGCTATCAGTTTCTCTGTTATTTCTTCTCCTTGATGGGCTTGCTATTCCCTTTGCGCATTAAATTCCGTTGATTTCCATATTCGCCTCGGGGATTTCGCTTTTTCTCGGTATTCAAATTATGTAGAATAGGAAGCGCCGCGAGCACTTACTGCAAACGAGATAATCTTTAAACTCGAGTGAAATATCGCTCACGTCTTCTCTTCACTCACTACACACGTCAAAGATAGTGACGATTCAATTCCAATTGATTAATCCCAAATGAATGCAGTTTTTTTAATCTTTCGGTTGATTGTGATTGCAGTGCCAAAGCATCTCAGGGCAGGACCTGGTGGAGGACCTGAAAATGCTGCGCTCGGGCAAAATGCCCCCTTTGCGGCGCCAAAGCCACCTCCTGCCACCCGCCCCGTCGACGCCACCCCCCGAGCCCCCGCTGAACGGCATCAGCGTCAGGGACCAGGTCAACGCCTTCAACGCCGCCTCACATCGTAAGTCCAAATTTAAAGGAAGTTCATTCAATTGCAAAAGTGAATGGAGAGCTTTTGGCCGGCGGCGACCGCGCCCTGCTTGCCTGCTTTGCTCACCACTGCGGTTTGCACTCGACCTAACTTCTTTTCACGTAACAATCGTTTCTCATGCCAAAGTTCAAAATTAGATGTAATCAAAGCGATTTTCAGTTATCAAAGAAAATTGGATCTGAGGAAATGTTAAAAAAGTTTAATTTTGAAAAGTTCACATCTCTCAAGTTTGCTTTTAATTTTATCTTTCCAATAAATGAAAATACCTTTTTATTGTTCGAAAAGGTTATAATCATTTTTTAGTCCGTACTGGAAGTAAATTTTCAGAAGTTTATAAACAAACACCCATATATTTAGTTGTGTATCTTTGAAATTTATGAGCCGTGATTTGGCGGAAGCATCCGGAGTGCTGTTTATATTTATATAAATTGACGTCGAGATAAAACGGTGCGCGCACAGAATTATTCCGCAGGTGAACTATATCATCGATTAGCATCATGCGAGAGAAAGTGTAATTTTTTCCGACTTGACCAGCAGCATTCACTTTCGAACTCACTCAGTCGGCCGGTCGGTTCTCATAGGAGCAGGTCTTTCGTATTCTCGACGCGCAGAATATTGTGAGGACCATCTGCGAGCGCAGTGTTGATGAACTTCTTGACTGAGCGCCTCGCCATTGTTCCAAAGTGCTGGCCGTTCGGTTATTGTGCAAAACTGCTGCTGAACGAAGCGGGACAAGTCGAAAAGTATAAGCCGCTTATACAGGTTGGACCAAAACACTTTGTGAGTCTCAAAAGGGAACGGCCTGGAGCGAAAGGAAATTACAAAATGCAGAGTAGTATTAAAAATCGCTTATATTCCCGTTTTGCAAATTCTCATAATCAAATAATTTCGGTTCATTAAGCCAGAACTTAAAAATGAATTGCAATCAATTATCGCACTTTTACCCGTTTTATGCGTCAAAATCGGGCGATTGATTGCCGTGTTCTCTGGCAAATATTTAACCAAATTCGCACTTTCTCTCTGTTTATATTTCGACTCGGTGATGAGAAATGAATTACGCGGCACCCTATTCGAATTCGCCAAGCGTTTAATGAGCAAACTTTTCACTTTTTCCGCCCCGACTACACAGATCGAATTCGCCCCGCTAGTTTTCTGCCTGACTGCAGCAAGATTGCGCGTTAATGAAGAAAAGTTCTCTCTTCTCTGTCCTCGCGATTCGCATGTGGGTGGGCAGCGACGGAAAAAAGCACGTCAAGTTTTATTCCGCCCGCGAAGCTTATTAGCGGCTTTTGATGTCGAGAGCTATGCGTGCGTTTTTCGCTCCGCTGCTTGCACATTTCTGTGTTTTTGCCACCGCAAACTTTCTTCAGCAGAGACACAAACGATTATTCCACTCACCGCCGTACTTATCGAGGAAAAAGTAATGCAGTGCTGGATTACATTTGTAAAATGCTGGTTAAATAAAAACAAAAAATTATTCATCTGCTAAATCATCACTTTTCATATTTTAATCTTAGTGTTTGAATTTAAAACTATCTCTGAATTCGTAAAAGAATTTGATTTTCCACATAAAAAAGCATTTTTTAGATCTCAAAAAAAATAAAATTAAAATTTTAGATTCGTAAATTTTCATAAATCTACAGGATATTATTTTAAATTATGTTCAGTTCCAGAGGCGCACAACGAACTGCGACCGTCGTCGTCCGGAGGCGGCGCCATGTACAACCGCGAGGCCGCCGGGTCCATCAATGATGAGACCAGTTCAACATCCAGCGAAAAGTACGAAAGAGACGTGACAATCCTGAACCACTGCTTTGACGACATCGAGAAATTCATCGCCAGGTTGCAACATGCGGCAGCCGCGTCCAGGGAACTCGAACGACGACGCAAGTAAGATTTGATAAAATTTTGATTAAACTCTAGTTCTGGCAATCATTTTATTTATTTTGTTTTTAAATATTAATTGTTAAATATAATTAAAAAAATCTTCACATATTGATGAATCAATTTTGCGAAGGAGCAGAAAGTCGAAGAAGAAAGACATGGGTGATGGGATGTTGTCAATGCGCGCAAAACCACCGCCTGAAATGGAGTTTGTCGACATCTTCCAGAAGTTCAAGCTGTCCTTCAACCTTCTCGTGAGTAGAATTTCTGATCAAAAGTAAAAAAGTTGTTAATTTTTGGAACCCAGGCCAAGTTAAAGTCGCACATCCACGACCCGAACGCGCCCGAGCTGGTTCACTTTTTGTTCACGCCTTTGGCGCTGATCGTGGACGCGTCGCACGACTGCACCCACTACGGCCCCAACCTGCCCTCAAAGGTGGTGTCGCCCCTGCTCACCAGGGAGGCCTACAATTTGCTCATCAACTGCGTCACCAGCAAGGAAACTGAGCTTTGGCACTCGCTCGGAGACGCCTGGCTTGTCCCTAAGTAAGTTTAAAAAAAAATTTCTTCAGGGGTGGAATTAAAATGTGTCTTGCGTAGGGACCAGTGGAAGGGGTACGTGGCGCCGTACCACCCTGTCTTCATGGACGGCTGGTCGCCCGACTACCCTGTCAATGACGAGCGCGACGTGCACCACTCTGCCCTGAGCAGTGCCGTGGCCCTGGAGGCGAAACGGACGCGCGGGGACGAAATCAGGGCCGCGCAGCATGAGGCTGAGCTCAGGGAGCAGTACTATCGAGACGATTCGCACTATGGCAGCGACTACTTTGACCACGAGCGCCAGGGTTCATCACCCCACGACGCGCGGTACCACCACGAAGCGCGCAACTACCGTCAGGAGAGGTACAGCAGGGAGGAGAGGTCAGTAAAAAGGACGCTATTTCAGATAGGGATGTAAACCCCAATCACAGACTTTCATGTCTTGAAATAAATTATTTTCTATATTTTTACTGCTTATAAAAAATTATACCATTCTTCAAAAACAATTTTGCTTGTCGGTCAAAACATATATATATCAACTTGAACTTTTCATTTGTGGTTTAGGAGGTCGCACACCCCACCTTCAGAGAGGGACTTTCCTGGAAACAGGGACGTGAGCTCCCGCAGCGACATTTCCGCCGACTCGATTGAGAGAAATGGCGTGACTGGTGGTCTGAGCGAGCAGCAGCAGCGCTTTGAACGGGCCCAGCACATCTGGCTGGACGAACTGCGCTCCAGAAACTGCAAGGTTGTGCAGGTCACCTACCCCAGGACGGCCAACAACGACAAAGAACTCACTGTCGTCAGGGGAGAGTACTTAGAGGTGCGTCTTAAACACAAGGACAAAATTAGAAAGTTTTCACTGTAGTTTGGCTTTAGTTTTTTAACATCAACAATTCTTAAATTATGTTAGAGAATAAATTTGATTCTTGTTAACAATTTTTTTACATAATATTTTCTGTTTAGCTTCTTAAATGTAATTTTGTTCTTTCACCTCAGGTTTTGGACGACACGCGCAAGTGGTGGAAGGCCCGCAACAGCCGTGGACAGATGGCCCACGTGCCCCACACCATTGTGACCCCCCACTTCGACGGCCCCCCTGGCAGCGACGTCTTCAACAACCCCCTTTACGCGCGAGGTTACGGACAGGTGAATCCTTCTTTCCCTTCCAAAAGTAACTAGATTTTCACACTGAATTTTGCGCCAGGAGTCGCCACGAGAAAGCGTGTCCACCAACAACGAAAGGTCGGCACGTTCTCCGCCTCGCATCGGCAAGAAAGGTGAATTCAGATACTTCTAAAAGAGATAAAAACCAATTGTGCAGTGTCTTCCCCTGTCCGTCCAACAACTAAACGAACTAAAATAAAAACAATTCCTCTGTGCGTTGAATTAAATATATGTGTCTTGTGAAGGTCGAGTAGTTGTTTTGCTCGCTTTTGTGCTGTTTATTTCCCATGCCATAATTATACTCTATCGAACAACGGATATTATTTTATGCTCCTGTTTTATGTCTCGGGAACTAGGGGATTAGAATGAGAAAATTATCTTTGGAATTTGTTTGGTTTTACCAAGACGAGTCCAATGATATGCTGGAAGGGTGGGTTCAACAAATTTCAATTGCTGATAACTCCATAATTTCCATAAAATTGAATCAAATCTTAATAAATTTGGAATCGTCTCTGTAAAATCAATTAGAATTTCTCAAATTCAAAGCAATGCAATCCCTTAAAAAATTATTAAATTAGGTTCAAGCGTGGATACAAGTTTAAGTATATATTTTAAATAACTATATATATCTGTCTAGATTTTTTTTTGATTTTTTAATGAATTAATTATTCATGTGTACGCACAACTCAGTATTACGTCAGTGTGTATGTGTGGACGGATCAATCGTGTTTGATTGATTGTCGCTCCATTACTCCTTCCCTTCGCTTTCACCAAAATGTGGCCATAATTTATGTTTTAACAAAAAATAAATAAAATAAAATGGTTAATTACCTTACACGCGCACATGCACGCACCGAGCGCAATTAGCTAATGAACCGTTCGTCTGGCTGCTCCTGGTGTGTGTTTTGTGCCTCCATTTATCAGCAGAGTGTGTGAAATATGCCTATTCCATCGGTACTTCCACTTGATTAATGCGCTTTGTCGGCCCAAAGCGAAATAAAATTGTGACCGCCAATTTCCATTTTCAGGCCAATTTCTAATTAAACGCAGAGTGCTAATTAGATATATATAATCCAAAGATTAAATAGACATTTTTGTACATAATTATAAAACCAGAAAAATTTAAAAAATATTATTTTATATTGATTTTATATCGCGGGCGTTTCTGTGGGAGATGAAGAAATGCAAATATGCTCGGGTCGTTGTGTTTTTTGCCCCCATATATTTTATGTTTCAGTGACGGTGACTGCTTTACATGTATGTATCTTATTGTATACACATTATCAAAACTTGCTTCGAAAAAAGAAACTGCGAATCGAACTGTATTTCTTTTTCTTTTGTACACCAGCGACGGTAACAAATAAATAAAACTACATGTCAGTTGAACCAAAGATCTCTCTCTTTTGTGTCTCTCGCTGTCCCTTTCCATCTAAAAATCCGAACAAATCTAAAAATTGGAAAATTGCCCGAAATTTTGGGAAATCGAAATTCTAGGCAAACAACCAGTTCAGCAGACGAGACCTATTAGGGACAGCTCCAGCTCGTCCGAATCGGAGGAGGAAAGGGTCAAAGTGAAAAAAATCGTCGTCCCCGTCGCAACGCCCGCACCTCCGCCTCCACCGCCCCCAAAGATGCCGCCCCCGGCCCCGAAATTCACGCCTCCGAAGAGCAACTTCAACACCAGCAAAACTCAGAGTGGACGCTCTACAGGTATTTTCCTCCATTTTTCATAGCAAAAATTACAATAATTAAATAAAGCGAGCCGACCAGACATGATGCAGGAGGAGCTGCAGATGGTGTTGTCCGAATGGCGTCGACAGCGACACCTGGACATCATGAAGACGCCCGAGGTGTTCATCGACCAGCAGTCGACGCCTGACGAGGTGCAAGTTTGGCTCCGGGAAAAGGCGTTCAGCGACAAGATCCAGAAGAAGTTCATCTCCATGAACGGTGATGACCTGTTCGCCCTGAAAAAGGACCAGCTCATCAGCTACTGCGGCAGGGAAGAAGGCTCCAGGCTAAACTCGCAGCTCAACCTCATGCGAAACGTGTCTGGAGTAAGGAAAAATACTTGATTTTGCTCAGAACGTGTTTTGGTAAAAAAAAATTTAATTTTCAGTACAAAACGAGGCGGTCTGCGGAACTGAGGGCGATTTTGGCAAGGGCGAGGCAAAAGGCTGAGGCTGGACTGCCCAGGACGGACGTAAGCAGCAGTGACGAGGAGGAAGAGTTGGACGAAGACGAGCACAAGACAAATGGCCACGCTGAACTTTGATTTTTTTTGTAACCTCAAATATTCCGGTGAAATGATTTTAAAGATATCTTGGAAAGGATTATGCAAACTAAAATTAATATAGCTTATGGAACAGTGATTTTAGTTTGAAATAACCTTTCCAATATAGCGTGGAATCAGCTTTTGGCATGAGCTACAATTTTTTTTTTTTAAATCGGATTTGAGGATACTTTAGTATTCGTAAGTAAAAAATGAGCCTATTTAATTTTATATTACTTATTTTGTTGTAATTTACACACAGGGAGGGGGTAGACATTCTTGTACAGAGATTTATTTAAATTAATTGATATAATATACTGTTTAATTAATGCACACGTTCCGTTATTGGAAGAATTGTACCAAAGTCAATAAAATACAAGAAATCACAACCGACCGCGAGACAAATGTGCACAATTCGATGAATGCTCAAATCAGATTCTTTGGTAAATTTTTATATTATCATATTTATACACAAAACGACGATCACAAAAGTTACCTTAAGTTTAAAATGTGTATCTGTTTAATGAATTTTTCTTGAGAAAAATAAAATATGAATAAAAACTAATTGATGCTTACAAGTCTTGGCTTTTTTCAAACGAAAATCTCGCGCTCTTTGGCATTATTGCGATTATTATTGTTTCTTTTTGCGGGAATGCTAATTCCCGAGTCGAGCGAGGACACGGAGGACTCGCCGCCGTCCGTGACGGTTGTGAGGCCTGACGTGGAGTAGTGCTGGGTGTGCAGCGAGTGCAGTCGGCGCAGGACGACCCTGTCGAGGACGTCCACCCCTTCGTCGTCTTCGTCTGCGTCGCGGTTCTCAGTGACGGCGGTCATTGTTTGCGAGCGGCGACATCTGTTCCTCGAGATCGGTGGGTAGGACACCCGTTGTCGCATCAACATGCTCGTGGGGCCCTTCAATAAAAAGTTCAAAACATGAAAAATTCGTTTATTATTCTGAAACTTTAATGTTTTAAGTTTTGATTAAATCGGTAGAGTTCTAAAATAATTAATAATTTGTGTTTTGAAAAAAATCAGACAGAAAAACAATAACGCTTTCAAATTTCACCACATAAAACCAATAACAAGGTACGCAATTTTAAATTATTTGACAGTCTTGTCAGGAAAAAGGAAAAACATTAAATTTTGTATTTACCAATCATATACACCAAATTTTATTTCATTGATGAATCTTTTCCTTTAAAAAGAAAAAATAATTAAATTTCCAATTGGATGACTCAAATTAATTAGGCCACACCGTTGGCGCAAAAAATAAACAAACAAGTTTTAATAACAAAGATTATTTACTAATTTGAAGGTTTTACTCTTTATTGTGAGTCATTAAATAAAAATGCTTGATGTACCTTTTGATTTGACTGCTCGAAGACGTCGTCGTGCTCGGCAGGGTCATCGGCCTGGACGAGGCTGCAGGTGGACGAGGCGAGGGAGGAGAAGCAGCCGTCCGAGTCGTCCGACTGCTGCATCTGAGCCTTTAGCTCATCGATAGAGTCCTGCAGGGCGAAAAACTGCTCGAAAAGTGATGTGTCTTGATCGATCAGGTCCGTCTGAAATAAATATTATATCTTAATAATTTAACTATATATTTAGTCTTCAAAATCGCTCAATTAATTTATTTTCTAGTACGTAAAATTTATTTCTTTTAATTTATCGATCAAATACAAGTTTTTTTTTCAAATTAAATTTTTTTCAGATTTAATAAGTGTGTATTGTGTATTGCAAAATAATCTTCCACTTTGACTTTTGATTGATTTAAAAGCCCTTGAAAAAGCAAAGTAAGATATTAGGTGATAAGAAAAATTGCTCATCCAAAGGTGCTTCAAAAATGAGAGGACAAGAAGAATGTTTTATGATTTTTACACGTTTGTTACTGGTGGTTAATTGAACATCTTATCACTTCTCAAGCTAAAAAAAAGAGCTGACGTACACCAACATGGTGTTACTTTTAAATCCAATGATTGACATTGAATTCGCCAGACGTATGGATAAGCCCCGTCGAATGTTGTTTTTTCTTCTTTCTTTTTGACTCGGAAAAAGTTTTTTTTTTCGCTTGTGTCGACGCCGGGGGATTATTCAAATGAGAGACACGTAACAAACTTTTAAGGGGATCAAACGTGCATTCCAGACGCGAGACGACGGAAGAGAAGCAACTCGGCCGATTGACTAATAATGAGCGATCGATAATCGCGCAAAAGAGAGAACCGGCAGAAAAAAGCGCAAAACTCTTCGAGTGCAGTGAATTGAGTTGACGCGCCGATTATTGAACCGTGCGTGGCTTTTATTTTTTGCACAGTACCGGAAATACAGAAAGCAACAATTGCTGAGTTGAAATAAAACCATAATATATAAAAACTAAAAATGATAAAAGTGGAAAAATGAGCATGTTGCGGCACCCAGTGCAAAAAAAAGGACTTTGAACTTATTTTGATGAGTTTTATTGACGATTAATTTCAAACATAATGAAAAATATTTCTTTTCACCCCTTTGTAAACTAAATTTTGTTTGAAACTGTTAATTTTGGGGAATTTATTTTTTAAATTTAAATCATCATTACTTTTTAATCACTTGTAAATGTTTAATATTCTTGGCAAAATTCGATTTATAAAACTCATAACTCATAAGAATATAAAAGATCAAATAATATTCCATTTGTCCCCTGGACAATGCATAAAATAGAGAAAAAATTTCAATAAAAATGAAAAAAATCGGAATCATTCATTTTAATCATATTTATTCTGGACTTGATTTTCAAAAGTCAATCAATTGGTTTAAAAAAGTTTTAAAAATTTGATTAATATTTAAATTTTTTTTATACAAAACAAAATTAATATTCCAATAGACTTTTTGTTTTGTTAAAAACACCAAAAACTCACAATTTGTGATCGGAGGTGTTGGATTTTGTGGTCGAGTTGGGAGTCGGCGGTGTCCGCATTTGTGTCCTCTGCAGGGAGCCATTTGGACTTGCGGCTTTCGCTCCTCAGGAGCCACTCCTGGAAGAAGTCGTGGCTCCGTTTGTGCCTCATCTTCTTCACTTGCAGGGTCAGGCCATGGCTCTCTGCGTCGCCCGAGTGCTCTGCACCTGCGAACGGTTCCGGCACGGCTTCACTTTTCCCTACTTGCGGCCCCGCGCGGCAAATCCCCTCCTATATATTCTGCCAACAAAAGTAAATAATACTAAAAAAAGCACTTCCAGCAGCAACACACTCATCGATGTGCTTATCTTTTAATGGAGTAATAGTGTCTTAATTAATGTGGGTTAAAATAGAGTTGGAAGTTTCAGCACATCAAATTAAAAATATAATGCTGAGAAGTTTCAATTGGTTTTAAAAATATAATTCTTGATTAAAATAAACTGAAAAAGTAATGAAAAGTAAATAAGTATAAATTCATGAAAAAATGGTATCAAATTAAATAATTTGATTAAAGATTTTTGTGGTAATTTAAGACAAATATGATTGTGAATAAAGTTTATAGGGAGCAAATAATTAAATTGATAAGAAATAAAACGAATTATAAAAAATAAGACACAAAGTGATTTGCTGTTTCGCGTGTTTCTTTTGAAAGAGCTGCGTTTTGTGTTGGCAAACGAACGCAATCAGCTCAAGAGAATTGGGTGCCTAGCCATCATCTATTTTAATGTTCGCGTGCAACGAATCCCTACACAAACGCACACACTCATTTTTCTCACCTTCAAAATAGGTGGCGAAAAATAGGAGCTTGTTTTTGCAAAGGTCAAACTGTGACAACAACAAAATTGAAAAATCTGCCACTTTTAATAATTATCATATTAAAATATAAAGTAAATATTGTTATTATTATTATTATTTATTCTTCTCGGTCAATACAAAAATTTTGCATACTTTTCGAACACTCAAATTTAATTTTATTTATAGTGTATTTCTTTCCGTTAAAATATTCAAAAACAATTTCTAATAAAATTTTTAAAAATATATTTTACATGCAAATAAGATGAGTAATATAAGAACATGTTCAGGTGAATTACCTGGTGAGCAAAGTAATCCTGTGCGCGGGTTGTTTTTTGTGAGTCTTTGCGAGTGGTCGGCTGGCGGTGGACTGGCTTTCAGGCGCTGTTATTTGTTTGCCTCTCCACTCTCAACCTGCATATAAATTGCAAGCGTGGCGGCTTAATTGATAATGTAATCAACTCTGCGCGGCGCACCAACCGCTTCCTTATCACTCTCAACGCACTCCTTTATTTTTATAGGCACAGAGACCCCTTGCTTCGCGATAAAAACACACGAGGAAATTAAAAACCACCAACAAAACAACTTCGCTTCCTTCGTTTTGCGGGCTAAAGTCAAGGGAAAAAGTAAGAAAAATCCCAACCGCAAATGCTAATTAAAGTTTTCCTATTTTTGCTGCAAATTGAAGTATATCAAACAGAATAATATATCATTATTTTCTGAATTCTGATTAAAAAAGATTTAATTTTTTTTTTTAAATTTTCTTAATAATTTAATTATTAAAAAATGGAAATAGTTTTTTAATTATTATTATTTTAATTACTTGAATTATCAAATTACGTTTTCAAAATTTGCAAAAGTATTACATTGGGAGAAACACGTGAGAAAGAAATATCATTGCACCTCAGCCTATCTGTGAATTTACAAGATGATTTAAAGAATCTTGAAAACCAGCCCATTCTAAACAACTTGAAATATTTATTAAATAAGCAATGCAAAAATTTAGATGATTTAGAAGGAAAAATATTATTGTAGTTATTATTAATTTTATTAAAATAATTTTATGTTTCAATGTTTTCTTTCATATTTAAATTTTTTACAAAGAAACAAAACTAAGGCAAAACATTACTTGAACATAATTGGATTAATTTTCATAATTTGTACTAAATAATGTTAGGAATAAATATTTGTGTTCTAGTTTCAATTCCAGCTCTTGCCTTTTGCACTCAAAATTCAAACCCAATCAATTTTCACTTTTTAATTATGTACATGATTAATAATAATAATAAATCAATTCTGAAAGTAACATTGAGCGGCGGAAGGATATTCACATAAAACCTTCTTCTTCTTGCATAAAATGAATCGACACTGTATAGTGAACAATCTGCATCGCGGCAAAGGAATTTTGACGAAAGGAGAGCAAAGTGCGGCTAAACATGTCTGAACCTACCAAATCTGAGAATTCTGGTGCCACCACAGGCGGCTAATATTCTCCCAACAAGAAATTCTCATTTGGCAATGCAGCCCTTACAGGCAACTTAACAAAAATAAATTGCTGTAAAGTTTTTAAGTTTTGCACTACTGAAATGTACTGAAATGCGAGATTAATTAATTTTTTAAATTAACAAAACAATTTTCCGCAATGAAAGACCCGGGAATTCAGTTTATTCAAACTTTTTGTGGAATTCATTTCAATGCAAAGTATTGTTTTGTTGGCGGAATTCTGTTTTGTTCCGCCCTCAGCTTGCCGGCGCAGCCGGCGCTGACCTTGCCGCCCAAATTCCAAAGCGAGCGTATTTTCGTGCAGTTTTTGTGATATTTTGGATATTTTTGTATGAATAATAGACTTTATTTTCCTCAACGATGTGTTTGTGGGCCGATCTCGTTCTCCAAGGTTCAAAATCCAGGGCCGGGAGATGGAGTCCCGGGATGAAAATGTTCCCGAATTCGACCAGAATCAGAATCTTCCATATATCCATAAGGTATATTTTTGTTTTGATAGAGTGGCTGTAATGATTCCTAATTTCGTTCCATTTCATTTCCTAAGAAGAAAAGCTGCCCAAGTGCCGTCAAAGATGGTCGAATTGTAAGATGAGAGGCCAGTACACTCCATAAATGTAACAAATTTCTCGACTGGAAAGTCTCTCCTAATGTCATGTCTGTCATGTCAGTTACCCTCCAGCACCTTGCATCTGGAAAGACTGGAATCGTTCTTCGGGATTTGCAGGCTAACATGTGACAGTCCTGGGAGATGTCGAAGGGCACAGGGGGTGCAGCAAACACATTTGACTGGAATCCTTTCTTCAGAGAAGAGGCCAAAACCGGCCTGAGGCCTGATAGACTGTGAATTTTCTTCTTTTCAATCACATAAGTAAGTTTTTGATTTTACACTTCTACTCAAAATAAAAAGGATTTGCCATGCTTGGTTACATTTTTTTTCTCAATTAAATCCTGATGATTTTTTTTTTTATTTCTTTAGAAAACTTGGATAAAATAATTTAATTTTTTAAATGGATTCAGTTACCATTCCTTATTTGAATAAATTAATTAAAATTTCAGTTGGTTGAGCTGCAAGACTGCAGAGAATCTAAATCAAAGGGAACCTTTTGAAGACATGAGCCCCCAATCACGAGGACAAACCCCATCATCAGAGCAGCAAGCCGGATATCATCTTTTTGGCACTTTTTGCACAGACTTCTGATGAATAAAACAGAAGGTAGGACAAAATAATTTATTTAAAAGTTTAGGGTGACATTTTTTATTTAAAAAAGAAAAATTGTGCAACTTATTCACATCTTTATTTTGTCATGCAAAAAGCGACAGGGACGAAACAGTGTTTGAGACACTAAATTATCCCGGTCGGGGATAACTTATTTGATCGCCCAGGGACCTTTGCAGCGTTGCGAAAATGGAGTTAGTCGAAAGTTTAATCTCGAGTTGTGTGACACGTCTTGTTACATGAGTTGGAACATGTTCGGTTGTTCTGCCAGCCGTTCTCGCCTTCAGTCAAACACATTTTTCAGCACAAGTGGGCACAAGGCCAGCGCGAAAGTGAATTTGGCACCGCAGCCTGCCGATGATGAGATCGCGCGGCCCGAATTTATGGCCCCGAACTAAATCTGATGGAAATTTTATTTCCCTGCCAAAAGAGGTGCGGAAAAAATGAAACAAATGCAAGGAAAAGAATAGTATTATTTTTTTCACATAATTTTCGGTTTCGAGTCAAAGTGACCTTTTAATGCCTTGGGAAGATAAATATATCAGAGATATTTAATGCTGCTAAATAATTAGTGAACCCCCAGTGAAAATAAAGTAGCAAAAGTCATTGCATGCAGATTAAACCCTGACCTGAATTTGAAAATAAAAATTAGGCATTTTATTCCACAAGAGGATTAAATCAAATGTTTAAATGAGACAAAAAGCACCATTGAGTAAATTGAGTTTAAATTTTTATCAATTTTATTTTTTTTTTTTTGTAAATGAAACTGAAATATTTTTAATTTTGAAATAATCATATGTATGACAAATGCAGCTCTTCGCGCAATTTGAAAAATGTCAGATGTGAATTCTGCGGTTGTGGTTATAATCCTACAATGAGAACGGAAATCAAGAGAAGGGAGAAGGCTGAAATAATTTTAAACTGGAAATTAATGAAAGAATACATAATTATTAAAATGAAAATTTTTTAAAGTTGTTTTACTCACATTATGTGAATATTTCTAGAACAATAATTTATTAAACCATTTTCATTTGAAACATACACAAAATATTGAAGAAATGAACAAAAAGGTTACTATATTACGAGTAGAAATAAATCAAACTTTATAGGGGCTCTTTATTGGCATTGTCACATCAAGTATTTACAACTTTAACTGGAGTCATTATTTTTGGCAATTGTTGGAAAATGAAAATAATAATTATAATCTAAACACAATTGTTGTAAATACTTGATTTGACTTGACAACGAGTTCAAAATACTTATAAATTACTTAATTACCTTTTTTTTAAATTTTAAACAACACCGTTAGAAAATACAAAAATTTATAAAATCCTGATACTGATTTCATTAGATCTGAAAAAGCAACAAAAATAAAATATTTCCTCTGTGTGTTTTCAGAAAATTCATGCTCGTTAATATCCTCTTTATTTTCAAGCGAGAGGGTTGAAAAAGATACAGTTTTATCGAATGTGTAAAAAGGCAATGTTTTACTAATTTGAAATATAAAACCGGTCCAAAAAAGTTGGTTCAGAATTTCCCTTAATTTGGTTAAAAGCATTTTCCACCGTTCATTTTATATTTTTTGGGCGCCGCAAAAATATCCAAAGGGGTGGATTTAGTACTTTGTGTCAGAACGGCTTTTTGCTCAGAGGATTAATTCGCAATTATTATTATGATGACATGCGTGGTGACGACAAACTTAATTACATGCCAACGCGCCGCCTACACGTTTGCGTGCAAAAATTGATTTTCTTTTTTAATTTTGGAGGAAGAAGAAAGTTTTTGTGCAATCTGACGTTGGTTAGGTCTTATTAAGCAGGCGCGCGCGAATAATATCAGAGAGCGAGGCGCAGAACAAGAACGTGTGTCGTCCCTAGGGAAATTAGTGGGCGAGGTCGGCCAATTTGTCGCTCCGACTGTTAGAGTGCGAAACTTGTGCAGGATTATTTTTCGCTAATGCCTCTAATAAAAGCAGCAGCGGCCCAAAGAAAGAAAGAAAGAGAGGCACAAAGAATGAAAAAACCCTGCTTTTTTCTGCTCAAATACAAAAACGATTTTGTCCTGCGTAAAACCAGAGAATAAAAGAAAAGAAGAAAAATCAAGGAATTTTGTTGATGTGAATGAAAATTGTATGTTTAAAGACAAAAATGCTATTAATTAATATTCGTTACGTTGATTTTTGTATTTTACTTTTAAATTATCATGAAAATCGTGTAAAATGAGTTGGAAATTTTAATTCTTTCTTAAAGTGTTTTTTTTCTGCAAATGATACTATCAAATGATTTTTGTTTCAAAATGAAATAATTTTTTTTGCATATTTTTTCTTCTTCTGGAAATCTGGCAGCCATTTTTAAAAAATACATCTTGGAAAGAAAATTCTGAGCAAAATCTGAAAATTAAGGCAATTAAATTACAGAATTTCAGTGCAAATTTATTAAATTTGAATACTAATTTTAGCTTTTACATCTCTAAAATCAATATTCATAATTGTGTGTGCGTTTTCGTGAAGTTGAGCGCGTTAATTGTTGCTCTAGCTTTCCCTTTTAAGGGTTGAAAAAGAGAATTAGTCTCATTGAATGTGTGGAAAGACCAAATATTTTCTTAACCAAAACACTGAAGGGGTGCGAAGGGAAATGCGCGTACACTTCAAGTGGCGTGGCTAATTGGATGAGAGTACACGTTATGCAAATGTGAAGGGAACCGAAGCGAAAACGGCAAAGCAAGAAAGAAAAAAAAAAGAAGCCAGGCAAGGAGCAACAGCGCTAATTATGTTGGCAGCAGCCAAAGCAACAAGCGCCCTATTCTCAATTCAGCTCGCGGCCAAAGATGGGCTGAAAAGAAATTCAGCGCTTTTGTCTTTTTCAACCCTACTTCATAATCAAAATGAAATCATACAAAAGCACAGTAAGGGAAAAGATGTAAAATTTCAATAATTTTTCAAAAACTGAAAAGAAATTTACATTTAATTAAATTTAAGGATAATTTTGAAAAGTCCCTAAACATTTAAAGGGGATTTAGAACTTATGAATAAATACTTTTTTAACTTATTTCCTTAGATTTTTTAATTGATATTGAAAGTTATTTTAAGAAATAAATCTGATATGAATTTTATGAAAAATAAACAATGATGTGAAAAAGTTCAGTCATTAATCATCATCATTATGCAATCGCTTTTTTGTCACTTTTTAAGAAAAGAGCTGCAGACAACTTGAAGCAGGCACTTGAGATCAAGTCATTACTGCGCACGGTGGAAGTAACAGCGAGGGCGGAATCGTGTCTGCTTCCCCATTCCACCCCGTTTTACAGAGACAATAAAGAGAGCTGGCCGTGCGGCGACAAAGGCGAGTTAACAAAGGCATCCCTTCCTTTGGCTTGACCGAAAGAGAGACGACGTCTGAATAATCTCTGGACTTCTTCCTTAACCCCCGAGTCAAAAGAGTTGTAAACGAAAATGGGGAGGTGCCGGCCGGCCAGCGACCTTTTTGCCACCCTGCACGCTACTTTTCTTTTTTTGTTCTGATACGCCTTCCGTTACACAAAGTGTATACGCGCGCGGCACAGCCGATGGAACTTATCAATATGCTGATGCGTCCGCCGACCGTCCCTGTCAGGTACGGACTGTCCACCACAAAATAATTAGAAGTAAAAAAATTCCGCGAAATTAACCAAGAAAGTTGTTCGGAAATATTAACAATGATTGAGAAAAAAAGTTTCTCGGACATTTTATTGAAAGCTGTAATTTTCATCATACAATCGGAAAGTGGTGGGGACAAATGTAACCATCAATCAGAGCAGAATCAGAGGAAAAAAGTTCTTTATTGATCATCTAATTTGAAACATTTCAATCAAAATTTATGCCTGGCTTTGAGTCCTTTCAATAGCATTAGTTTCATTGATTTTATGTACAGTTTTATTTAGTTGAAAATAGTGAAATTAAAATTTTCTTCCTGATTTTAGGCAATTTTGGACTCCAGTCCGTGCCTGTGTTGGGAATAGCCTTCGGAGGGAAATGTGCGTGAGCTGCTGAATGTGGCGGATTCCGTAGCTCTTTCAGGCCTCGCCGAACAGGAGGCAACTAGCGGCCTCGGGCAGATCTCTATACTTTTCGCCTCCCGTCGCCCCGCTTCCATTTTTACATAAATTTTACTGCTCTCGATAGTCCATTTCCGAGCGGCGATAGCAAAAAATATACTGAGAGCTAGAAGCGCCCCTTTGCTGCTTTATTTTCAGCCAAATTTGTGGCCAAAGAGGAGCGTTTGCAATAAAGTTGTAATGTTTGCTCTTTTATGGGCGGGATGGGGAAAATCGCAATTTCCAAGGCCAATTTTTCTGATGGATTTCTGCGGAAAACTAACAACAGTTTTTGTCAGTAGAATAGTAAAAAAATCCGTTTCTATTAATATCAATTATTTTTACTTTGTATGTATAAATTTATTTAAAGGCTCTAAATGATAGAAGTTTTTTTATAATTTCTTGTGAAATAAAACGACTGGGCAGCACTTTTCGCAGTCGCGCAACTTTTCCAGTCGGCAAAGTTGAATTCTAATTAAACGGACTGAATAAATAATGAGCTCCAATTAAACGCGACCGTCGGTCGGTTTTGTTGAAGAGGGCGTCCTCTTGAGAGTGCGGGTCGGAACTTCTCGATATATATGGCAGATATCGACTATTCTCCGAAATGATTGGCACCCCCCTTTTGCAGCTCCAGTGCGCGTGGTGTGCCCTGAATATCTTGGTCGGTTCCGACGGCCGGCCGGCTCATTTCCTCTTTCGGCACCACGCGCCATTTTCAAATAAAAGGAAAAGAGAAAGGCCCCTTCAAACCGAGATGAGGCGAAAGAAAGTCCGTCGGCCGGATATGAACTGGCACTGGCGAATCAACCAGCACCCTCTTCATACGGGCCGAATGCGAAATAACGCATGCAAAATCACTAAATAAAACGATCATTTTTTTGAAATAAAAAATACTGGAAATAATCCATATTTATCCATCCATTAATTAACAGCACCGAGATGACTTTTCACAAATCCTACCTAAAAAATTAAACCGTGGTAAAATCCCTGAACTTACATGGCGCACATAGATGGTTTTTAGCCTTTTCACAAATCAACCGATCTGCTTTGTTTTAATTAAATAATTACTTACAGTTTATCTATCTTTTTTTCTTACAACTCGATTTTATGAACATTCGGGAAAAAAGCGAAATAATAACTTTTAAAAGCTATGACCCTGGTGGTTTAAGGTGTAAAAACCTGACATTTTTAAAGTTCTTAATTATATCTGATTGTTAAAAGCTGAAAGACGATTAAATTCAATAAATGAACTACTTGTATTATTTGCCACATTTTTTTTATCACAAGGCCAAATTGAAATTTTTGATTTTCAATGAAAAAAATTTCTCAAGAGCGAGAAAGATGTCACTCGCCTTTCCCGTATGCTGAGCGTGCCTTCTGCAAGGGAGCTCAGATTTGGCCCGCGGAAATCCACGCGGCCGCACTGCCGAGTCGGCGGGACGGGAGAGGCTAATTTTCGATTTATTGCCAATACCGGCGGTGGCAGCGGCATTTTGATATAAATCACTGTCGGCCGCCTCAGCAACGCCGTGAAAATTGCAAATTACGTGTACAGCGATTTGTCCGCGCGGAATTTATTGGACCCTTTGTGGCGCCAATCGATCCAGCACTTCTATCTCCCAACTTTGCTCTTTCCGCCGAAAACTCAAATTCTCAAAACTGAAAATTAGAATTTGAAAGAAATACAAGTTTTATTTACAGCAGATTCGCAAAGCATTGAAACGGATGCTCACTTTTCTTAAAATCACTTATATTTTCATTTTCCATCAATTGATTTAATTCTGAAATTTTTGTTTGAATCTTTATCGTGATCTTTTCACATTCATAGAAACAAATTACCCGTCGATAAGCTTTGATGCTAAGTTCTATTTTTATATTGAAATTCGCTACACTTAATTCATTAAATTTTCCAATTTGCCAATCCAGATTTTATATTTTATTTTACGGCGTGCTGCGTATGTACTAATAACTGCAGACCATTGTGATTTGAATCAAGTGTCAGCTGAACTGGAAGAGCACTCTGTGCAATCTAATTAGTGGACGCGCGCGCAATTATTATGATTTGAACGGCGATAATTGCGTCAATTAGCGATGGGCGGGCGTGTGCGCGCCAATTGAAAATTACACGTTCCGAGACCGCGCCACTCGTGAAAGAATTCAAGCTCTCGTGGGTATGCAACCGGCCGGACGGTGGTGTCGTGCGGGAAGTCGATCCGGAATCCGATCAGGCGTCGACCGAACTGGAAAAAGTGGCTTTCGGCCCCAGCAGCTCCTCGCACAGCGAAAATTTCTGAACGTTGAAATTGAAAGGATATTTAATAATAATTCTTCGGCTTAATTATTTTTTCCAACAACGGAAAATTTTAATTAAAAATTCAATTAAATTCAATCTAAAATTTACTTTCTGCGCATATTTCAATTAGTTTTAATAGTTCAATCCCTTGAATCCCTCAAAGCAGATTTATTTAAACAACTTCAGAATATTCAAAAACTGAAAGCTCCGGATGCCAAATTATATAATTATTATATAATTGTTCGTAATTGCCTATCTTAACGAGAAGATTTCAAATTTTTATCACAAGGATGATTTTGAAATTGAAAGTAACGATCAATTGGATTATATTTTTTACTTCCAAAATTACAACTGTTTAAAAATTTAAAAATCTTCATAAAGTTTCATCCAAATATTAGTTTAAATTTTAAATTCAAAAATAAGCATAATATGTTGAGAATAATTCAAAACGTGAACTTTTTGTATTTATTTATTCCCTTATTGTTAGGAATATCTTTATTTACAATTTTTTTTTGGTGTGAATGGATATTTCATCTGGTTTTGGTTTTGATTGATTGACACTATGCGAATGGAGAATTTTGCGATTCATTTTGCGTGCGGCTCAGAGTACTCGCGGGTCCGTCCGACAACAGATGTTGTGTGTTTGCGAAATGCTGTGTGTGTCTGTATCGGGTGCGCGCGCCAAAATAAATAGCCTGTTGTGTGTATTTTGCAGAGGCGCAATAACACGGCCGGCGCTGTTTGGTTGTGGGTGGCCCTGTTACAATGCGCCCCCCGGCCGGCTTATTGATCTGCTCACCTCCCCACACTATATGCAACCAGCGTCCCTCTAATGCGTCCCGATTGCCCATCCACCGTGTGCATCCGTCAGTATCACGGCTAGTGTGCGTTTCGCGCCCCACATTCCACTTCAGCCAATCAATAAAATTCCTCTAAAAAATTCACAAAAAAATCATTGGTTCGTGCCGCAATTTTATAAACTAAATCCTTGCGAATTTAAATAAATTACATAGCGAGTCTAAGAAACGCTGTTAGGGAAAAATTATGAAAATTTCAGGGTTTATTGTAAAGTTTTTGTATTTAGTTGATCAAATACAAATTTCATATATATTTTTGTAACAAAAGAAATTATTTTATTCTTATTATTATGTTAAAAATATAAATTTGTAATAGTTCAAACTACAAAATGATTTAATGATTTGAAAGACTTTTTATCTTTCAATCCTTATCTATTTCACGTTAAGCTCTTTGCGTTTTTTTTTTAACGGTTGTCAGGATTTGTAAATAAAATCCGAGCAATCAAACACTTTGTCCACAAAAGCAGCGACACCCAATCGGAGAAATTTGATTACAAAGAGCGCTCGGAAACAAGTGTCATGCGAAAAATCAACTTTTTCACATTTCGCCTGTGAATAAAAACCAGAGGGTGAAACTGACGCCGCTGACGTCACTGTGTTGTAGTGTGTATGTTTGCAGGCCCTTCACACTACACGGACCGTTGGACGGACGGGCGGACGCTTGATTAGTGCACGCATTGATCGGTCCAGTGACCATATTTGGCCTGCAGAGTCAGGCATTCCGAACTCAACTCCAAACACCAGTAAACAGAAATCAAAACAAAACAGTAATCCACATTCGAATATGTTTTCATGGTAATGCAAAAAATTTGAAAAATGATCGGTCTTAACGCATTATTTTTAACTTTGTTTTGAAATGTAGTATTTGGGGGTGGGGGCATTGTCTTTACTTTGGCGTCCTTTTAATAATATATTCAATTATTTATCCTTGATTCACGTATTTTTCAATCCAATTTCTACATAATTTGCAATTACAAATAATAAAATTATTAATTTGATCCCCTTTGATATAGAGCTAATAAAAATATTCTCAAAATTTAACACATTTTTTAAAATATAATTTTATTCTTGCTCCTTCTTTAATACAGTTGTTGAAATTGTGTTAAAATAAATTTGCAAAATATTTTTGTTTTGGAAATTTGGAAAATAATAAATTAGAGACATAAGATCAGTCAGTGTTTTCCGTTTTGCAGAGTGATTTTTCTTTTCGTAATTTGGAGTCGATGAAAGAAAAGCCAATTCAATCCCTTGCACCTTTTTCTTGGCCTTGTTTGTTTTGGAAGGGTCTGTGGGCTCAGCAGCCAAAGGAAAGGAAGAGAATTTGCGACGACCCTCTTGTTATCACTCGCCACCAAACGGGAAGGGAAAGAAAGAGACGCTGCTGAATTTTTCATATTTATCTGACCTTTGAAACTCTTCAGTCATCAGTTTGAGAAGAAAAAGAATCAAACTAGGTCCAAAGGTTATCAATCGCTCTTTTTATGATGTTAGGCCCTTTTTTTGTTTAACACAAGCTTATTATGCACGAGTGGTATTTGAAATGTATAAACGGTATGAAAAAAACATCATTTATTGATTTCGTGGGAAAAAATACAGGCATTATTTTAGTGCCGAACGATTCATTTTTCACCTTTTATATTCATCTCGTTTTTAATTTTCATTAGTCAAATCTTTGAAGTAAAAACTATAGTTATGAAGTAAAATTAAAAAATTATCTTATCTGAAATATTTATTTTTATTGTATTTCATCAACATATAACATAATTATAAGGATTTTATTTTTTGACTGAAACTTTATTCAGTAAACTTTCATTTTTTTAACTTCAAGAGTATTGTTACTTATGCAAATTTCAAGTCTCTTGCAATTCCTTAAAGTGCGGATCTCTTTATAAAATATTGTTTGAGAAAAAGTGTCTTCTTCTTTTTCAAAATAAATTATATATAATTGATCAATTCCTTCTTTTCTTTCGGTACAAATTTTACAATTAATTGTCCTCTATTTGAAACTGAAATGCGTCTATAAAAGCTGTAGATCCTTTGATGTTTTCAATTACAGCAGCTTGTTGACCACGACGGAGGTCTGGAGTGATTGCTAATTCATGAATTCCAGAGAGGTTCATTAAATGTTCCATCCTAAATTGTTGACCGTAACCCAAAAATGCAAAGCTGTACAGCAATCCATCAGATTGAATTTGTACAGGTGGGTTAAAGAAGCTAGAAACTATAGTACCAGACTCTGACCCGTAGCAGAATGTACTAGAAATCTGAATAAAGGAATATTGGTTGTTATTAAGCAAGTGGGACATAGCAAATTTGTAGTGTCCTGGACATGGTTCAACGAAATTGGTTAAATCCTTCAAATGTATGCCAGTGAGGAAAATTTTCCCTTTAAAAACAGGAGGAGTTCGCACACTCAGGCCAATCGTCGCATTATTGAAATCTCTAGCTAATGGGAAATAGATTTTTGAAGTACATGGCCCTGGCTGATTGCAGCAGATGGTCAGCTCAGAGGGTTTCTTAAATCTCAAGTCTTTCCTTCGGCACAGGTGCCCTGGGAACAACTCTAGATTTTCCGTTTGAAAGGCGAGAAGAATCTTAAGTTTTTCGTCACTTGTAAGTCCGTTGTCTTCCTGGGCACAAACCTCAAGCAGTTCTTTGCCCTCAAAATTCAAGAATCTGATCAGCGTAAGAAATTCTTCGATCGACGAGTTCATCGATCTTCCCCACCGCTGCAAAGCTTTGAAAAGGTCAAACTCGTCAATAGACAGGTTTTCTCTGGTAAGCACTTTCTTGACCGCTTCTTTGGAACAATTTTCCCAGCTCGAGGATGAAACAACGTGGACGGTCTGTTTTTCAATTATCTGCAATTCATAAGTTGAATTTATTATGGAGAATAAGCATAAATGAAAATGGAATGCAAACCTCCCAACACTCCTGCAATCCGTCTGGGTGTCCCAATCTGATATGCATGCCCAACACCAGGAGTACGTTTGAGGCGTCCAGATTTTGCATCGAGACTGCGGATGCTGCCTTGAAGAGCTGCTGCATTTGCCACAAGTGTGCAAAAGTACATATTTCTGGTGCCAGTTCCACGTTCCTCTCCAATTCCGCTGCGTTCCCGTACAAGAATCTGCAACACAAACTGATTGGATATGTCTTCCTTCAACTTTTGCAGAGTCATACTGCAATGCGATGTCAAAGGCTTCGACGGAAACGTCATTGATGTTAAAATCGTCATCTGGACCTAAGCGAGTCTCAGCCAGCATTCCGTTGTAAAAAGCTCTTTCAAAGACTCGGCTACTCTTGATCAGAATCAGCTTGTGGCATTTGAACCTCTGAAAGCAATATTGTCTCTCTCAGGGTCGAAGTCTCATTCTTTGCAACCAAAAGTGGTCATTCAGTAGAAAAAGTGATGCGAGACGCTCGAACATTGGAAACAAATTTTCAATGAAAATTTTAAACCAGTCTTGAATCACTAATTAAGAAGAGGAAATGCGTTTATTTATTATTTTTATTTAATTTACTTATCAATGAAGTTAATTTTAGTTTAAAGCAATCCTCTTTGACATAAATGAATCATTTATTTTATTTTGTAAATTTCAACAAATTCAAATTAAATTGAAAGAAAAACAGACTTATGTTGCGTGAAATAAAAAAAGTCTACAAAACTGTAACGGTTTTAGGGTGAAGTTTTCCATACCCTGTCTCCAACTCTAAGGGTGCAGTCGTAGAATCTGCCAGTTTTTAACAAGTCGAGCAGATCATCATTTGGATTTCCGGTTAGACTCAAGGAGGCAATCGAAGGAACGTTTGCCATGGTGGTGAAGCGCTATTTTCACTGAAAAATCAATGAGTGAAGGAATGAGCTTCTATTGAAAATATCTAGCTTATCATGCTGATAAGATTCTTGGTGTACAAAGATTATATTAAAAGTCTACAGTCATTTCAAAAGTAATATGTGTTCTGTGTAAATATTTGCCAGCTGATAAGGAATTTCGTCTCCAAGTCAGATATTTCAATTTCTGTAATATTAAAAAGCAAAATGAAAATTTAATTAGATATTTAAAAAAAAAATAACCTATTAACAGATTCCAACTCCCATGAGTGTCACCGAAAAACTGACTTCTGGTTGGAACCTTTGAATGCTTAAAACTGTTAATTTTTTCCCGGATACAATTTCTTTTAAACCGTTGCAAACTTTGAGAATTTCTATTTGGAGCATAAACTATGGATTTACCAAAATCTGTATTTCTTGCTTCGACATCCAATTTTTAGTTCAATAAATGTTTAAATATATGTAACCTGATTTGGAATTAATTAATTAATTTATTATTGACCATGACATAGAAAGCCAGTTATTCTATATTGAATTTAATAAGAGTAGGAGTGTTCTTGTTGTTCTGTTACGCAGAGAACCGATCAAGAGTGCGCGCCTACTTTGCAAGGCTAATTGCATATAAGCGACTCGGTTCAGCAAGATCAAAGCGCTCGCGTTTAGTCGCTAAAGTGAAGAATAAAAGCCCAGAAAAGCAGGAAAGGGGGATGCAAATTACTCGCGTTGAAATATTCATCTCGTGGGACGCTTTCTTTGTGAAAAGAGGGAGCTCTTCAATCGCTGCGATCCAGCACCTAATGAAAACTGAGTATTGTATCAATAATTCAGACAAAAAACTTGCTGCTCTGACTGAAAGTTGTAGGTCAAATTGCTTCTTGATAAAATTTAATACACTTATTCGCTCATTTTGGGAATTAAAAAAAAAATAAAAAAAAATAATAATAAACAGTAAAAGAATGTCGAAGGTTTACAAATCAAATAATATTTGTTTTGACCGGAATTTTTATTTTTATTTTCAAATTAAATTATGTATGTTTTTTAAATCATTCTTTTATTTGAAACTCATTTGAGTACAAACTTCAACTTAACTAAGAGAATTTTACAAAGCAGTTTGTAATGTGGAGCGCGATACGTCATTTATTAAAATTCAACTATCTATTTTATTGTGAAAGTGATAAATTTCTGAAATATAAACTTAGAACGGAATTGAGAGTCAAATCCTATTTTTAAATACTAATAATGAGTTTGAGGATTTGCCCTTTTGATTTAGAGGGAAGACCAGTTAAGGGGTAGGGGGATGAAGCAGCCCCGAGCGCATGTGTAGCGCGTTCGCCGGCAGAGGAAGGAGCGTGTCAGTCCAGTCAGTCTTGGCTTCTCGCACGGCTCCTTTCTCCACAGCCACTCTCGCCCACCCCACGTGCTTTATCTCGCGCGCCAAAAACTCGCAACGGATTTTTTTCTGCTCCGACGACACAAAGAAAGACACGCACTCATGACAATTTCGCCTACGAACTGCGCTTAGACACAGGTCAGAAATTTTTCAAATTTCTAAACAAATAACAATTTTTTGTGATTGAAAAATATTTTAAATTGCAACGATATTACAGGGGAAAAAATTACTTAAAAATATATACAGCTTCTGCTAATTATCAAATAAAACATGGAAAACTTCACGTAGCAATTTTAAGTTTTAAAATTTACAATAAACTTAATTGTCTTCTTCCTTTAACATGTTTTGTTATAACTAATATTTTATTTTTACTCTTTATCAATAGCAGTAAATTATGAAATAAAAATTGTTACGAAGTGCATAAAAAGCAATTTTAATTTGAGGCGGAAACAAAAATTTGATTTCATTGTTTTTCTTTTTCATAAGAAGTTCACTTCTGTAAACATGAAATTTGAAATTTTTTGCATCATAATGCAAGTTTTTTGAACGTGGCTAACACATTTTGGAACCCAATTATTCACAAGATAATTGTAATTTTTTAACTGATATTTTTGAAACTCGGATTGACCTTTTTTCACTGAATAATATGAAATGGTTTTGGATTCTTAAATTTAAATGAAAATGGAATATTATCAAATTTGAACACTTTGAATTTTTAAATAACGATCTGTACTTTATTAATTCCGAAAATAAGATTGAAAATTTAATCGATTTTTTGCCTTAAAATTTATAGTCCAGGATCTGAAATCCGATTTTTCCCCTGCGGAAATAGTAATTAAAAAGATGACTGCTTTAATTTATTTTGGTTCTCCTTTTCATGAGCTTTTCAAAATTACACCTCTTCCCATACTTTTTTTATATTTGGTCTGCTCGCCCTTCCCCTTCTTTCCTGCGCGCAACAAACTCAAAATTAACGCCGTGTGCACAAAAAAGTTGAAAACTCTGCGTCTTTTCTCTCCCTCTCTTGTGTTAATGACGGCGAGAGGATGATTATTATTATTTCTCAATTGCTCTCCCTCACTTTTTTTTCTTGCTCAGAATTTTTAATGACTGCGTCGCTCTCACATTTTTTTTTCGCAAATGGAATCGCGTTGCCGGAGAGTGAAGAGGAAGAATTTGCGAGGCGAAAAAAATTAAAATTTTCTCATTTCTGCGACGACTCTTCTAAAAATTCTACTAAGTAATTTAGCCTTTAGTTTATTGCTTCTTCAAATCATACTATTTATTGTTATTATATACTTAATAATTTATTTATAATGAGGAGTTTGGAAAGGTGACTCTCACAATCAAAACTTCATTTTTTATTTAATAAAAAAAAAAAAATGAAATAAAGCTTAAAATAAAAAAATTTTATCTGCTGAATTTTTTATTAGCAAAATCCATCTAGTTGTTTTGCAACTTTTAATGATTTTCAATTGCCCCTTATTTATGTAGACTTGTAGAGCATATTTTTTGTTTAATTTTTTTTAACGATGTATTTAAAAAAATTTATCTGTGGCCGCAACCGCAGAAGGAAGTAAACATATTTACCCACTTATACTTTCATTCACGTGTTTCAAGAATCTTTTAAAGCCTACAGAAAATCAGAAATACAAAAATTATGTTATCTAAAATGCAATTATTTCCATATTATTTTGTATCATAATAGAGGTGATTTAGAAGATAAATTATTTCTTACTTCAATAATTTATATCTATTTTTTTTATTCATTTCTATTAAATTCTATCTAGATATATTCAGGATTATAAACAATTAGAACTTTAATTTTCATTGTTATGTTCAAATTGAACAGAAAATTTTTATTTTTGGGGGAAAACAAATAATTTTATTGAATGTATTGAAAGTTATATTCCATTTTTATTTCAAGTTAATAAAAGATAACAAAGCGTTGCATTCAATAGGTTGTTCGCAGACAAAATTGTAATTGTAATCGCACGGATTCGTGCTCAGTTTCTTGTCTTCATACCAAGTAATATAAACGCAATCCTGCGTCTTGTTCGCTTTGTTCGACCACAACGGGCTGTTTAATTCCAGTTTCAATCCATCGTGCCAACGGAAGTTCTTTTGACTTTCGCCCTCGGAATTTCGTGCCGACACCCACCAAGCGGTTTCTTTTAAAAATCAATAAAAATAATTCCGAAATTTCTTTCCATTTTTGACTTACTGCTTCCTACAATTTTCTGGGCCTCGTCCGTCACCACCCTGAAGTCGTTTGAATCTTTCAGAGAGGCCAAGTGCAGACCTTGCCTGTTGCAGGTCTCTTTAGCCACAGACCACGCAACCTATCGGTACCAAAATTTGTGTGAAATCTACAATTTTTAAAAAGAGAATCAATGTTACTTGGGTGTCATTGAACGAGTACTTCTTGCCGTTCACCAACGTCACCAGTTTTGCCGAATCTTAAAAAAGGGAAAAATAAAATCTTAGATCTGATGGTCATTCATGTTTTAAATAAAATGAACAGGACAATTTTAATTTTGAAAATTTAAATCATATTTTAGGCAAATAATGTTGTGATTTTTTAGAAGAATTCGTATAATTGATTTGATCTTTAAATTAATTAAGATGATCTAATTAAAAATTAACCAACATGTCATAGTTTCAAAAAGCTATAGAAATTATATATAAAATTAGTTTTGATTTTATCTCAATTGTTTCCATATTATTTCTAGGTTCATTTTTTATTATTTTTCTACTCACTGCTGAGTTTGCAATCGGCCGGGTGTTTTAATATCTGGAATTTAAAAAAAATTGTGCTTTTTAATGTAAAAAATTTAATATTTTGACCTGCTGCTGAAATTGTTCTTCCAATTCGTTCAACGTTTGGTTAATATTCTTCAGCTTTTGCGCCAACTCATTCCCGTCCTGTATACTCTGTGAAAACATTAAATATTTTCAAATATTTAGCATTTTCCACCAAAATCAACAGTATTCGAATTTCAAATATTAATTCTTTATTTTTTTTGCTTCACTTACTTTAGCAGTGAAGAGGAAGTAGTGAAGCAGGTTGACGCCGATTAAGGCTAAGGCGACAAAAATGACAACGACGACAATGCAGACCGACCGCTTCATGTCTTCCTTTTCCTTGGGGGCGTTTGGGGCAAAGGGGGCTGAGGGGGTTCTATTGAGTAGCTCAATAGGAGCGGAACTGTAATTCGGGGACCCCCTTAATGAATATGGCACGTCGTATACTTCTTCCTCTGTTTTCATATTTGAAATGAGCTCAAATAGAACAAAACATGTTTTTATATTCCTGAAAGGCTAAGAGATAAAATGAAGTCAAAACCACAAAACCATTTTTAACTTGTGGAATGAGAGAATTATCCTTTTCCTATTTAACAAAATTTGATTGAACTATTTATTAAATTACTCCGAGTAGTCACAAAACTCCATGATTTTCATGGAAAATTTCAAAGAAGCCAAAACAAATTGCAAAGAAACTAAAATGTCATTTTTTTTTTAAATTTTACGCAGACCTTAGGTATTTTTATTACAAATTGAATGCTCTTAGATGAATAAAATGTGAGTAAAAAGTAAAATATAGGATGGATGTGTGTTTGAATTTTGAAAATTGTGTGGAGAAATATGAACCGTGGAAATGAATACAAATTGGGTGTGTCGCGCGCGCAGGTCTGTCGAGAGAATAATTCATGGTTGGTCACCATCCTGCCTATGGGGGTGTTGCTTGCGAATTCAGCGGTCAAATTTTATGCAAATTGGCGCTAGCGAGTGGCGTTTGACCCTAGTGGGCTTTGGCGCCGCATTTGCATGCAAATTGAAGGGCTTGTTTTCAAAAGATTATTCGCAGTGCCACAGATATTGGCCTTCAAATATAATAATAATAACGCGCACAGGGACAAGTTTCGGAAATGCGCTGGCCAAGGGTGACACCCAATTCCCATGATAAGCTGAAAAATATTTTATCCACAAAAATGCTGTGGGAGAAAATTCCTTTTCTACGGAACTAAAAAATACAACAGAAGTAAGATTTCCAGTTTTTTTCATGAATCATCGGCAAAAATCAAAATTAATGAAACGAGTTTAAGGAAATGATTTGTACTTTAGTTCATTGCAGGATTAGTTTGTGCATTTGTGGATTTCTTAAAATTTTTCATTGCGACAAGAAAATTGATTCTTAAAACGTGAATATTTGAAATAAATTTCGGCACTAACTTTTCCCGAATTGAATTTGATGCAGTTCTTTTATCGTGGAAAATTCCACGTGCCGGAAATTGGAGTCAATTGGAGGGAAAGGCGATGCTCATTAGATCGAGTGAAATTGAGCAAGCCGCGCGCGCAGGTGGGCCAAAAAAAGACGTAACAAGCGTGGGTTATGAAAAGCGAGCGGCATTCAATGGCGTACAGAATTACTCCCCACCGACGCATATAAGAGTGGGATTCGCCTCAGTGTAAATTCTAAAAGCATTGAATGCGAATTTTTTTATATTTTGCTAAAGGAAACTCGTTTTTGGAATCGATTCAGGAGGAAATTCAAAGCTTTGAAAAATAAAAAATAAAATACATTTTTTAATGCGATTCCAATGATATGCTGGAGGATTAGGGTTTGATCAAAATTCGCGAAGTTACGTAAAATTGAAAATTTCCCCGACCGCCATATTTTAAAATGGCTTCCATTCGCACAATTCCAGGGCTATTTTTCATGGATTTCAGAATTTTTGTTACAATATGTCATTGTGACGGTGACTTCACTTTTAGCCCAATGAGATTGCTTGATTCCTATATTAATTGTTGTTTTCATAACAAATTTAACGGTGACGTTCAATTTTTTGGTCACCAACAGATTTCTCAATCTTCCAAAATTTGCATATTACGTCTTATTTTAAGGAATGCAATGCACAAGGAATTTTGTAGTGAAATTCGAATCAATCAAGCTTTCCTGATTATTTCACTGCCAATTCTCAATTTGATAAAGAAATTAATTTCTAATGAAAAGTTAATTTCATGTAGGCAGGAGTGTGTCAGAATTAATGCAATTCTATAATTTTTAAAAGTTCTTCAAGTTTAAAGATTCAAAATTATAAGCAAATCTTCCATCAAAATTTTTGAAAAATTAATGTTCATTTTTTTTTTTTACAATGTTGGATTCATCCCATTTTTCTCGCTTCTTGATATCCTTAAAAAGGAAAAACCGTCTTCACACATGCGTGACTCTTGCGTGGGGAAACAATTTGGGCGCGTTTTTTTACACTCGGTTAGACTCAATTTCGGCGCGGCGGAAAATAAATAATGGGGAATGGCGAAAGTGTAACAAGAGCGCTCCAATAAAAGAGGAGAGATGACAATAATAAAAATACCTCGGAGCCGCGCACACGTGAAATAATTCCTTTATTGCGTCAAATATTATTGCCCGGACGTAAACTGTACTGTTACCGAGATAGGTATAGGCAGGCAGCGAGCGATGAAATAGAGCCTCGCTTTGTGGCATTTTATCGCGCACCAGCCGACCGACGTGCACGGACGGTCCAATATAATAATGTAAGATGAGGCGCCGCGCCACACCAGATAATAAATGAAAAATGCGCCAATAAATTTCTCACGTATCCCTCCTCTCACATTCGTTCCGCCGAGAGCCAAAAGGTTTTTCTCCTTTTGCGCCAATTCGTTTTATTTATTTTCTGCTTTCGATCAAGAAAGACGAAAAAGGAGTGGCCCAATTTCAAATTCAAGCAATAAAAATCCCCGTAAACAAACGAAACGGAGATGAAAATTTATTAATTGAAATATGTCATTTATGATCAAGACGATTCCACAAATATGTTGGATAAAAATTAAAGATGTTATTAGTATCAGATTGCCAATGTGTGAAAGGCGGTGAAAGTTTTTTTTCCTATTAATATTTCTTTCAAATTTTAATTGGGTTCTAAAGTGCAGGAATCTGATTCAAATTTACATGACAATAATTCCAAATATTTCTAAATAAGTTTAAAATTTTATTTTGAATCAAAATAAATTTTGAAGCAGCAGATATATACTTGAAAGTATGAAATTTTTTGTTGCACATCATGACACTTGACGTTGCATAATTTTCAGGCGTTAGGATATTTTCAATTCTTCATTTTAGGACATTTTCTTTAGGATATTTTCCGTTAGGACATTATCTTTTGGACATTATGAGGCACCTCATTTTAAAAACTTTTAGAGGCAGCCATTCGATTATTAATTTAAAGTATCTTTATTTTTATTTTATTATTTTTTTTTATATCTTTTAAAACTGTTTGAAGTTTTTTGTACAATGAATAATTTTTTGTTTTAGTTCATGTCTATATTTTTTTAGAATTCATATTTTGTTGGATTAAGAATATATAACCGTTTCATAAAAAGATAATCGTGAACAATGAGAGCTTTGCGGGCCGTAACTCACAGGATAACAAACACAAATCGCGAAACGAATTTCAATTTGTTCTGCGGCACGCACGCGGCATCATGCAAATAAATAAATCAAACGCTGCCCCGTCATAATTCACAAGATCCGCCCACTCGCCGCTCCAATTTCACGGCCGACGGGTCAAAGAAATAAGAAGCGAAACTTGAATTATAAACTCATTTCGCCTGCATTGATCCGGCACTCATATTGATTGCGCGAGTAAAAAAGCAAAAATGCAATAACGCTCGAAAAAGTCTGAATTTTTTTCCGGAGCCACCGGTGCAAACCCTCTCTCTCTCTCGTCTTCGCAAAGTTTCCGCTTTGAAAGAGAGAGCAAAACGTGAATAGTACTTAAAACTGCGCGCAGGACCACCCGAGCGCGAAGCAACGGGTGCCTTTGTGACTCGACCCCCCACCCCACCCCGCCGCCGACGGAATTATTCATGGCAAAAAACTTCAAGTCTCTGTGCACTCGTCGCTAATTGTCGCTGCATCCTGCAGTTATAAGTTTGGCCAATCGTCCCCCAGCCGACACACACGCATACAACCCTTCAACCTGCCTCCCTATTGTCTTTGCTGTCGCCGATGAAACAATAGGCACTTCTTGTTCGGTGTGCGGGGGGCGTTTATAGTCGACGATCGGTCACGGACCTCACACACTTTCGCTAACAAGCACGCAAACACTTTGTCAATCATAATGTGTCTGATTATTGTTGAAGGGATTAATTTTTTTTAAACTTTGAAAAATATGCAAATTTTTCATCTGAAACGAGATGTTGGGAAAGCTGATTTAGACCGCTATTAAAATTTCATCAGGGGCCAAGGGTTGATTAAATTAGCCCTTGAATCGCCCTCATTGTTTCAATAATAAAAATGGAAACGTTATTAGAAGTTGATCACATTTTTAGCTTTTTGTTTGAAATAAAAAAATTACTAACAGTCAAATTTGGTGAGAAGTAAAAATCTGGTTTTAAAATCTCAAGAAATAACAGAGTTTATTTGATTAAAAAAATCACAAATTTGAGACAAACCCGCTTTCACCTTAAATAAACATACTTAAAATTACTTTAAGATTTCTTGCAATCATTTTATTTAGTTAAATTTTATTCAAATAATTTATTAAAATTATTGTTATTTAACTGTCCGTCCACATTGTTACAAATATATTGTTAAAATTCAATTATTTCAATCAATTTATTTAAAATGAACAACTTCTGAAACAAAATTTCACCTAAAATCAAATATTTGAAACCTTTAATGTAGTTTTTCAATTTTAAAATTGAAAATTTATTGACACCTTTTAATAAAAAATGGGCAAAATAAGGAATATTACACGAATATCATTTTTATTTTTGGAATTTGCACCTTATTTCAAACACTTGAATTCTTTCCATAATTATTATGCAAGTTTCGGTGTCATTTTTCCTTCTCTAAAAATTTCAAAATTTTGATTATGATTGCTTATGGTCGTATTTCAGTAATTTGAGAAGTATTCCATTCTTTCAGCTATATTTATCTATAGATTAAGTGTTTTCAGTCTTTCTTTGAGTCGTACAATCTGCCCCTACAGTTACATGTGATTTTAAATCTGGTGTTTTATCAGTTGTTGCTTCTATTGTAATCTTAACAGTTGATTTAAGACGATCAGAGATTTAGTAATATATTTCAGTGAATTGAATTTTAAAGGACTATTTTGATAGTTTCTATCTTGCCAACTTTCTATATAAACTTAGCACTTTATTCAAAAATGGAACTGCGCAGCCAATAAATTAAGATAATTCAATTCCGTGTTCTTGAATAGACGGAGATTGCGGACCAAATTGATGCGAATTTCGCCTTTCACTGCAGCTGTACGGCGCGTTGCGGCTGAAAGGGAAA